CCACAAAGCCGCGAAGATAGTCAAGGAGACATACGAGTCCTCCCTGCACCTCAGGAACTGCAAAAAGACACACGGGACATTCGGCTGCTGGCACGGCGGGCACGCGGCCATCGCCGCGGCCATCTTGTCCAGCTCGTTGTCCCAGTGCGCCTCGATCTCATGCCCGACGTTGCGGACCACCAGGAACACCAGCGCCGCCGCGTAGACATGCGGCTTCAGCATGTACACCGGGTGGTGCGTGGAGGCCAGGTCGGCGGGCCCGCGTCCCGGTCCGCCCCGGTGCGCGGTGGCGCGCGGCGTGGGCAGGAGCGAGTCGCAGGTACACATATACAGGGAATCCTCGTCGCCGCCCCCGCGATCCTGCAGGCGCGGGATCCACCACAGAAGTCGGGATTTGCGGTACAGGTGCAGGTGGTGTTTGTCGTTGACGATGAAGTGCGCGTCTGGGATGAGGGTGCCCTTTGGTCGCGGGTGCGGGTGCCAGGGGCAGGGGGGTGCGGTGCGTGTGCTGGTGGCGTCGTTAGGGTCCGGCGCTTGACAGCAGAAGTCCAGGCCTTCGGGTAGGGTGGACAGGGCTTCTAGGGCGACGGCGAAGAACTCGTCTTCGATGACGTAGTCCACACTGGTGATTGTTAGCTGCAGGCCCAGGTAGCCGAAGACGGAGTCGCCCCAGATGACGTGGGGGATGTGCAAATCGTCCAGGATGTAGGATGTCTTGGCTTCGGTGGATGCTAGCCAGGCATGGGTGTAGGGCTCACTGCGGCGCGGCACGGTCGATTCCATGGTGCTTGGTTGTGTGTTTCGCGGTTAACCTGATGTGTTGTGTTGAGCGATGTTTGTCGGCAGTTGTGGCCAGCCTGCTGGTGATTCTGCTCTATCTTTTGGAAAGTGGTCATCATGATTCTTATAGGTGTCGTGGCTTTGTGCATGGGGGCATGGTGGATTGAAACTGTCTTTCAGTTCAATCAGACTAGATGGAGATTCTTTCAATTGTTGGTGGACTGAGTGAGCTCTTCATTTGGTTTGAAAGGACGATGAGTTGTTTGACGGAAATTCTCGTGAAAGCGAGTCGTCCTTGTCTCTGTCTGTTGATGTCACAGAGAGAATTTGCATTCTTCCATGCATCACAGCTGACTTCGAAAGCAGTCCTTTTTCTGTGGACCCAGACTGGTGACTATCCCAGTGGAGGGTAAGTAAACCAAGGCCTGGCAAAACATTTCATGATAACTTCAGATGCCACTACTATACCATGTCTGATCGACGGATCTATCCGCGACATTAAATTTAGTCTCTGTTGCACCCTATACCTTTACGGGAGTTCTCCACATGATTATGCTTTCCAGCACAGTCGAAGTCAATGCTCCCTAGGGCAGCGCATTGCACCCAATCTCCCAAATGCATAACGACACGACCGGATCCACTCACACTCTCACAATCGGATGATCTGCAGCTGCCATTCCACTCCGCAAACCCAATTCTCCTCTTGGCTCAGAAAAAGGTACACAAGAACTTCTCAAGCTATGTATACCATTGGACAACCGCATGGTTGACATGACCGATGGATCGCCGATACATCTCCGCCACGAGGCTTGGCGTGGCTCTATCTCGGGATTTGATCGGGTTGCCGATTTTTCCCCCTCGTTCCCCTTTCGCCCCCCTCGCGGCTTTTGTCCTGACCCAAGCGGATGGCACAACGCACACTCAAGTTCCCCCCATCAAAACCCACGTTGTCGGTTCTCCCCCTCATTGCCGCCCCACTTCCGGTTTTCTTCACGCTGAACAAAGCAGACCGAGCCTCCACGGTCCAAGCCCGCCATGGAAAATTTTTCTCTCTTCCCCTCACAGGATTGTAACTCCCCCTCACGGGCAACAATTGAGTCAGGCAATTTTCAAAGTAGAATTGGAGTAGAAATGCTGGTGGTCAAGAATATATACGTCCTCAATGTCTCAATTAACAGGGACGGGTCGAGACCTGTTCTAAGTGGTATATGCAAGCGTGCTGTCGGTGTAGGACAAATTAAATGCCAGTGATCTGCATTGTGACTTGGGTCTAGCAGGGATATTCCATATACCAATCAGGTTCATGCATTCCGGTCGATTGGATCTGCATTTTCTTTTCTGGAGAGTTGCAGGTCACGTGCAGTGACCGCACCTATACATCTCACCAGCATCAAATGAGTCCTTCCACGGCAATTGATGCAGTCGAAGAGGGCATAGATGGACTCGACACCTGTTTGGGGAAGTCTGACCATGTCGACCCTGAACACCCTCAAAACTGGGCTATGGCCAAGAAGGTCCGGACGATCATCATCCTCGGCCTTATGAACATCCTGGGTACGGCGGCCAGCAGTATCTTGAGTCCGGGGCAAAAAGAGATTATGCGAGAGTTCGATATCGACCAAGAAGTCGCTATCCTCACGACAACATTATTCCTCGTGGTATGGTTCTGCTCCCATGATATATCGAAGCGTTGGGGAAACTGACCGCAGATTAGGGCTACATCTTCGGCTTTCTCACCTTCGGACCTTTGTCCGAGAAGTTCGGCCGCAAATGGCCGCTGATCATCGGCGTCACCGTCTCCTCGCTCTTCGAGCTGATGCCCGCCCTAGGCAACAACATCACCACCATCCTCCTCGGGCGCTTCTTCGCCGGCTTGTTTGGAATCTCTCCCGTGGCGGTGATGGGGGGAGTCGTCAGCGACTGCTTTGCCACGGCGCAGCGGGGCACCGCGATGGCGATCGCGGTCGGACTGATGTTCTCGGGGCCGACGTTCGGCCCCGTGTTCGGCGGCTTCATTGTGGCGTCTTCGCTGCACTGGCGGTGGACGATGTGGGTGATTATCATCTGCGGGCTGGGCCTGTCGCTCATTGCTGTGCTGCTGTTCCCGGAGACATGTCCCCAAATTGTCCTCGATAGAGCAGCAGCAGCAGCAGCAGCCGAGAAAAAGAACCTCGAGACCCCCAGCATCGACAAACCACTGGATATCTCCGCGGAGAAGGAGAACTTAAGCATCGCGCAGGTCGCGAGACTCTACCTCATCCGACCTTTCTGTAGGTTCCCGTTTACCTCTACAACAGCACAACCCTCACTAACGCGACGCAGGGCTAATCTCCACCCAACCCATTCTCTTCCTTCTAACCCTCTACCAATCCATCCTCTACGGCATCCTCTACCTCTTCTACCAATCCTACCCCTACACCTACGGCGACCTCCGCGGCTGGCGCACGGGGCTCAACACCCTCCCGTTACTGGGGATCAACGTCGGCGTCGCCCTCGGCGCCCTCGCGATGATCCTCTACAACGCCCTCTACTTCCGACACCACTGCCACGACCCATCCACCGGCAAATTCATCCCGGAATCCCGCTTACCGCCGATGATGCTCGGCGCGATCTTCATTCCTGTGGGCATGTTCTGGTACGCCTGGACGGCCAGCCCGGCCATCTACTGGGCGAGTTCCGTCTGCTCGAATCTCTTCATCGGGTGTGGGATGTACCTACTGTTCATCCAGGGGTTTAGTTACATCGTGGACTGCTACACGGCGATGGCGAATAGTGCGCTGGGGGTCAATGGCGCCATGCGCAGTGTGTTTGCGGCGTCGTTTCCGCTGTTCGCGAGCCAGATGCTGCACGGCTTGGGGGTGGCAGAGGCGACGACGGTGCTTGGGGCGGTGTGTGTGGTGTTGGTGCCGGTGCCGGTGTGCTTTTGGTACTGGGGCGGGAGGTTAAGGGTTTGGTCGGAGGGGAGGGTGTTTGGTGGGTAGATTAGTCCTCGATTGTGGAGATTTTGTGGAGGTCTTGGTGGTCGGAGTGAGAGGTCTGGTTTCGGTGTTGGACGGGTTGTCCATTTATCTCCTTTCTTTCGAGTCTTTCTCGCGATGCATTGCATACTGGATTATAGAATATACCCCTCTTAGACTATAGAAAAGTAATTGCTGGTTGCAATTTCTAATACCCAGTTTTCATGAGAGCTATACAGATGACAAGTTAGTTAGCGGGAAGAGATGTATCTTTCATGGCAATGGGCATTACTTTCAGATCTACGTACAAGCTATCTGCCCACCAGGTGATAAGCTCTCATCCCAGCATGCTGTAGAAGCAAGACTCCTGTATATTCAGCGTGACATCGGCCCTATTATCGGACATCTAGAGCGGGGATATAAATCACACAGCCAATCCCCGCTGCGTAGAAATAGCGAGTGACGTACTCTACCTGGCAAATCTGACAGACGGGATAGCAGGGTGGAGTCGAACGGGAATGAACCTCGGGATCTATGTGGGCTCTGTGCGAATCCCGTCATTAATCCGGGAGGTTTGTCAACCAAACCCCGTCGGGCATCGAAAGACAATATCCTGTATTCAAATTATGCACTGCCCGGAAGCGGGAGGCGATTGCTGCGCCGAAGCTGAGAGTCAGGGCTTTGGCCAACATAAACACCAGTGCAAAGTCAATTGGGAGCGCTTATCTGTCGGGCAGCATTAATACTGAATGCACTGAATGCACTACGGCTACCCAATCTTTGGAAAGGAATCAAAAGGACGTCCGACGGATATTGCTTTTGTATGTAAATGATCGGCGTGCAGGTACATGATCCAAGCTCCAAGCTGAAAAAGCAGGGCCTCTGTTCAATCAATCTTGTCCAGGTCCATGGCCAGCGCCTGGCGACCATTGAGCTGCAGGCTCTGGTAGTTCTTGTTGATCTTGGCCTGCCTCTCGGCCATTTTCCGGTACACCTCCGTGGCCACCACAGTGACGAGCTTGGAGGAGCCCTTGGCCTCGAAGATCGCCTTTTGGATGTCCAGCCTTTCCCAGACTATCTGAGGGTTATTGTACCATTTCGGCTGCGCGAACCAGTAGAGCATCTTTCTCTGGGTCTGTTTGTCCTTGCCCTCCAAGAGTGGTCGGTCGGTCTTGAAGTCGAAACTATATGACTCCATCTGGTCGCAGGCGCTCTTGCCGGTGGGGTCTTCCTTCTCATCCCCTGGATCGGGCTTGTACTTTCTCCTCCACTCGCATATATTCGACGGCTTTTTAAGCCAGGGACTCAGATTCTCCCACAAGTCGTGCAGGGCGATCAGACGCTCGGTGTCCTTGTCGATAAGGTAGGTGAGGCCTTTGGAGAAGGTTTTTTGAGATCAGACAGAGTTAGTAATCATGGAAAGAAGCAGAACAAGAGGATTGAGTAGGGGAGGGGGAATCGGCATTCAGCCTTCAGCCTCGTACCGGGTGCAAGGTCAAGTAATAGAGGTCGGCGAAATGATAGTTCAGCCACTCTCCGTAGTAGCCGATGTTCCGCAGGTGCTCCAGGTACAGCCGCTGCAAAAACATCTCCCACCGATCGTCCTCCTCCGGGTAGTTCGTGAATAGCGGCGCCGGCCACTGCCGCAGCTCCTCGGAGTTGTTTCGCATGATTCTTTCCTGCTCATCATCGTCGAACAGCTTGAACTCCTCGGGCATGCGCTTGAAGGCAGTGACATAGTCCGTGAGCATTTCGGCGACCTGCTGAACGGCCTCCGGAGAAGGCTTCTCCTTGCCCTCCGAAGGTTGGTAGCTCTCGTTGATCACCGCCGTAGCCTCCGCAGTCAGCATAGCCTTGCGCTCCTTGGGCAGCGCGGCCGTCATCTCTTCGAGCTTCTTCTCGATCGCAAGCCAGCGCGCCCATTCGTCGTCCTTCCATTTGACATGGTCCGGCATTGTGCCCGGGCCCTTGAACTCGGCTTCCTTTTCGGCCAGCCGCTTCTCGTATGCCCGCCAGTCGTCGTCTGAGGGGACATTGCGGCGCATTTGCCACTGGCCCATGATTACGGTTGCGTTCGAAATCGACTGATAAAGATTGCAGGAGACGAGGAAAAAGGAAGGAGTATGAGAGTGAGGTGTTTCATTGGTCCGCAGGTATGAAATTGACGGCTCGGGTGTTCTTTGATGATGGCTTTATAGATCCCGATCAGTAGGTAGTGATCAGGTCCCTCCGTCTGTCTTGTCTTGATTCCCGTCGAACAATCGCAGCTAGTAATTCCGAGCGGGGCTGAAGAATGGGGGTAGAATCGATCTGGACATGATCAGAGACGCTGTCTTGTGTGCTGGCACCAAACGGAGAACGCGACCGAGCTCATCTCGCAATCATCTTCCGGGCATCTTCTCCGGATTGGCTCGGAGATCATGCACTTAATCTGAAAGATGGGGAGTATTTGCTGCAGATCCGACTATCTCACCCCACGCAGGAAAAAGGCCCGGACCTCATAGGCTGAGGGCGGATGATCTGCATGATGGGGGTCCACAGGACTCCTCATAGTGCTACACGTATATTGTGCACTAAGTATGTGTCGTGACCAAGGTGGGGGCTCTGGGGACCAACTGCGAGGGCAACCGAGCGGTCAACCTCATGAGAAGGACGGTCTTGAGGCTGCAACGCGAGAAGCGTGGCTTCACCAAGTGTAGGCTACCAGGAATGGAAGAGAGATATTTGCAGTCCCTGGCGGCTGAACGAGGCCCTGAGGGCAAGGAGACTCTCGGAAATGCCATCGTCCGGCCCGCGGGCGGGGGATCCATCCCTCACCGATCGATCGGATCGGATCGATCCGATTAAATCGCGCTTGGTCGGGTGGGGTATGGGACACCACCTGATCTCTCCGTTTACTCTTTTGGGTAGAGGTGTAGCCGACCTCGGAGAGATGAAGACTAGAAAGGAGCGGTAAGCGTGGCTGGGTGCTCTACTATACATGTCCACGAGGATTTGTAACCGCTGGGGTTAGTGGCGAAGTTCTGCGATCACTTACACATGTAACGTTATCTGTCGCTTCCGTCCAGTATAACTTAGGTCACATGGCCCCAGGTTTCAGCGATCATGAGGGACTTCTCCAGTGGCGATAAGACCGACAGATCGAGATCGCGTCCTCAAAGTTGCGATTACGATGCTAGAGCGTTCGTCCATGCAAAGGTCCTGTGAGGTCCTGACACGTCAGCTAATCGGGGTTTGGTGCGGCATATGCATGTGCTAGTTGCCAGCTCATCCTGCCTCTTTACCACTCTTCACGGAGTCTTGGTCGTGCACTACAATTTCTATCTTCTTACCTCGTATCTACACCCCTGACTAGATGGAATCAGACCCGGATCCCGCACGGTCTACAAATGCAGAACCTCTGCTTTGAATCCGGAGGTTATTATCCATACGAATTCCTGACAGCCACAGAAAAAAGAGGCTGTTGCGCCAAGTGAGCTGGCCATATCTATTTTCTGTTCTCGCTTGAACCCACTCAAGCAATACCCCGTAGATAACATGGGGTTTCGAACAGTTGGAGGAGATTGATAGCCTATTAGCAGGCATAGGGAACAGGAATAGACCTCCCAGCATACCGAGTGGGGTCCCTAAGGATTAGACATAATACTGTACAGAGCACGCTAATTCTCTTTCCCGGTCGAAGCTATTGCTCCTGGAATACTTGTGATCTAGAGGGATTGAAAGAATAGATTTTGGATCAGGAGGCTAAAGGGCGACTGCACAGGAAGCCATAGTGGATTTACAGAGGCGAGGAACGCGTGCTCGCTGACTGCGTTACGCACAACCAACGTTAAGTAGAAAATCCCCGACCGGGGCTCACGTCTGAAGCTTTCGGCTGAGGTAGATTAACACTATTCCAGCATCATAGCAACGCTGCAACAATTTCCGATGGATTTCACCTCCAAGGGTGCTCTCAAGACCCAGTGATATGCACAATTCGAATGTCACATGGCCTGACTGGGGCCTACGAAAGAGAGATCGCGATGTGGACAGTCAACCATAGCTCGCGCTCCGTCAGTGCTTGGGCATAGCAATCCTCCACTTCAAGCTCGACCATGTTCACTGCCATCTTCAGACCAAGCGGCTTTCTCACCCTGAGATCCCAACGATGTCTGCTTCACCAATTTCTTCCGCCAAGACTTGAGTAATAAAGCACATCTACTGCGATCAGCATACACACCACTACAAGTAGGCGCAAGAACTCACCCGACCACAGTGAAGGCCCATCCCACCCAGGCAATCACAACAGCCGCGATGGAAACAGCATCCTTCCGATATTCTAAGGGGACCCCGTCGCTATCGGCAGCCTCATCCAAGTATGTAGTCACACGCGGCCCGACACTATCCCCGAATGACACCACCTTCGTCGCCGTGATAATGGTCAAGGCGATCGCAGTAGCGAAGCCGATGAGACTTGGCACGACCGAACACACGATTAGGACTCGATAGGCAATGGTGCGCCGGAGCACTTGGATGATGAGCACGATGAGAAAGATCAAGGCGGACAGGAAACTCGAGCATATGCTGTAACTAGCTGCCCCGATGTAGGCATTGTCGTGGATATTGGCTTTGGGGACGAGACCCAGAAGGTAGCTGCGTTGGTTGAGGTACTCTGCTAACGTGGCCGCTCCAAGCGCAAAGGTGGCGATGTTGAAGGTAATGGTTGAAATCAGGACCAAAGCTGTGAGTCGGCTCATTGTCGTTTGAGGCGAGGGAGATGAACCGATGTATTGCTGCTTGTAGAGAAGGTTGGGGCCGCAGTTGGGAAGCGACGCGGTTTTAAGGGACCCGCGGCAAAGCCTTCTATGGGTGATCGGAGATACGCCGCCGTGAATTTCCAGCGTCGGAGCAATTTCTTCTGATGTATAGCTTTAGCTTGACGGACTAGCGATCATAACGTCCAGAACTTTATGAAAGATGGCATTTGAGTGCCTCGACATGGTCTGAGCGTCTCGCATGTTATCAAGAATGAATTGTCACAAACGCCATAAGTTTTTGAGATAAATGAGTTTGAGACCAGTGATAATCAAACGAGATGACAATACTAGTCCTTTCTACATTTTTGGCCGCGGAAATACCACGCTGCCAACCAGTCAAGCAATCAATCCACCGGACTGAAAGTTAGGGTTCCCTCGCAAACCACCCCCGAATTCGGCAATCGAGCCCCGCTGCGGACTAACCAGCAGCGGGTTCGCTCTCCACAATGAGCCGGGTCGCCTACAGGCTCATTGGAGAGAATTAGAGTAGAGATAAGATGACCTGCGCTACGTAGAATCACATGGCTTCCATAGGTCTGGAAAAACAAATTTCTCGCTATAGAGAATGGCAATGCATTCGAGTCGGTGAATGGTACGACCAAATCCCAGGTACCACACCGAGCTGATATATATTTACAACAATCGGACGATTCAATCAAAAGAGAAGAGCAGTTGTGAATATATATGGAGATTATGTTAGCACCCATATTGCAGGATGTCGGCTGATGATAGACCCCAGAAGACTGCTAGGACCCGCCCTTCTCTATTCGAAGGCTACGTGCGCAACAAGATGGACCCTTCACTCCCAGAATTGACCCAGATCCGCGAGAAAGTGATCGATGGACATCGGAGAGCCCTTCACAATGACAAAGCCTTGCTCAGGAAGTACTGACGGGGAGTGAATAGAAAGCCAGGCATGATCAGGGGCGCAAACCCGAGCACTCGCTGTAGCTTGCTGCACCGACGCAAAGCATCCCGGACAAAGATCTGCTGCGCAGACCCGACACTTGTTGCAGGGAGCGGAACTGTCATATTCTTGCTTACAGACATCACAGCACCACGCCCACGGAAGAAGCCAGTCATCTGGCAGCGTGGACTCGCGGCTGTCCTGCGGTGCATCGCGGATTGCGTGAAACAGAGAAATAGCGTTGGCGTCGTCATCCGCCGCGACCAGAATGGTGAATAGCTTGTAGAAGGCATCTGCTCGCCAAGCGGGGTCAATGTCTTCGAGATGAGCGAGGGAAATCTTGATATACCCCCGGAAGTACAGTCGTGCCTGCTCTGCGTCGCCATGATCCAGGTGCCAGCGTCCCAAGTATAGGCCGGCTTGGTTCGCGATGGAAATGTCGCGGGTGAGGGGTACCTCTCTCAACCATCTGGCCAGAATGGCGACTTCGTGCAAGAAGGCTCCGGTGTCTTTGGGGTCTTTCAAAGCATCCATATAGAGTTGGTATGCATAGGATGACTCGGTGACTGACCTCGACTGGGTCATCTCCCAGTGATCGTCCATGTCCACGCGGGGCAGACTGAGAATCTGCCTCCATTTAGCCTTAGCCTTGTGGGGTTCGTTCATGAATCGACTATAGAGTTGGGCCAAGCAGACGTCGAGACAAACGACAACGGTAGACCGCAGATCCTGCAACGCAGCTGCCCTCGCGTGTCGATATCGATCCGCCAGCCATTCTAAGGCCCCCATGGCGTGGGCAGCGGTCGCACAGGCCTCGAGAAAGCGACTGTCCGCCCTTCTGTACTGGATGAGGCAGTCATCCAGAAACGTCTCAGTATGGTGTTCAGGTTCACGGTCCATCGACCTCAGCAAGCGCATTATTTCCCCATAATTTCTATACGGGGGCATGCTGAGTTGGTAAACTAGTGCTTCGGCAAGTTTGGGAATTTGAATGCTGTAGGATCCCAACTGTAAGCACGAGTGGAGCCATGTTGCAGCCTCGAGACAATCGCTTTGTTCCAAATACAACTCCGACAGAGTCAATCGCAGCCTTGACAGACTGTATGGCGACACCAGCATGTCAAGATCGGAGTCCTCATGGTCGGGCTCCTGCTGTTCGAGAAGTGACTTCGTGTACAGTTTTTCGGTTTCGAGGTATATGTCGATTGCTTCGCTGCGCTTGTGTTGTTTCAGGTAAATTCGAGCAATGTCCAAACTGGCAGCGACTGATTTCGGTTGCAGGCTCAGCGACATCTCCGCGTAATGTTTTGCATCGTCCAGATGCCCTAGATTGGAGAGGCAGTTCCCGACCCTTTCATGCCACAGCGCGTCTTCTTCCAGCTTCGTCCATCGAGCGACCTCAAGCACGGTTTCTGTACTGGGCGTCTCGCGCATAATCTTCACATCGCCGTCTTCGGAGATGATTTTGACCGCCCACACGAGACGGAAGCACTCCGACGCAGACCAGGCGCTTTCCTTCAGCCAACCCTCGGCGGCATATTCAGCCATGACTGAGAAGACGCCGCCGGGCTTTTGGCGACAGGATGACAGCCATTCTGTAATCTCGTCATCTTCTTCGTCGGCTGAACACGATGTATCATTCAAGAGACTTTCGACTAGGCGGTAATCCCCAGAAGAGAAGAACTCCCAGTCATCCGGGTCCAGCCAATGTACGCAGTCAGGAGCTGACAGTAGTCTGCGGAATAAAGATCTTATCTCGCGCTTGCTGTGTGGATCGAGCCGGTCGTTGCTGACCAGATGCCTCAGATAACTCAGCCACTGACTCTGCGCATAGATAATAAGTGAGACCCTTCCGTCCTTGTCCTCATCCTCCGCAAAGCCGTCTTGGAACAGCTTCAGGCAGCGTATTAGGATATGGGTCCGCGCCTGAATGATATTTACACCAACAGGCACAGAGCCAGGGCTATCGCGCACCTTTCCGTAAGCGGGATTGCGGAGGTACTCGCTAATCGATGCGTGGCGGAAAACGACACGAGTGGTCTCCTTGTTGGACTGAAATTCGAGGAGATCATCGCTCGTCCGACCCTCGGCGAGATAGGCTGCGACCTCCGCACCCTGAAGGTCGGCTGTAGTCAGGCCATCGTCTCGAAGGAGGAGAAAGAATGAAGCGTATTGTACTCGGAGCATGGTCTCAAGGTCAAAGACTCCATCCCCGCCCGGCGAATCATACTGCAGAATGTAGTCCAGCTGACGCAAACTCAGTGGAACATCTGAGCAAGCCAGCCATGCAAGCATCGTGTTCAAATTCTCCGCTTCTTCTGCGTCGAGTTTCGCGCTGAAGCCTCGCAGGACATGCTCCAGCATCTCATCCAATCCCCTCGGGGCTCTTTGCAGGCTATCCAGCATACTGCTCGTTCGCGTCTTCCGGCTCAACTCGCGCAGCATCAGGTCGGCCCACAGAAACATCCCTTGGGATTTTTCGATGAGTTCGTCTTGGATTTTGGCTGAGAGATCCCGAGGAATGCGACTCAAGACACGAGTTCGTCGCATGGTGGTTTCAATTAATGCTCGGATGTCAGCAGAGTTCTTCGCTGCGTCAACTTGAATGCAAGGTATGGTGTTGATCTGTTCAATGAGCTCAGCGTAGATCTCAGGCCTTCCGACTAGTAGAATCTTGATTTGAGAGGCTATGGCTGGTCAGTCTGTGAAGAGAACCGGCTTGTGCGAGTACTCACCACTCCCGGAAGGTAGATCTGACAGCAGCTCGAAGAACTGCTCCCGATCTGCCTGAAAGGCTTCGTCGAGACCATTCAATACAAGGACCACCCGACCGGTTGTTCTTCGCTGCGCAATATAGTGCTGAGTGTATAGCAATCTCCACGTACTGCGAATAGTCTTGATATCATCTGGAGAGCTGAGGTGGGCTTCAAGATATGCCTGATACGCTGCATTGTTCTGGTAAACTTGGTGAGCGCAGTCCCGCAGTGCCTGGCTGAATGACTTGGTTTCAGTATCGCTGTTACTGAAGAAGAAATACGCGATCGAGGCACCGCTGCTTGCGCTCTCAGCTTGCAGCTCGTTTAAAAAAGGAGATAACGCGCTGCGAGAGGACCGATTTTCCACTGCCCGGACTCCCACAGACAGCCAACAGCGGTGTCTGCCCCTCATCAGCCACCCATTGTTCAAACAACGGTTCTGCGATAATCCAGTCTGCCGTCCCTGCCACCCTCTTCTTTGCGAGACTCTGATACGCATCGGCTGGGTGTACCGAGGGCTTGAGAATCTCCCGGATGGCTGTCGGTGATTTCTCTTGCCTGGCCGACGACGCCGTCACCGTCTCTCGCACCTTGTGCATTTCCTCCCGGAATTCATCACGAAAAGTCTCCTGTCCCAGGACTAACGTCCCCAAGTCATCACTGACCTGGTCCATCTGATGCGCGGTGCGCTTCGTCTCCGCCCATGTCTCCGCCGCGACCAGCCGGTTCTCACTCTGGCACAGCTTCTCCAGTTGGTTGAGGAGACCCTGCAGCTTCTCATCGCGACCCAAGACCGTGTTCTTCGCGAAGGCCAGGGTGCGACCCAGTGTTCCACCCCGGATGATCTTCGCGGAGCGACCGAAAACTTCCAGCAGAATTACGAGGATAGTCACCAGCGTGCTGCGGAGCTCGGGTGTCGCCTGATTTACAGCATAGATCTTGATTCGGGCGAGGAAGTCCTGTTTTCCTGACTCCTGTCAGGTTCCGATATACCGTATCTCGGGGGACGGGTGCAGACCTTGAGGGTCTCGATGAGACCAATGATGGAATCATAGAGCGACGATACGCCACGGGCAGCATCAATCAACAATGTCAGGGCGGCAAAACATGCAGCGCTGGGCGGAAATACCACCGAGGTCCCCGTGGAGATGACGTAGGTGAGTGATTCGATCGGTTGACACAGGGTACTGAGGTTGTGGAACAGCATAGAGCGCTTCTCCCGGAAAGATAGAAAGTCGGTGTTTCTCGCGTCGAGGAGCAGGAGCAGGTCGTCAGCTGAAGCGGGGTTGGGAAATGCGGGGCTGTCGAGGTCATGGCCTGTGATGGACTTGTAGCGCGCTTTGGCTTGATCCCAAAGGTAATCAAAGTGTTCTGGTTGGGCCATGAATCAAGATTTCTGGTCGGGAGTTAGGGCTCATGGAGAGCAGGGTAGAGAGCAGAAGGTGAGAGTGAGGGTGAATGCAGTGAGGGGTAACTTAGAGCATCCCATGGGTGGCGGGCGGCTGATCCCGAAGCTGACTAGCGTGTCGGTATGTGACAACGCCATGCAGAAATTAGTCTTGGTCAACTCTTGCTTATTCTGTATGCACATGCTTGCTATGCATGCTTCGTTGTACCTACATGTCTAGTTCACTTCGCTTAGGCTCGATGACTAGATCATCTTCGGAGACGACTGGTGCCAAGGCCCGAGTGCATTCTTCAGCAGCTTTACATTCGGTCAAATATCGGGGTAGCGAGCCTTCAGAAGACCTCATTTGCTGGTATCTCCTTTACCAAGACTTCCAAGACCCGGCTAGCAGCGGCCAAGGCCCGTGCCGAATCGGGATGTAGGTGACTCTAAGCGAGGAACAATATGCCTATAAAGCACCACCTCTCTGCAGGGACTTTCTTGATTGCACTGCAGCCAGCTCAAGAAGATAAAAGCCATGAAGAGCTCTTCTTTCCTCACACTCGCCGGGTTGCTGACCTCCGTGGCCGGCCATGGCTATCTCACCATCCCATCTAGCAGAACCCGACTAGGGTTTGAGGTACAGCGCTCCCCTCTACTTTTCTGTCCTATACTGAGTGACCGGAACGTAGGCTGGTATCGACACATGTCCCGAGTGTGCTATCCTCGAGCCTGTTACCGCATGGCCCGATCTCGAGGAGGCCCAGGTTGGCCGCTCCGGTCCATGCGGATATAATGCCAGGGTGAGTGTCGATTACAACCAGCCCAGCGACAACTGGGGTAATTCGGTCGTCGCGACCTACACGGCTGGGGACACCATCGAAGTGCAATGGTGTGTCGACCACAACGGTGACCACGGCGGCATGTTCACCTACGGTATTTGCACCAACCAAACGCTCGTCGACCTCTTCCTTGACCCGGATTATCTGCCGACCAACGACGAAAAGCAAGCTGCCGAGGACTGCTTCCTGGCGGGTGAGCTGAAGTGCACCGATGTGAGCGGCCAGACCTGCGGCTACAACCCCGACTGCACGTCGGACCAGGCCTGTTATCGCAACGACTGGTTCACATGCAATGCGTTCAACGCAGACACGAACCGCGGCTGTGAGGGGGTGGACGGAGCAGCGCTGAATTCCTGCACGACCACAATCGCAGGCGGATACACTGTGACCAAAAAGATTAAGGTGGGTGGACTCATGCATCTTCTCCATCAATCAAATACTAATTCTGGGAGCTTTCTAGCTTCCCAACTACTCGTCCGACCATACCCTGCTTCGCTGGAGATGGAACAGCTATCAGACCGCGCAGGTCTATCTCGGGTGCGCCGATATCGCCATCACCGGCGGGTCAGGCTCCGGCTCCTCCAGCTCGTCATCGTCTTCGAGCAGCAGCACCAGTAGCACGACTAGCAAGACTAGCAGCACGAGTACGAAGACCTCCAGCACGACTACTTCCGCGACCTGCGCCGCCGCTACCAGCGTTGCCGTCACCTTCAACGAGCTTGTCACGACGACATACGGCGAGAATGTTTTCCTGACCGGCTCAATCAGCCAGCTGAGCTCGTGGGACACCTCCTCCGCAATCGCACTCTCGGCCTCCTCATACACCTCTTCTAACCCCTTGTGGACGACCACGGTCACCCTCCCCGCTGGCACGACCTTCGAGTACAAGTTCATCAAGAAGGAGTCCGACGGGACGGTGGTATGGGAGAGCGATCCGAACCGGTCGTACACTGTGCCGACCGGCTGCGCGACTGCGGCAGCGGTGACTGCCACTTGGAGGTAGAGGTGCCTATCAAATTCAGGGCTGATGCAGACATGTCGAATGGCAGTGACCCGCGACATGGAGATAGACCTCTGTGCTATGGGTAAGTTAGGTCGAACTATGTCTTACAGTTTAACATATATAAAGCAGGCAATTTTCAGACTTTTGATACCAACGTACAAAACTCCTGTCTATAGAGATGATGAGCCTCTGAAAGTAGTGACGGCTCGGTCTACATCTTGTTGTTGATGTGTAGATGCAAATCAGCACACGTGGCGGAGCCTAGAACAGGATTCGATGACAATCGAATGCATTCCTAAATATCATTGCCTAGACTAATAACCACTCGTTCTGTAGTGTAATGGTTGGGTTGCTTTGTCCAGGGTACTTGCAGGATGTAAGCCTGAGACCATCTGGAACCGGTCGAATGGACTGAGGGCGGGGCCAGAAAGTATACATTGGTGAGTTTCCCGTACTAAATCCCAATTCGTTCTAAAATAGGCTTCTGTAAAGAGATAAATTGACTATGTTAATTTAACATATTTGGTATGATCAACATCAGTCAAAATTTGATGTAATTGGCAGGATGTCTGAACCTAAGCCAATCCAGACAGACGCAGTCGACAATATACTGTCATCGAAGTATAGAAGACCATTTCGGCCTCTCGGCAAATGGAACCTCCCTGTAAAATATTCTCACCGCAGCGGTCATCCGCATTCAGGCCAAATGGAGACAGCAACAATACGCTAGTGAGTGATCTGCAGTCCTGCTCTCGTCACACACACCTGCATAAGTAAGCGTGCTTACTATCACGTGGTCTGTGCCCAGGGCGACTGAATGAGGGGTCGCAAAGGCAAACATTCAGCCGCACCAAATGCTATCCGTCTTGGGGCATTCTGACCGTTCGCATGCGGCCCCTTTCAATTGTGGATAATGGCTGACCCTATCTCCATAACGTCCCTGATTATCGATGTTGGCGATCTCATCCATCGCCTCCTAACATACGCCAAGAAAGTCCGTGATGCGAGCTCCGACATCCGCCGACTGACCGAGGAACTCTTCGGTCTCAAAGGAATCCTGGAACACCTGAGCTCGCAGTTTGAGTTTTCCTCGCCGCCAGAGACAGAAAAGTTGGCTTCAGCTGCCCCTGAGGCGCTGAAAAGCACACTGGAGAAGGCAAACGAGTCGGTCCAACTCCTCCTTCAGGACCTAGAGGAGCCAGCAAGCAGGTTGAGGAGATTGAAACAAAAGCTGGAGTGGCCGTTCACCCAGGAACAATTTACTAGCCACCTCACTCGCCTAGAACGAGTGAAATCTTGGCTGATTCTCCTTCTCACAAGCGATAGCCTTGCTATTCAGCGAGATCTCCACGGAAAGATAACAAGGCTGGCAAGGTCCCTGGAGGTAGACCTTAAGATACGAGATGACGAGAAAACTCGCGCGGCGCATAACGAACTGCTTCGATGGTTAGCCGCGGTCAGCCCGTTCAGTATCCACCAGCAAGTCTCGAGGGACCGAGTCGATCATACGGGAAAGTGGTTCATTCATACGTTCAAAGATTGGATTATGAGTGATGTCGTTGACCGGAATATTCTTTGTCTCTTGGGAAAGTGTAGGTACGCCAGGGTCTTTGTATGCTGACAATGACTGACGGTTCTCTTGTAGCCGGAATTGGCAAGACCACTCTCCTGTAAGTCTCCCGAGCATCCTGCTCTGATTCAACTGACAGACTACTATCTCCTAGTGCCCACGCCGTCGACCAGCTGGCCGCAATCAGTGCCAAGGACCCCAGCATTGTCTTCGCCTACTTCTACTGCAGATTCAGTGACGCCAACTTTCAAAATCCGGTGAATATCCTAGGGTCGTTGGTGGCACAGATCTCTGAATCAGTGCCGTCAATATTAGACAATATTCAGCCATTCTTCGAAGCTACAGAGTCACATCTACATCGACAGCCGATCGACATGAGTGCAGTGGCAGATGCCATAATAAACTGTACGCCGAATAGCAGACGGGTCATCCTCTTGATTGATGCAATCAATGAAAGTGCATCCTATCAGGAGCTCATACGCTCATTGCTGAATATTTCGGAACTTACTCCAAACCTTCGAATCTTCGTAACCGGAACCAATGGCATGATACCCGAAAGCCACGCCAGAATCATACATATGAGTTCCAGTATCATCAGGGATGATATTGACACATTCATTCGCTTCAGATTGCAGCACGAATCGACACTCAGAAATTTGAATTAGCGTTTACAGGCTCAGGTGTGGGAGGCTCTTATGGAGGGTGCTGATGGATCGTCAGTTGTACCGGTCTGGAGTACATAGTAAGATTCCATGCTGATCAATTTTGTCTGCTGCAGATTCCGCTGGACCCAGCTCTCTTTGGAGAATCTCGCCTCCCTCAGAACCGCGAAATCCATTCGGGAGGCATTGAGAACACTCCCAAAGACATTAGCAGAGGTCTATATCCACATGCTTGAGCGAATCAGTCCTAATGACATGGAGCTTAGCCGCAATACTCTGTTTTGGCTCAGTTTTTCGAAGCGACTGCTCACCCTGTCGGAGCTAAGCGAAGTAGTCGTGCTAGAGGAGGCATGCACGGTGCTTGATGAAGACACCAAGCTGATCTCTCCCCGGATCCTGCTCCATATCTGTCAGGGGCTGATCACAGAGGATGAGTTCGGAAGAGTGAAACTATCCCATTCCTCCGTCAAGGAGTTTCTGACCTCCGACCGGATCCGCACCTCGAGCGTGCGGTACTTCGGTTTGGACCCGGCAACCGCCGATCAAACCATGACTCGCCTTTGCCTGACCTATCTGTGTCTCGACGATTTCCGCTCCGGGTACGCATGGTCCTTCGATGAAGTAGCCGCACGCGAGCACGAGCACCCCTTCCTATCATACGCAGGCGCGTTCTGGGCGACCCACGGCGGAGCCTGCGATTTCGACGAGGATGGCGACCGTCAGCTCGTCAACAAGCTTTTCGACTCGCGGGATCTGCCCCGCCAAGGGAACTATGGTGTCTGGGTGCAGACGCTTATCCCCGAGGCCGAGAACCAGGTCATTGAAACCACACATCCGCTGTATTACGCCGCGTCATTCGGTCTAGTCCCGGTCGTCAAAGCGCTCCTGGCCTCTGTGCCTGGTCTGGACGTTGACGCGCCCGGTGGCCGCTATGGATCCACGCCTCTGTTTGTGGCCTGCTGGCGGGGACACTACGAGGCCGCGGGGCTTCTTCTCGAAGCCGGGGCAGACCCATATCTCCCGGACAGCGGCGCAGGCGTGACAATCTTCTCGCTCCCGCACTCGGATCAATTTGCCCGGTTGTTGGCGACTGTGCTTAGTAGAGGGAAGCAGGGCACAGGGAGACATTTGGCTGCTGCGCCTCACGCAGATATTGTAAGGGAGGGTGCAGGGGCCCCAGCTGCACGTGGAGGGCTTGCGAGCCACACATTCCGGGGTTTGAACGGGACTGAAGAGGCAGCAGATGCCCCGAACCGGGATGACACCAACGAGTCCGCCGACTCTGCCGAGCAGCAACAGCTTGCGATCAATGCCCTGGTCGTAGCGCCATCGACAATTAACCCGACCGTGGAAGGGTTTGAACAGCAGATCCGACAACTGTTCCCCCGGCTGGAGCCTCCAGCGTTGGTCCATCGCTTTGCGCGCGAGCAGCTCCGCCGATACGACAGACTTATCGCGCTCCAGCGCGCCCATTCGGCCGCCGTTCGCAACCGCTCCTGTCCTTCCGGTCCGTATTGCTCTGCTATCACTTCTGCGAGAGGAATCGCCTCCAGAGCAAGCGGCGGCCCCAACTTTACCGCGCAGTTCGAGTGTCCCACCTGCTTTCGGGTCAAACAGTTTCAGAAAGCTGTAGACTGGCCGAAGCACGTCGCTGACGATCTGCAACCGTTCACATGCACATTTCCCGACTGCGCGAACTCACCGTTGTTCAAACGCAAAGCGGACTGGGTGCGTCATGAGACCCAAAGGCACTGGCAGTCGGAGAAGTGGCTCTGCTCCTACGATGATTGCGGCTACCAGTGTTTTCGCCAGGACAATTTCGTGCAGCATCTCTTCCGGGAGCACAAGATGGCCGAGCCGAGTGTCGAGAAGAGCAAGGCCACGACGGCCACGCAAAGGGATCCTGATTCACAATGGGATATGAATGTTCCGAATCTGTGGGAATTGGTCGAGGAGTGCCACCATCAGAGTGACACATTTTCGCAGCAGGGGTTCTGTCGATTCTGCGGAAAGAATTTTGAAAAGTTGAAAAGCCTTATGGTGCATGTGAGCAGACATATGGAGCAGTTGGCTCTGCCGGTTCTGGGGTTGGCGAAGCAGTACGCTGGTGGTGTCGACAGGGTAGCCTCTCTTCACCCGACAGACACTCATCATGGACGTAGCTGCGATTGATTAATTCTCTACATCTTCTTGATGCGATCGAAAACCCAGATCTCCTTGCGCAGTCGCATAGCTCTATGTCACTGTGTCTGGCGTTGAGGTGTAAATTTAGGGCTTTTTCTTCAGGTCTAGTCTCGAAAACTCTATAGGATATGCGGATAGATTCCGCCTTCCCAAACGGGACTTCAACCCTAAGAACTACCATATTGAGACGAACTCCGATTGTTGAATAGAATGTATATCGAGAAGACAAATGGTGACATCACAAGAGGTCAATCAAACCAACAAATGACCGGGAGTAGAACAACATCTCCTTAAGACCCCTTGGAACTTAGAACATGAGGTATTCCTCGGTTTCCACCCCGAGTACCGGCAAAGAGACCAATTCACATCCAACTAAGAAAAAGGCAAGACCACATGAATCTCGATGATGAGTGAGACTTCGTCGCCATACAGAACCAGCGGTGTACGTATTCCGACCACCAAACCGCATCGTCATGAAGCCGTCCAATAACACCTGATGAATCCGATCGGTCTGCAACTCCTGGACCAGCCGCCGCAACCGCACCCGGAAGAAGGAACCATCAGCGCGGTGAACCCGCTAGCCGAGGAGATCCACGTAGATGGTGTGTGTCCCCACGCGATGAATTGGGTACGCCGCCCAGCCCGTGTTGCCCGAATTGTCGTTGATGATCTGGTGGGCAATGGTTATCGCTGTGGTTGGTGTGAGAATCGCCGTCGGTAGCTCGGCGGTGTGCGTCGTCAGGATGTACTGGGTCTCCGCGTAGTCGTTCATCACGGGTGGGTTGGGCCGTAAGCGGACAAATCTCTGGCCCAGGTAGTTGGCCAGACGATGCCACCATTCAACCCCGGCGCGTTGGTCGATATCGGAAGTGGTCTTCTCGTCGGTCGACACTCCTGATGACAGTACGTGCTGGTCTTCCGTACCTCTCCCGCCTCATCGATTAGCTCGCGTTTCGTGCCGCCCGGAAACGAAGGTTCACAAAGCGCAGTCACTGCCATGTAGCGCCCGGACGAGCCCGTGGCGCTCAGGCACTTGCCTGTGGGGCTCTCCGTGCGGATGGTGTGACTGAGGGAGTCCAGGGAGCAGACGTGGCTGTTGTAGAGACGCAACCCGCAGGGCAGACCAGTATTGTAGTATGACACCGCGGACTGGAAGACATCGTCGATCGGGGCGCGCCAGATCTCCTTTTCTGCGGAAATCTCGAGAACACTTCCACCTTCGTTTGCTAATCAGGGCTGCCAGTCGCCGCGCCGGAATAGGGTAATATGGCCTCCATATGCCCGAGCGGCGGCTATTGATACAGCGAAGTAGAGCGGGATTTTCATGTTATATATTGCGAAAATTGCTGTAGGTCAGTGGTTACGGAGGTTGGATCTTGATGAGACTGCTCTGCGTGGGTTCGAGATTTGATGACTGAGGTGCACAAGGAAAATTTATACCAAGTTAAGATGCGGCCCATGCTATTATCGATATTTCTTTCCCGAACAGACGAAGACCGTGGCGTAGAACGCCTGACAAGCTTATCGTTTCACTTGGGACAAGCCAAGCCCGTACATCAAGCCGCAGAGCTTCTCGTGTTACTACTCGCTCTTAACCATGTACATGGGTCCAGTCAGCCCTCGCTAAGTTCAGGCCAGCCACTGCACTAGAAAAGCCCTTGTTCTGTTCAGCCACGTGGCCGCAGACATGCCGTAGGACCCTGTCCTATTAGTTTGGTAGCCTAATGAATAGGTAGCCTTTTTTCATTTAAGTTCGGCTAGCAGAGTCTGTAGCGGGTCCGCGGGGATACCCTGTATGTGACTCATTTCCTCATATCATCATTTAGAGTACTGCTTTTCTCAGATTCGCCAGTGCGTTACATCGTTGACTTCATTAAGAGCATATGTGACGCGGTTCCTGAACGTGCTAATCCCATAAAAAAGGGGATCATAACATAGCAACCAGGAACAGCTAACCAGGTGATTCGCTAGGCGTCACGCCGTTGTGGGCACTTCGCCTACAGTAAGGGGGTACTCTATATTAGTAAGAATTATTCCAGGAAGGACGAAACATCCCTGGATGTATCCATAATACTGTACTACTACGTAACTCAGTCCAGCCCTTAGATTTGGCAGTGCTTACAGAGGAGTGCACTGGACCATGTGATTCCCCACGGTCACTGGAAGAGAAAGGCGATGTTCGAACAGAGCGGGTTCTCAATCTGCAGAACCAAGGTACTGTGTAACTTACGCAGTAACGATCTTTGCTGACAGTAGTGATCATCAAACAGTTCCTCAAAAATAGAGATGCATTGCTGCATCTTCCCTTCTTTCAGCTTTCCCCTACCGAGAATCGATTCTGCGATCCCTTACCACGGCCGACTGGACGCGAGTTCGGACCATCGGCCTAATGTCCGGAGGACGCTCCAGCACTGCTCCACAACACAACATAAATCTATGTTTTTTTGCTGAATTTGTAACGTCTCTCCTGTGTTCCGCATTCTGTTCAAATCCAGTCTATCAATATGTATCTCCGGAACACTGTCAGACCCATTCTGACTGCTATTGCTTTTCTACACCTTACCACGTGCATAGCTGCAGGGCAAAAAAGCACACTAGGTCATACCCCACAGATGGGCTGGAACTCGTGGAACGCGTTCAAGGCCAACATCAATGAGTCGGTAGCCGTTCAGAGTGCGCAGCTCCTCGCTACCCTGGGGCTGAAGGACGCCGGATATGACTACGTTCTCGTAGACGACGGGTGGGCCGACTACAATCGCACAGCGGACGGCTACCTGCAAGCCAATGAAACCTCCTTCCCCAGTGGGATTCCCGCTCTGGCGGACAAGATCCACACCCAGGGCCTAAAGCTCGGACTGTACGGCGACAGCGGCATGCTGACGTGTGCATTCCGCCCGGGCAGCTGGGGATACGAAGAGCGCGACGCGCAGACCTTGGCCGACTGGGGGGTGGATTACTGGAAGTACGATAACTGTGGGGGCTACCAGGCGATGACTGCGGCGCCGCAGGTCCGGTTTGGGATCATGCAGAAAGCCCTGCAGCTGGTCGGGCGCGAGATTCTGTATTCCGTCTGTGAGTGGGGGTATCAGTTTCCCTGGCACTGGGGTGGAGGTATTTATTGTCTCTACGGTCGCATGGACTCTCACTGCGGGGGTGCGCGGTGAAATTGCATGTTTTGACTGACGCACATTTGCCCTAGAAATTGGTCACTCCTATCGCATGTCAGGGGATATCACCAACGTCTTTGCGAACGAAACCAGCTGTCCCTGCAAGACCGCCTACTGCTTGAACACCGGCTACGCGAGCTGCTCGGTGATGAGCATCATTCGGAAGATGCGCGAGATTAGCCAGTACCAGTCCCGTGGGCACTGGATGGACATGGACATGCTGGAAATCGGCAACGCGGAGATGACGCTGTATCAGCAGCAAACGCATTTTGCTTTTTGGGCAGCGCTCAAATCGCCGCTTATCATCGGAGCAGATTTGTCCAAGCTCTCCGACGACGCGTTGAAGGTGCTTACGAACAAGCAGATCATTTCAATCAATCAGGATCCACTTGGACAGCCGGTCAATTATGTCCAGAACGCCAGCTCGGAGGGTTCATCGCAGGTGTGGGCGGGCAGCGTGGAGAATGGATACGTGGTTCTCCTGCTAAATGAGAAGAGCTACCCACAAGAGTTGAAGGTAGATTTCGAGACTCTCGGATTGCAGCTCTCTATTTCTGTCAACGTTACGGAGCTGTGGACCAGAAGATCTCTGGGGAAGATCGGGTCATTCTCAGGCACACTGCAGGCGTATCAGACCCTTGTATTCAGACTGTACATGTGAAACAAACCAGTAGAATCTGAATATAGCTAATCGAACGTACGAGCTCTTGATACCCCAATGCCAAGGACCCATACCACGATTTGCTATGACCTTGTAGGAGACTAAGCTACATGTTCATAATGTACCTTGTATAATCAAACTCACAAGAACACTCTCATGGCAAAGAAGAATCCTTTTAGCAATGGAACTTTTAGGATCAGGATTTTCTGGCTCCACATTGTTTTATTGAGCTTCAAAATTGAACAATTTGGGTCTGGCGAGGATGTCGCTAGTTACATAATGACAACATCAGTCAATTCATGAATAGAACAGCCAATTCTATACCATTGATAAGCAAATGCTTTCGAAGGCCACATATTTCAATCTTCACACGGAGAAGTACAAAGGTATATTCATCGATTATACCTATGTTTTCGCGAAAAGCTATGTCTCCTTGTATAAAGCCAAATCGATGTGTGACATTGATTTCCTCTAGCAAGCCATTACTCTATTGGCATTTCTTGTTTCACCTTGCGGGTTGATACACACGCCATCGCAAATCAAACGATATAAGGTGCTAAATGAGCAATTCAGATGCAACCTATTTCGAACAAGAGATTGACCGATCTCCACACGAGGTTTTTCCATCAGCAATATGACAGATCCTGATTCGAACAACTTCCAGGAATGAAACTCTGTGACACTCTTGGCAGGTCGGTTTCGAAAACCTGGGCTGAAGGGTCGAGAATGCGATCAATGATGTGAATTGTTCCCTGTGTAGAGCGGTTAATGTGTCGCACAGAAAAGGAGCAAGCCAAACCAGCTGAGACTCGCCTTGGTGACTGATATATCCTTCTCCACCACGGTGGCCACGTTGTTCAGAATGATCTCACCATCTTGAACCTGCGAGCCGACATAGAGGTAACTTGCAGTCTGGAGTGCATTGTTGTCAGATTCGCGTAAGGCTCCATATCTCGTGTGCTCACCTGGAATCTCTGGTAGGTCTCGTTGAAGCTACTAGAGTTGAGATTTGTATTTGGCACGTAGTGGGAGAGGAGCGTGTTTCCCAGCCACCATTTGCCCTTCCTAGTGAGATGTCAGTACTTTGTATGACAAGGTGAATTGTTACTTGCAGGCATTGGACGAACGGGGTTGACTTGAATTCGTTGAAGTATGTGCCGGTGTGAAGCTCAAACGCATCGTTGTTAGGCGCAAAGAAGGTGAAGCTCCAGGTTGGTTCAGTATCAAAAGCCTTCGGAAAGCCGCCGATTGTCTGCAATTCATCTGCGAGAACACTCAGATCTGGATGAGAATTGATAAACTCCAGAAGTGTAGTAACGTTGGCGGACTTGGGAGGGACATAGCCTCCAGCAAGGTCCCGATAGCTGAGAGGATCCTGGATGGTGGATGTGGCTCCGCTGGTGATGGGAAGTAGGAGAGAACAAGCGAGAGATAGAAAATGCATGATGCCGTCTGCAGCACTACTTCTGAGATGAATCGATGGATGACCAGAAACACTGGAGATAGTCGTGCGCCCGAGGATCGAACATGAGAAATGCCCTCTTGGGCGACATTGGATGTGGCCGACAAAATATGCTGGGTTGCTCGCCGCCATGCACCCAACAGACTCCAGGGTCTGTACGGCAGTTGTCCATGAGCGGAGACGGTGCAAAGCACGGCCCGGAGTCCGCTTCTGACTTGCATTAGGGCACCGCTAATATCAGTACAATCGGGGAGCTTTTCTCCCGAAGTTTCGAGAAGCGACCACCATCCAGGAAGTGTGGAGAGCACAAAGGTATTATCAGACATATACTCAGGCTAGGCTCAGTTTTGATTCTTAGCAAGTACAGTACAGGGCTGACTACCATGAAGGTGCGTATGCTGTCCTCAAATCCCCCTGCTAGACAATATCCTGCACATTGACTTACGCTCTATTTTCTTACTGGTAGAAATTGCTGTTGAGTATATCCGCAATAGCCGCTTTCTCCATCAGAGCGGCTCAATGTACGGTACAAGATGTGCCCGCAATCTTTGGGCCCATACCAAATGTCGCGAAGTTCTCCGGTGTCGATTCCACCAGCTACCTGAAGAAGCGACCGAGTGACTTCGTCCATCCAGGGATCTGGCACACTCACGATGACCTGGAACTGATCCGCACCAAGGTTCTGGCCGGTCAGAACCCGTGGGCTTCCGCCTACCAACAGTTCAGCGCCGACAGTTACTCCCAGGCCAGCTACGAGATGCAGGGCCCGAAGGAGGTGATTGCCCGCGGGCAGACGAGCAATTACACCAGCTTTGCGCACGACGCGCGCGCGGCCTGGCAGAATGCACTCATGTGGTACATCACCAAGAACGAATCCCACTGGACGCGTAGCACCACGATCCTCGACGCGTGGGGGACCAATCTGACCAACATCGTCGGGATTGATCGCTCTCTCATGATCGGTCTGGACGGGGATTTGTTTGTCAACGCAGCGGAGATCATGCGCTGGGAGGGAAATTGGACCGAAGTTGGAGCCCGGTGGCAAGGGGGCTCGGGCTTCAGCACGCAACTGTACTGGCTGTTTGCGCGCCAGTCCGCGGTGGTAGGGCAAGCCAACTACGGCATGGTCAGCATCAAAGCAATGCTCAGCTTTGCCGTCTACTTGGACGATGTGCAATTGTATAACTACGCGATGAATGCCTTCATTCAAGACAACTGCGCTGGTATCTTCGCACAGTACAACTCCGAGACGGGCCAGTCGGTGGAGGCCGGTCGAGATCAGGGTGTGTATTGCATCTGCAAATCAGTGACCCCTGCTGGTTTCTTTCGTTACTGATCGTATCGAATAGGCCATACCATCTCAGGAATCGGGTGGTCGGCTTACGGGGCCAGAGTCGGTTTGAGTCAAGGCGTGAACCTCTTTCAGGTAGGGGACAATTTGCTGTTAAAGGCCGCGGAGTATGCCGCCGAATACAACCTCAACTCGACCGTTACCTATGACCCGAAGTGGTCACGCTGCGAAGCGGTCCTTGTCAACGGTCCCTGGGAGGTCATCTCGGCGGAGAACCGCGGCGTCAGCAACAAGATTCCCATCTGGGACCTGTTGTATTACCAATACGTGGTCAAGCAGAAGGAAAATGCACCCTGGACTACCAAGGCCCAGGATTACGAGGGCTTCGAAGGGGCAGTTTCCAGCAACGATCATCCGAGCTGGGGGGGTCTTATTTGGGCGGCAGAAGCATGAGAAGCTGGCGGAAGCAGAGCGACATCGAAACCTCCCATCCATACGGAGTCGGCTTTTTTTTTTTTTTTTTTTTTTGCCCTTTGGGAATTTCCAGTCCCTGCCCCAGTTGTGCAGATCGAAAGTGAGTGATTGGTGGATATTTGTCCACGAGTCGAGTGATAAACACCACTACCTTATAGGTACCTTACTGTATCTGGAAAATGCTCGTTCTTTTAGGATGAAGATTCCTCCGCAGCCAACGGACTCCGGACCGGCGATTAGGCCGGCCACTGTTTTCTCCTACGGGAGGTGAAATCTTTCATTTGATGGCCGCTTTAGCAAAGTTTTCATCAGCCGAACTCTTGGCGAATATCAGTTTTGAATGCCAGTCTGGCGAGGTCTATTTCATATTTCCTGTATTTTTTGCTGGATCCCTCTAGTGCACAATACGCAACATAAAAAATTCGTTACATCCAGTAGACAAAAAGGACTATACCTATGGACAATTTCTGAAGACAAAGATAGACCAGAAAAAATAAGGAAACGACTAAGGATAAGAGAGTACATAAATAATCACACGTGTTGCTACCTGGGACAGTATCTGTGAATCATACAATGCGGGGAAATGGCGGGGTAATGCCACCCGAACCCTCCTGGGGCGAAAGCAGCGTGAAGGACTCTTGAAAACTTCCCGGTACCTGATACAATCTCCCATATCTTGGTATTCCAGGCAATAATTTCATCTGGCGCCTGTGACAATGGCAGCCAACGAGCCCGAACAGCCAGAACTCGGGAAGGACAAGTCCCTGGCCTGTCAGTCATGTCGGCGCAAGAAGACGAAATGCGACCGGGAGCAGCCGTGCGCACAATGCACACGCTTCAATACCATCTGTCTTTATGATGACTGTCGCTCAAAACCGGGTCTGCGCGCCGGCGCCGTCGAGAGGCTGCAGCAACGGGTCGACACGCTAGAGAATATGTTTCTCGGCCAAAGCCTTCTCTGGCAGAAGATGTGGAGTGCGATGGTGGATGGCATGTCGTCGAACATTTCCCCTCCGACCCAGAATGGCATCGAATCAGCAGGTATTACGGCGAGTGTGCAGCAGCTATCTGAGGAGGTCAAGCAAAGGTTGCTGCAAGAGGCAGCCGGGGCGGCTGACTCGGATGGCACTCAGATGGGGTCGTTGGGGCTAGGGCTAGAAATTGGAGAAAGAGAACACGAAAGACGAGAGGCTAAAGACGAAGAAGAGCCAGACGAGACGAGAGATGACATGGCCCAGCAGAAACCACTAGAACCACGTCCTGCAAAGCGCCGAAAACTGCATTTTCATTCCACTCTGGAACAGCAGGTGCCCGAGACAGTGGACGACTGGTCTGCCTCGCAGCTCTCTGCGCAGGGGCTGCTACCGCATGCAGTCATGATGGAGTTGGTTGATTTCCATTTCGCCAATGTTCATCCCTGGATTCCTATCCTCCATGTCAGAAGGTTTCGTGAGCAGCTGTACAGTCCGGACGGCTGGAACAGGGCCGTGCCAATTCTACATGCGATCCTAGCCACCTCCGTTCGCTTCACATCCCATCCTGCGGCTGGAGGCTTTCAATCCAAAGGAGAGATGGCGGCTGCTAGTCGCCAGAGAGTGATTTTCAACAGCATGGAGTCATTCTCGGTGGAGAATTTGCAAGCATTGGTGATTATCGCTTTCGATATAGTATGCATATGCTCATTCCCCAACAATGGCAGTTCATCTTGATAACAGCTACCATGCAGATTGGGAGTGGACGGGGCCCTTCAGCGTGGTCGGTAGTCGGCAGCATGACGCGCACGGTCGAGCAACTCCAGCTTAGTGTCGAGGATCGGGACGACGATGAGGGGAGAACAGCGAAGGGTGAGTATCTCATTAAGCGAATGGTCTTCTTAAAACCAGCGCAACACTGGTGGCAGACTGAAGAGCGAAGACGGGTATTCTGGACTGTGTTCCTGATGGACAGGTTTTGTAGCGTCTCGACTGGATGGAACCTGAGCCTGACGAGCGCAGATGTTCGACGGCGCCTGCCCTGCGAGGGAGCGTTATGGCAACGCGAGCAAGAGCAGACCACGCCGTTTTTTGGCATACTCGGCCACGGAGCCAGCGGTCCAATTTTGGACGACAGTAAGCACCCTGGGCAAGACTCCATTGGAGGGTTTGCCTACGCCATCGAGGCTACCGAGTCGCTGAGCCTGGTGGTCCATTTCTTCTTGCATAATGCCCTTGACATCGGTGACGTACAAAGGACCAAGAAATGGCTGCTGAGATTCAAGGAACTGGATTTACGGCTTGTGCAGTGGAAGCTGCTGTTGCCCCCAAAGTGGCAATCGGCTGCAGTGCTCAACGTGGACGGAATCATGGATCCGAATCTGACTCTGGCACATTTTACCCACAACACAGCACTTATTCTCCTCCATCAGAGTATGGCCTATCCTCCGGCACACTGGAAAGATTCGCCGGTGCGACTCCCGTCGGCAACTTCCCTCGAGACGTGTATCGAGGCGGCCTCCGAGATCGTAATGCTGGGTAGCCTGTTTCTCCAACACTCCTCCATTCTTGCCAACCCGCAGTTCTCTTTCTGTCTATTTATTGCCGGACGAATGCTAGTAGTACACTCTCAGCATGCCCGACTTTCTGTCTCAGCTCAGCTCGATAGTATCGTTGGAAGTTTGCTGGAGATATCCCGTCGGTGGGCTGGTCCCGGTGCCACAGATCACCGGAATCTGGCGTCGGTGTTTGGCGAAAGGCTCACGAAAGCTCGGCAATTCATGTGCTGCAATGCGACATCACCCGCGACGCCCCTCGATATTCGACAAGCTGCTTACTCCGAGTCTGTAGCTTGTGCCGGGGAGTCTTCGGTCGATGTCCGTGAGCGCTGTGAGGATGGCGTCAGAGCTTCCACGGGATCGTTACCACACGCTCCACAGAATTCTTCGGCTGAACCCGGTTTCCGTTGGATGTCAATTGAGACGCAGTCCTTGCTTGAGGGTCTTGGCGAGCAAGACCGCGTCGCGAATCATATATCACCTAGCGACTTCTTTAATGAGACCCTGAGCCTCGCGTTTCCACCGCTCCCTCAATCGCTGCAGGTGCAATATGACCCGCTGACGGAAATGACAATGGTAGACCCTTCCTGCCTGAGCAAGGAAGCCCCACTACCATTCCCTGCCCGACCTGCATCAGAAAGATCTCAATTTTGGGACCCGAATCCACAGTAGACATGCCCTCTTCTGTCCGGTATGCCAAGGGCGTTCTGACCAGCCGTCGGGTCACGTGAAAATATGTATTTATCTATGTCTTCCGTCTAATTCTTCGATGTACAGTATGGTTTAAACCTCTCATCGCCTTGAAACTTGATCTCTTCGTGAGCCAGTTCGGCCTAACTGCGGCCTCATTCCAAAATCCGTCTTCATTACAACAAGAACATAAATTGGCTCATGCTGCCATCCTAGAACCCAGGCTCGACCAAGTCCAGTTCAATCAACATATTACCCAAGAGCATGAAGTAATAGTCCGCATAGACAAGTCCGTGATTTGCCCACCGTCGCGGCGCAAATTCATAGTTGTTGATGGTCGCCCCGTTAAGAATCGTCTCTTTTGGCGGATGATGGGCCTCCCCTGTCCCTGTGCCGTCATCAACCACCAAGAAGCCAGATTCTTGCTTCAGCTGGTGGTCGGATGGCGCTCCATCTTTATACGTCTCGAACTCCTCCGAGGGTGAGACGGCAAAGCGAAATGTTGGAGGGTTGAGACACGATGCGAGCGTGCCTTGGACAATCTGCCTGACTGCTCGTAAATAACGCTCCGCAAGCTCCTCCATTCCCTGTGTCCGAAAAGCTCTATAAAGTAAGAGCATGCCGCACGAGGCTATCATAGCCGCCGATGTATCGCGGGGCGTCTCAACCGTGACAGGAGCGTCAAAGTCCCAGTATGGGACTCCGTCGGAAGGCAGATGCTCAATGAAATAATCTGCGAGCGCCTGCGCCGTCGCCAAGAAAGATGGATCCCGCGTCCAGAAAAACGTCTGCGCAAAACCCAGGATCCCCCATGCTTGGCCGCGCGACCAGCAGCTCTCGTCATTGAATCCTTGGTTGGTGAATTTCTGTTTCGGCTGTGCGGTCGTGTCGTCGAAGTTCACCACATGGTAAGAGGACTTATCGGGCCGGATGTGATGTTGTTGTGTGGTGCGGGCATGGGCGACTGCGATGTCGAATAGACGGTGATCGTTTGTCGCTCTCGCGACCCAGAAGAGCATATCCAGGTTGAGCATGTTGTCGATGATGACTAGAAAGTCCTTAGACGGATCCTCGAAGGCATACCGTTTGGTGATGCACGTGTCCCAGCTCCGGATCGCCCGGACTCGGGGACAGAACCGCCGCGCCAGCGTGTGGGCGGCGACGACGAGGGTGCTGAATGCGCGCGCGTCCTGCTGAATCTCCCAGGCCTTGATTGCCCAAGGGGCGATCATGAACCCCAAATCGTGCGTCGTGCTCAGCAGGGCGTTTTGGTGCAGATTGATGGTCCACCATTGGCACAGATACTCGAGTTGCAGGTGGTGCGGACCGGTGGTTTTCCTGTCGATACGGCGGTGGTCGTACATGGTTTGCCGTTCGAGCAGCAGGTACAGAGACCCGGGGAAGAATCCCGAAGTCCAGAAACTCAGATCTCGATAAACATACCTCCCACCATCTCGACCGGTATATTCTGGGTAGAAGATGGGTGGTTCCGCCTGCGGAAGCAGTCAGTCAGGTAAAGGCCAGCCGCAACACCCGCAATTGCTTCTTCCCGCGCGGTATTAGGGCTAACTCGTCGCGGCGACTTGCCTTTCCCAGTGCCCTGCTCGCCACATGCCACAGCTTCGCGGCCACTGACTCGGAGAAGAGAATGTCCGTCAATGATTTGGGCAAAGTACTGCTCATATGAGGCGACTGCCGGCTGCCCTCGAACTTTTGCGTCGATCCTGTGGATCTCAATTGGGTGTCATCTGACTAACCCTCGATTAGTACCCTGTCGCTAAGCGCCAGGGAGCGGGCCGTTGAGAAAGCGAGGGGGCATTTCACAAACTTACCAGCATGTTTTTGTGATCAGCACACGAAAACAGACGCAGGGAAGTCATAGTGTAGTCTGTAACGTGTAGATTAAATAGTGGATCCTATAGCGGCCCGGTCGTCAACTTTGCCGAGCTGGAGATCGGGTATGATCCCACTGAGACTCACTGCCGCGCGTTTATCGTCTTTACAAGGCAACTACAGAGTAGACATTCTGTACATATATAATATCCAGGAACTGGTTATCGATCACTTGGGTTGGAGATCCAATGGGAAAAGGGCCGTTCAATGGCCCGGCGAGTGCCCGGATCCTCAAGGTCTTGGTACCCAGTAGTCGCCAAGAGGAAACCCTTCGGGATAAGTAGCGGCAGCTGCACCGAGACGAGCACACGCGGCCCCTGTCCCCACCTAATCCTTCCTCCTTTTTGATCTTGAATGCAGAAGAGATCAGTGAGTTCCTGTCAATTCGGGTTTTAGAGTACAATGCAGCATCCTCTGCTTTTTGCACACCCGTCCAGGAAACGGCCCGTTCTATCTGCTACCAAAACCAATCTCGCGGAATAATTTCCACTGCTCCCTTTCTTTCGGGAATATATTGTAAACTCACCAAGCTTAAAGCCATCGAGCAACCCAGAAAACCAAAACTTAATCCGGTTATTCATATCTAGGTCTCACGTCTGCGAAAACGATGAAGCTGACGCTTCCGGTTGCCTTGATTTCACTGGGCGTGGCATCAGCCTCCCACCATGGAGCATCCTGTGGCTCCAGCCGCGGAGCGTCTCGCGGTACCGCCGCCACATTCACCCATCCGGGCCTCCTTCATTCGGCTTCGGACTTTGCGCGCATTGTGGACAAGGTTGCAAGCAGGACGGAGCCTTGGCTGACGGGCTGGTACACGCTCAGCAACAGCTCCAACATCGACCTGGATTACACCCCGTCGCCCAAGACGACCGTCTATCGGGGCGCGGATGGGGTGCACGCGGAGAACTATCCTTCCTTGTACAGGGACATTGCAGCGGCCTACGCCATGGCCATCTACTGGAAAGTCACCGGCAACACCAGCTACGCGGATGTGGTGGTGAACATCCTCGACGAATGGAGCTCCACCCTGACCAACATCTCCGGCACCACCGACCTCTACCTGGCCGCGGGCATCTACGGGTATCAGTTTGCCAATGTCGCGGAGATGATGCGCACCTACTCCGGGTGGCCCGCGGCCAATCTCACCCGCTTCATCGACATGATGGTCGACGTGTTCTACCCGATCAACCATGATTTCTTGGTGAATCACCACGGCGCCGCCGTCGACCATTACTGGGCCAATTGGGATTTGTGCAACATCGCCTCTGCCTTATCAATCGGCGTTCTAAGCGACAACCAGACAATGTACAACGAAGGGCTGACGTATTTCCAGTCCGGCGCGGGGAACGGGCAGATCGAGATGGCGATCTGGAAGCTGTACCAGGCGGACGGGGAGACTTTAGGGCAGGGCCAGGAGGCTGGGCGAGATCAGGGCCATTCCATGTTGGATTTCGCCCTCCTCGGCCCTATCGCGCAGACAGCGTACAACCAGGGAACCGATCTTTTTGGATATCTGGATAACCGAATTCTGGCAGGGTGCGTCACCAGCCCCATTCCCCTTTTCCCGCCCCCCACAGGCTATCATATCATTCTTGTTCTTCTGGCTAACGGGTAATGATCCAGCGCTGAATACGTAGCCAAGTACAACCTGGGCTACGATGTCCCCTACACGACATACGATAACAGCGACGACGTGAACCAGACGGTGATCAGCAATAGCAGCCGCGGCGATATCCGGCCCATCTGGGAGCTCTTATACAACCACTACGGGGTTCTCAAGGGGTTGAATGTCACCTATACTGAAGCCTATCGCAACAGGGTCGTGCAAGATGGCTCTGGTGCGGAGGGCGGTGGCGGTGACTATGGAACCGCAAGTGGCGGGTATGACCAGTTGGGCTATGGCACTCTGATGTACACTCTTGCTTGAAGATTGGAATAAAGGTTTTCATCTTGAAATATAGTGTGGAACGGCGAATAAAGTAAAAGGAAAACCCCCAAATATCTATAGGTAACTTTTGCTTCTGCAGTGGGCTTGTGTTTGTAGCATGCATTGACTACAACTCACAGAGATTTACAGCCGTGGATCAGTTGGTAAGAGGCTTACAGGTAGGCCTACTTCTTGATGTGTTGCTGGGAATGAGGGTAGGGCTAGGATAGGAGACTGTATACCTGGGCAAGCATGAAGCATGGTGATGGTAGCTTCCTCCGTAAGTACTGTACCTCACCTCTGGTTCAATGCCTGCCCTTTCTCCACTCTCCTTCTCTCTTTCGTAATCTTCCAAAAGCATCTATATATGATCTCTAGCTTGAGTCAACAGCGGTCCTGCTCCGTTGGGATTCAAGCTAGAGATCTCATCGGATATATTGTCTGTCACTTTGTGGGCATTGATGCAGTACATATATTTAGGTCAGATCAGAGGCAGATTCGTACTGCAATATAAGATAACCCGTCCGGCGCATCGAAAATGGTACCGTGCCCGGTGGACTGCACCGTCAGATTATTGTAACCGTACTGACCGTTGAACAGGATTGGGTTGTTTGAGTTCGACTCCCAGGGACCCTCAGGCGACGATGAACGCTCGATTGTCGCCCGATGGAGATCATCGGTTCCACCTGTTCCAGAGACAGGCCAGCTGCCAGGGGCGCTACGGGTCTTTGTCGAGCTACTTCAAGTAGACTTGCCTTTAGCGATCAAGAGATAATAAAACCCCTCACGCCAGAACATTTCTGGGCTCTCGGGCCTTGCAGAGGAATCGTGTGTCATGGTGCCATTCCACAAGGAGCGATACTGCCCCTTACATCGCCCGGTGCTGAGGTCGACCTCGCACTGGTAGATCCCCCAGATCCTGTCAACGTCGTTATTCGGCGCCATTAGGTTGAGGGGAACCTTCTCGGAGACCGGGTTATGGAACAAAGATGGATCAATTCCCCAGCAGTCGGACCAGATCGGGTCACTCCACGTCTTGAGATCCTCGGACACGGACCACATCACGCGGGACCCTGCACGAGCAACAGGGTCATAGGTCCATCGAGTCATGGATGCCAGGTAGTACATTCCGTTTATATATGATAATGTTGGGGCTCAAGTACCTACACTTCTCGGCAAAAAGACTCGAGTGCTGTAGGAATGAAACGAGGTTCAGCATGTATGTATATATCAGCTCCCGTAGGGACGCCGTACATTTCACTTGGCTGGGCCTTGTGAATGTATGAGCGTACAACGTCCAATTACCGAGATTTGTGGAGGTGTAGATTGGCGTACTTAGCCAATATTCGAAAGAAGAGGTTGCGAGAAAATAGTTGCTGCCAACCAGTAGGATCGAGTTCTTGAGTCCGGTCGCTACCTGAAAAAAGAGCTGACTGACGAAGATTTGAACAAAATTAGGGCGCATTGTAAGAAGGTGCTGAATGGGTAGGTCGATGGTATGGAAATTTCTGCCTGAGGCCTCTTTGTTTAGAGCCGGGATGAATGTAGTATGTCGAAGTGGCTGATATGTGGCGCTTCCTATATCTTTTCTCGGGGCTGGCGAAAGGTGGAGAAGATGAGGACTATCGGAGCAAGGTTCGCCGTTATTATTTCCGCATCAAACCCCAGAAACATGGTAATGATTTTCTTTTGTGAGAATGAGAATCAAGAAGTAAAGACAAGAAAGAGAAGAAGAAATGTGATACTGACGGATAGAGAGAAGAAGGTTATTTGAGGGAGAAGAGGACAAAGCTATCATTCTTTGAAGACAAACTATTGAGTTTACCACGTATTGTCCCATTGAAGATGTCAACCGCCATTCATGTTCGCCAGGTTTGTTGATCAACGACTTCTGTCTCAGGCTCCATCACTTCGGATCCCCGATTACCCCAAATACAGGAAAACCCTGACAGGCGTCTCAAAGGTATTCCAGTAGCACCAGTACAGTCAGGAAACCGAGAGTGGATCATGAGCGGCGCCATGCGTCAATTCTAAACGGAGGGCAAGATCGCGGCGAGCCCGAGCAACACCGGACAACCGGGGCAATTGCCGGTCGCTCCTCCGATCAGTGCTCTCGTAGTGCTCTCAAGGGGCTTTGACCGTCCTAGTGAATTAACTACTGGTACTCAGGGATACTGACTCAGCACTGAAGTCACGAACTAATTAGTCAAGACACTAGCTAGCAAATAGGTCGGAGATAGCAGATGTCGCCGTACTTATATAGCCGCAACATGGCTCCCTCCCATTTCGGCATTTGGCCATCCTCAGCCACACATTATCATGTCCGCATCAAAGAAAGTCGACACTGGAGAGTCCGCCCACCATGAGGATCTCGACGCGACTCATGAGAAGACGGCCCATACGACCCGTATGGAGAAGCTGGATCCCCACGCAACGAACTCGGCCATTGTGATCACTCCTGCCACCAACAGCCGCCTCTTCTGGAAGATCACTCGCCGAATTCTGGCCATCCAAGTTGTTACCTATTTTTTCCAATCCCTCGACAAGGGCATACTGAATTATGCGTCCATCATGGGCATCAAGACTGATACTCACTTGGTCGGGCAACAAGTAAGGGCTACTCCGGATTTGCCAGTTGTCGTCGTCGATGACATCTACTGAAAACTCTTCCTAGTATTCTTGGCTGGGGTCAATCCTGTATTTCGGTATTCTTGTGGGCGAGTACCCGCAAAACTTCCTTCTACAGAAACTCCCTTTAGCGAAGATGCTAGCCGTCAACGTTTTCATCTGGGGAGCCATCGTGGCCTGTTCAGCAGCAGCTACCAACTTCGCATCTCTTATGGTAGTACGGTTTCTATTGGGGTTTTTTGAGAGTTGCGTCCAACCGGCAATGATGTTGCTGTAGAGTCCCACCGTTCTTATGTGATCGACATTTGGTCTGAGCTAACAACCACCTAGGACATCGATGTGGTACCGGCGCGAGGAACAGTCTGTCTTGAACTCAATATGGTACTGCATGTATGGAGTGCAGCTGATGGTATGTTACATAATTCTACGCACCTGATATATGGAACTGATCATGTCAAGGTTGGTGGCCTGCTTTCCTTCGGTGTCTCCAAATTCCAAGGAGGGCCAATCTTCAACTGGCAGCTCTTATTCCTCATTCTGGGATGTGCAACATGCGTCTGGTCCTTTTTTATCGGTCTCTTCCTGCCCGACTCACCTTACTCCGCCAAGTGCTATACTGAAGAGGAGAAGGCATTAATGATTGAACGTGTGCGGGATAACGAGACAGGAATTTCCAACAAGGAGTATAAAAAGTACCAGGTGGTGGAGGCTCTGACTGATCCCTTTGTGTGGTGCTGTGTGCTGATGATCCTGGTGGCCAATTTTATCATCGGGGGTCTGGGTGTATTCTCCAACCTCATCATCGAACAGTTTGGCTTCACGCTCCTCCAGACCCAGTTACTAAATATCGCGCAAGGTGCATGGACGATCGGTGTCATGGTTGGGTCGGCTTGGACTGCCCAGCGAGTCCAGAAGACTTGCTTGGTTATGCTAGTACGTTCCCGTCTTGCCTGCACCTTTCCAGTTATGCCACCTTTGTCTCTGAAGTCTGACTGACATGGGAATGCTCGAACAGCTCTGGACAATCCCCGCCATCGCGGGCACCATTTGCATCCTTGTGGTCACGCCGTCCTCCTCAAACAGCGGGGGCATGCTCATCGCTTTCTACTGCACGCAATGCTTCCTAGCCGAAGGTAACCTAATTATCTCTCTGGTCACACGCAACATCGGGGGACAGACCAAAAAAGGCATCACCATGACCATGATCTTCGTCGGGTGGGCGGTTGGCAATCTGGTGGCTCCGCAGGTCTTCCAGAACTCGGATGCTCCCCGATACCTGCATGGATTTCTGGCGCACATCGTGATCTACGGTGTTTATGGTGCTCTGGTGGTGGGGACATGGTTGTTGCTGCTGGCCCGGAACCGGCTCAAGACTCAAGCTGCGCCGGATCTGAATCACGAGTTGGCCTTTGACGATCTGACGGACAAGGAGAATCCGAACTTTCGCTATGTGCTCTGATTCCCTGTCCAAGGTATGGGGGTGGATAACCACCCTCGGGGGGGTCTGTAATTTATCTGGATGGTTCCCAAAATGTGGCGTCTAGAATGCATCATAACGAGGAATTGGATTCTTTCTCTTGACCTGGAGAGCAGGATATCTTGTTGTGAGATGCTTTCAGATGGAACTCAACGATTGTGGTTTTGTTTGAAATCTGGATTGTCGATCCCTCAAGCCAGAGAAGACTGTACACCACCACTACAGAACCAGCCTTCAGGACCGAGAGGAGCCAGCAAGCAGTGCAGCAGGTCATTTTCACCGCCGGTCCCAAGTAAACGAGCCGGTCGCATCGATGGTTAAAAGCCTCAGGCACAAATTGGATACCAATCACCACCCGCCACGAATCAATGCCGACCGTTAACGGAATGTACACATTGTATCAGTTTACACAAATACTTTGACATCCCCAGACTACTAATGAGCAAAAACATCGTCTTCGCCAAATCAGGGACACAATAACAATTTATTCTAAGCTCAAAAACTAATCAAGATGCAAGATACCCAAGAAGCATGTTTCCAGCTGATGAGTATCTCCACGCGCACAAAATGACCCCCCGAAAATATAGCCCTAAGTCCAGCAACATCCGCCCTGATGGCTAGTGCTGAATGCAAGACTGACAAACGGATTCTCTACAAGCTGGAATCCACAGCACACGGGCATCTAGAGACGAAGTGCCTCCTTGATGGCCTCAACAGTGAGCATCCGTTCGACACGTGGCTTCAGCTCTGCGATCCTCGATGCTTGTTCTTGTGGCGAAAGGTCAGCCAGCCGTAGGGCGACTAGTTCGTGGAGTGTGGGTGCTTCTTCCCGTGGAACCAGTAATCTGAAAATTTCTTCAAGAGAGAATTCGTCTCGAAGCCTATCTCGGAGCGCTCCCAAAGTAGCGACAGGTTTGGGTTGTCGGAAATGGTACCAGTTTTCCTTGCTCTCCTCGCTCGCCCCGGCCACAAGGCCCAGCGCACCACGCGACGGGTTGCTCTGACGTTGCGCACGGCTAGACTGCGCTTCCAGCCTGATCTTGAAATTCAAACGCGGGTCACCACCGCATAGCAAGAAAAGATGGAACAGAGGAAAGAGGCGCCGAAGCTTTAGAAAGTCAGGTGTGTAAGCTAAGGCCTCGGCCAGGAAGCATTCCCAATGTGAAAGGTTTACCGCATCATCGAGGTCGGCAGGACTGTCTAGTGAGAAACCTCGAGACAGAAAGGTCTTGAGAGTCGCGATGAGGCCCCACGTCAAGTGGGAATCCTCTGCCTGCGTTGCGATAATGGCGTTGTAGGCTAGCGTGTTGAATGGAATCTTTTGCCCGAGAACATCTAGACCCTCGGGCCATATTATCCCATTGCATGCAGCGAGGATTTGGGACAGTACCTCGACACTCACACTGGCCTCTGGATCTTTCTCTCCTGGATTGAGCACCGGATCCGGAACAGGAACTGGCGACGGTTTCCGCCAAAAGATCAATCGAAAGTCGAATTCAGACGGAAGAGTGTGTTCAATAGCTCTAGCAACTGTAATCAGGAATCGGGCGATCCTCTCCGACCGCCGCGGAGTTTGATCTAGTCTACCCAGAGCCTTGAGAAGCTGATGGACATTTCTAACATCGGTCCAGAATTCTTGACAAGGGATATACAACGAGAAATCCTCAATCGCGTATGGCAATGTGGTCTTGCAGGAGACCTCTCGCGTGGAACGCGATAGCATGACGGGCTGGCGCCACTGTTTCAAGGTGCGTCGCTGCAATCTGCTGTATGTGGCACGGCATGTGAGGTCGGCCAGCAGTATCTGGCTCAACGCATCCAGTACATCACACCCATCAGGAAACGCCTGGTATTGAGTGAACGTGGGCTCTTGTATGAGGAATTCGGGGATTGATCGATGCGCGAACGCGACCGTTGTTTTACGGGTCACTTGACGGTGCGATACTTCCAGAAGCCCCCGACATCGGCGATTGATATGCGCTTTGGTTCGTTCGAGTCGCGCGAGGAGTTTCTCCTCTCCCTCAACTTCGGTATCAAGTCTTAGAGTATATGCGAAATTCGGATCCTCGAGGTACTTCTCCAAGAAGGAAAAGAGAGACAAGGACCACGGAAGGGACGCCACAAGGACCATCTTCATCAAGGCAAATGCATATCTCGATCTGCTCTTCAGGATTGAGGTTATAATGTGCTGGAACAGGTCCGGTAACTCTCCATGGAGTTCCTTGACCCGGCTCTTAAGGTCATCCAGTCTAGCGTCACCGTCAATGTCACGCTCGAGTTCTCCCATTATCAGCCGACTCCACAAGAATACCCCCTCTGCCTTTCTTACGATGCATGTTTCTAAATCTAGCCGATCGTGGTCGCTCCAATTCCGGTAGCAAGTGTGGCCATTCAATCTGCCACGCACGAATCTAGAAATGTCCGTGTAATTCACATCCTGGAGCCGGAATGTGCCGGACAATCGATGCCGCTTCTCGAACTGCACTTCCTCGCGGCTCGACACGCAGATTTTGACGTCGGCGGGCATATGAGAAGCCCAGTCCATGAGGTTATCGCATAGCCGAATGCGGTCACCCTTGAATTCATCCAAGCCGTCGATAAAGATGACGAGCTTGTGGTCGTCGTATATATTATTTTTCTGCTGGAGTTTTTCCACGGCTTTCTCGAAACCGTTATCGCTCAGCGGCGGGAGTTTGCCTTCGGATAGCTCTGGGAATATGGCGGGGGTGAACTCAGGTGCTCGAGTGAGGATAGAATGGAGAAGTCCACGGATCAATCCCTGCCGGTTGTGTTCATTGTTGGCGTCCTGCTCGCTTGGCGGAGGCTTCCCATTCCCAATAAAATACCTCGCTACCACGAGACTTTTTTGGCCAGCCCACGCATCCAGATGCTTCCGTGGGTGCGGTGACTCGCAGAGAAATTTCATGAGGGTTGATTTCCCCGAGCCAGGCTTGCCTGTGATATGAAAGATTCCTTGGCCCTTTTTGAGCCAATGGACGAACTCTTTGCGCGTCTCTTCGCACCAAGTTTGGTTTTCCTTGCAAGGCATGACGGCTTCATCAACCAACCACTCCAGGGTCTGGGTGTATGCTGTGTCAACCCTCATGTACCAAGAGCCCATACCAGCATATGCTAGCTGCTCAAGGACAAACCTGTCCACTCGAATAGGGGCGACATCAGCCGTCAGTTCTTTGAATCCTTTTTGAATGGCAATCGTATTTTCGTCCACTTTCTGTTCAATGGCAGTCGTCCTCTCGTCCAGCTTCCGGCGCAGATTAGACACCTCGGCCGATAATTCCGAAACTGCACTCGAGATGCTGTCGAGTTGCAAGTCAAACCCCGTTGCAGAACTGGGTGTACTTCAGGATTTCTGCGGTGCGTTCCTTGATGGTTTTGACAGAGTCGCTTACTCTCACGCTAGTGACCGGAAGGCATCAGTATCGACTCTCGACAGCTGCGACATATTGTGTACCTAGTCTCTTACCTGATGAGCAAGTTTAGTCGGCTTTCATACTTCTCAAGCTTGGTTTTGAGGTCTGTGATCTTGCCCTCCGCCCACCAAATCGCGAAGAACTTCTTGAACTTGTTTCCGTTGTCTCTCAGGTTGCTTAGGATCTGCTCGAGATTCCTGGACTCTGAGAGGCATTCCCTGCACAGACTCTCGAGTTCAAAGTCATTGACCTTTCCACGACTCCTGAGCTGCGTCACGACCACGCTAAATTGGTCGTTCATTTTCCTATGGTCCTCATTCACGGTTGTTGTCCCTTTTTGGTAGATCTCGACAGCAAGGTTGACCGCCTTGACCCCAACCTCGATGAACTATGTTGCTCGAGTTTATTTGGAGCGTAGCTACACAGATTGCCTTTTGCCAAAAACATATGTTTAGTTTCATAGTGTAATTTATTTCTGAGTTTCAATTGTCTCATTAGTACGATTCATGTAACTCCACAAAGAAAGTGTCCTCGCTATCTTGTTTTCCATTTTCTTTATCCACTTTTTATCTTTCTGTCGCTCACTCGTCTTTTCTTTCCTCTTTCAAATAAATGACGTCTTTTGTCTTTTGTCAAGGGTTCATCTTTTACTGGCGAACGATGCCCAGAATAGCTTAAATTAAGCCTCCTCCCTGCGTTGACGTGAAAGACGCGGGTTTGAGTAGTGGATTAGTGCCCAGCCACGCGACTCTTCTCATAGCATTGCAGAACAGTGACAGCGGAACGACAGTACGCTCTCGGCTGTTCAAGTCCACTGGGTCTTCTGGGCCCGGTCACTCTTCATGCTTATAATTCTACCCTGATATCAATTCTACCCCCAATACAGAACTCTTACTAAATAATGCAATCAATTGAAATTCGGAAGTACACTCAGACTAGCGGACAGTAAGTAGTTAGACGTTCTTATAAGGCCATACCTTAGTCACGGACCCGGGCCGGGCCACCCCCGCAACAGTCGCAACAGTCGCAGCAGCAGTTGCAGCACGAGAAGCATTCAAAACAGCTCACCCCCGCACACCTGTCCCTATTGTCAGCAAGTAGGACCATCGTCTCAAATCAGGGGCCAGTCACTAACAGTCCACAACAAACGTCCTCCCCTTCGCCCCCGCCTCGTAGTCGGACCATTGGCTCGCCCATGCGCTATTTACATTAGTCACCACTAGTTACTCGGTACTCAGAATGACCTACCGACTTCGACCAGGTGACGGATTCGGTGGAGGTAATGTCTGCGCATTCTACCTTATCATGTAGGGGAACGTGCGAATGACGAGCACCGGTCCATTGATACTACTTCTTAGACTGCACTCCGTTAAGGTCTTCCTTCCCACCATTGGTCGTCACACGGGTCCAAGCACATGACGGTCTTAGCCCTACCTCACTACCTAGACACTACCTAGTAGGAAGCTGCAGATGAGCATTCGCTTGAGGGAAATTCGGACGCCAGTAAAATTAAACCTCATCAACACCTTCAAGCAATCACAAATGCCTCACTAAAAGTGGTCAACCAAGTCGGTGAGTACGCTAACCAAGCGCCCGTCTACAACCCTGGTCCCCAAATCGATGCACTGCAATACAATCCCCTCGAAACTTTCTCTGATATCGCTATATGGTTCCAGAAGATATGATCACAAATGATCCCTCGTCCGCTCCGCGCACCACTTCCAGAACCCACTCGCCCGCCCGGTGCCGCTCTCCTCCACCGGCGCCAAATGCCGCGCCAGGTACAGCGCCATCCCGGGAGGCAGTCGACCCCACGGGATCACATACGCACCGTTATTCTCATCGTCTAGATGCAGAGGGAGATAGTACAGCTGGCCGCCAGTGGTGGTGGTGCTTGCTCGAATGGCCTGGGTGGCCGCCTGAGCGTGCGGCTTGGACCGGCCGGCGATGTAGACTGTCGCCCCTTTCTGGTAGAGCATGCGCACCGGATGCACCGCCGGTCACGATGACGACTTTCCCCTGCTGCGAGGGAGGGTCGGACAAGGTGAATTACGGGCGCGAAGGGAAGGATTACGGAAATTGAGCACCCATTATCAGATGATGAGCTGAAGTTGGCAGTAAGGGCTTAGGATGTAAGGGTGGGAAGTTCTTAAAAAGTGATGGAATTCATTGCAGCCAGAGCTGGGTTCCGAACTTCCTTGGCCAGCTCACTATGCTCGTCTAATCTGGCGTGCTAGCGCAAGAGTGAGATTCTAGGGTGCTTCCCTCAAGCCCACTGGCCTTAATCTAGTGCGTATCCTGTGGGCTCCCCGGTTTGGCTGGCGGCAGGAGCCACTTACAATGATCGGACATTAAACTACAGGCACTAAGCGAGCTGTTTCGAGGCATGATCAGGGAATTGGATAGACCAGGTCTCCACATGGTGGCTGAACAGCACAGTTACAAGTAAAGACTGTTGATCCGGGGCCAGACGCACTCGCACCTCCAGCGGTAGCTTCTCGACCAACAAGAACGTGCGCAATCCCTCCCATTGCAACTCTCTCCTATTTACTGCCTGGAAGTCAAAGCTAGTCAGTAACCTTGCGAGGATCAGTCGCATTTCCGCCCATGCCAGGTGCTGGCCAAGCCAAGACCGCGGCCCTGTGTCAAAATGAGTGCACAGCCTGGGGAGGCTGCTGATGTCGATTACCTTAGATGCAACTGAGTCTAAGTTATTGAGCTATTTCCCTGTCGGTCTGGGCTCACTAGCCCAGGCCCTCGCCTTAATATACTTTTGTGTCTATCCACAGATTCCAGTTCATTCATCTGTTGCCCCCTTCTTTTACTCCGCGTCCACGTCCTCGACCAATTTGGGTAGCCTCGGCCATCCGCATTTGCTCTAACCTCTCTGTGAGCTCCTCCAGCAACCTTTCAGGGGCCTTTCCATAAGCATTGGGTCGATCCATCGAGCCTCCTGCCTCCACCAGCATTTCGATCCATTGCTTTCGTGCTCGGACCGGAGCATCCTTGGGCTGCGAGGGGTCAGGCCATCCACGTTCGTCGAGCTTGCGGATGAGTGTCCCTTTCATCACCTGATGGAGAGGTGTATTCCCCTGCTGGTCGGCCACGTCCACCTCTGCTCCACAACTGATCAGATACCTTGCTGCCTCGACCTGATCCATGTTTCTAACGAGATAATGCATCGCCGTACAGCCATCAGCATCCGTCGCGTTTATGTCTGGCGAAGATTGCAGTAGACGCTCAAACATTGCCAGTGGAATGTGCTCATCCCAAACGTGGGCACACAGGCGATGCAGACACAATCGAGCATCAGCCCCGTGGGCCAGCAAGATATCAATCAACTGCGTGAACCGCGCATCCTTGATTTTCCCGAGTCGCATACCATGGCCATCTACTGCATCCTGTAGAATTGTAGGCTCAGAAGTGTCTCCCTCGCGTTCGTCGTTGCAGACAGCGTTCAAAGTCGCCGCTAGCGGTCCAGCATCCAGCAACATCTCCACCACCGCCAGAACGCTCACCGGTCCCGCGTGGCGGGATCTCACCGCATAATGAAACGCCGTGGCCCCCAGCCGGTCTCGGGCGTTGATTGTCTCAGGGTCTACTGCTAGAAGGTATTTGACGGTCTCGACCAACCGTTCGGAGGGTATCTTCTCTTCCTGCGCCATTTCATCATCTGTGTCATCATCCTTGTTCTCTTTTCGAGGCTTGTCGTCCGGCGTGCCCATCAAAGCCCAGTGGAGGGGAATCCGGCCCTGATCGTCCTGGCGGGAAATCATCTCCGCCACACTCACCCCCTCGCCGCGATGGTCCACCAGCGCACGAATCCCCTCGAGATTTCTGTACACGCTGGCGATATGTAAGGCGGTGACTTCTCTGCTGCGTCCAATGACACCCTCATCAGTCATCCACAGGGTAGGATCACACCAACTCTGCCGGGCATGCACGTCTGCGTCTTCTGCAATCAGCCGCGATGTCAACTGGTAGCTAGCATGCGGTATTGCGGCTCCGAGCATCGTCTCTTGCAGCTTTTTCGCGGGCTGCGATGGCTCACTAGCATTGCCGTCATCGTCATCGCGTCTCTGTTCCTCGTCCTCCTGTCCAGCATGGAAAACATCCGACCCCCGAACCGAAGACCCCTGGTCTAGTAGAAAGTGAATGAACTCCTCATGCTCCGCAAAGCCCACCCCCCGCCTAAGCCCGCTGGCAGCGCTGAACAGCGGCGTGTGGCCGCGGGCGTCCCGATCCTGCAGCGTCGCCAACGGGGGATCGTGCTGCAGAAGCCAGAGCAACATCTCCCGGTTCGCGGCAGCACACGCCTCGTTGATGGGCGAGAAATCCAGCTGCGTCAGATATTGGTCCAGCGGCGGTTGCTCGGGGTTATTATACGTTGGATCTGTCAAGTAGATCTCGATGAGGGCGCGAAGAGCCTCCCAGCTGCCGGAATCGGCCGCCACAAAGAAGGGGTGCCAGTAGGGGGCCTCGTATCCCTCCCAGAATACCCGCGTGTTGGGCGATGCGTGATAGAGTCGGAGAGCCGCGAGGTCGTTTCGCGCCACGATGCGGCCGCAGAGCCCTCCCCACCCATCCTCATATACTGGGGAGCCGTCAGTGTCGTGGAATGCGAAGGCCCTGTGGCGTTCGTGGAACTCGGGGTATGACATTGTGCGTCCGAGGTATGCATGGGAAGAAACAGTCCAGACGGCGAAGGGGGAGTGGCTGCCGGGGGAAGTGGGTGAGCTTTATAAGTTACCCGCAAAACCATTTTGCAGCGGGCTCCCGATGCGGGAAGGCGCCCTTCGTGAGTGCGGGGGGACGTGGAAGTACCTGGATGTCATATTGCACTTTATTGCCACTGATAAGCCCTGAAACCATCCTCTAGGTCATTTGTGAATCATCTGTATATATCATCGAAGCTATGCGGTGATCTCTCACTCTCTCTCTCTCTAACTAGTGTAGAAAGCCAATTCGTTCCCCAATGATGACATTTGTCTGGTGGGATATATAGCCAGCAGGTTTGCACCTGGTCAAGAAATCTAGAAATTGTCACTGTACCTTGATTAACTCTCGCCAATTTGAACTTCGTCCTGCTAAACCTAATGTCTTTCTAGACAATCTTGAGTCTATAAGAAAGAAAAGGTATCTTCGCCATGTGGCCACCACGGGCTATCACTCCTGTAGTACTGTAGCACTTCTTCTGATTGATGAATGAGATGCTACGAGTCTATGAGACCATGGACTTGTGTGTCTGTCTGTGATGCTAGTCTCTTTGCTTTATTTTCCACTGCCATTATCATGCCGACCGTGTACGTTGTGAAGGAGAGAATTGCGGACCTGGTACTGTCTAAGGCATATATACCAAAATGAGTAACTTGAAACAATTCATAATCAGGCTTGATGCTCCCTCTGAACGTGTGAGTGATGAAGTACCGGCGGTGACTGTAGGTGTTTGGAATATCTCATAGAAGACTAAAGATGATATTCCTAATGCTAAAACTTAATGGAAACTACTTATCCTTGTTTGTAGTAAGGCAAGTAGGCTAATACCACCGCGAGGCTCATGGGGCGGGGGTTGACAGTTGCTGGTATAGATGACTCAGCATCTTCATAATGGTGCACAACGGTTTGTGCATGCCTCTGGGCCTTCACGTATGCATCCATGCTGAAAAATAGACTGAGTAGTAAGTCATGGTTTATCTCACATAATAGAAATATTCGCATGTGATACTTCTAGCTTCCGTCACAGGCGATAGTCACAGCAGCCACACAACTAACAGTCTGCACCTTTCAGTCTGTGCAGTCTTCTCTATGTTGGAACACATGAAAGGACTATGAGTCGTGGCCGCATTCTCGGAGACTGCAACTCATGACGAAAAGAATTGTGTACCAAACTCTCTCTGAAACCTTAGAGGTGTCTGTAACCGAGAGAACCGTATGGAGGGTGGTGGTCCAATGCTTTGGTCGCCCGAAATCTCAGTCAGAAGATCGACAGCCGGTCTTCAACGCCACAGGGATCGTCGCTCGCTCCATACCGTGGCTCAAGGGGGTTGCACAGTACTCCAGATATCAGCCCTTCTCGACTTTGATCAGCACGAAGCGGAAATCTTCAGACCGGGAGACACGAACCAAATCTAAGATATAAAAGCCGATCTCTTGGATCTATGAAAGTAAAGGGTGAGCAAATGTCAATTCCAACGGCAAGACAAAGATTCGTTCGTCCAACGTAGCCTCATCTGGAACAACCTTGGAGGCCGGTCCTTGAGACAATCCCTGCAGCTGCTCTCAGGTAGGTAAGACAGAGGCACTCTCGCACCTGCCGAGACTATGAATAACATCATGATGCAGACTGACGCAGAAGAGACTGCCACAAGCATTGGCCACCCGATTATAAAACCGTCCATCTTTCCTAGTCGATTGCATTCGCCTTCACCTCTTGCTAAGCTGGAGCCCTCATCAACATCACAATGAAATATTCCATCGCAGCTGTCGTGTCCGCACTCGCAGCCAGCGCCGCAGCTCTTCCCTTCCCCTCTGCGTATACTCTTGTCGCAGATGGAGGCTGGACGGTGGTCACCGACGGAAGTATGCCTCCTTCCCCTCCCATTTTCCAGCATCCGAGAGTCTTGTTCTTTATCTGACATCGCTCTAGCCCATGCCTTTATCGGCACCGGAGACATTGACAACTATCCCGTCCTGATCTGTAAGCTCCACCCACCCAATATAACCCTCATCCGTTCCAACTACTAACCATGCGGATTGAGGAACAGTGAAAGGAGGCAACAACAACAGCAAAATCACCGGCGCAGCGCAACACCGCTCCTCCGCCGGCGTACAACATCTCTACGTCATGGGGAGTACGGAGACGCCCGTGACGCTGACGAGCCCCGACGCCGATGCCCCCAGCGGTGCCGTCGTGGCGGGATTTGGGGTCGACAATCAGAATTACCTGACGGTCAACGGGAAGAGCAGCGCTTTCGGGGTGGATCCCAACTCGGGCCAGATCAGGGAGATCTACCATCTGGGGAAGGGATCGGACTCCCAGTACCAGCCGATTTCGTTGTGGGTGAAGGAATGCAAGGGGTGTTAGGTGGTGTTGCATTGGCATTGTTGGGGCGAGAAGGCTTGCTGTGGCGGTGTGGGTAGGAGAGAGGATGCTCATACGCGTAAGTAACTTGTAGGTAGGACACTGTGGCTCTGAAGGGTGAGTTTGGTGGCGATGTGACCTCGTGGAATCATGGAGAAGGGTTGCATTTGCTGTGTATGGCTTGATGGATTCGCAAGGGTTGGTTGGTGTATTGTACTGTACTACGTCGATGGCTGCCTTGAAACGCTGGCTACACGGGCTCAAGGGGGGTCTCTCAAAGGGCAGTTTTCGGCTGAATGTCTGATGTATAGATGTTTATGTGGTGGATCATTGTTCTGAAAAAAAGAGTGATTTGATACTATACACATTTTGAAAGACGGTGGCTGGTAATTGATGCCTTAGCTTATAGGCACCGAGGCCAACAGGTTGATCTCGTGATCTGCCGCTCCTCCTTCTCTTCCTCTTCCTTCTCCTCCTTCTGCCTCACTTTCCCCTTCCATGACCCCATTCAGTCCGCTCATCTCACCCATCGCATTGATTCCATATACCATCTGCTTCACAATTCCGTTGACGAGCCCATTCGCCATATTCTTTCCCGGCTCAGGTAACGGGATGACAGCCTGTCGCGACGCCAGCTGTGCCTCCGAGGGCAGCGGGGTGTTGACATCTTGGCGCGCGATCGCCTCCACCTTGGCGCACAGCTTCTTCAACGTCTCCTCCGCGAACGACTGCGACATGGCGTGAGTCGAGAAGATCATCTCGAGCCGCACCTGCGAGCCCACCGGGGTGGCCAGAATTGACAAATCACAAGCATCAGGGGCTGGGCAGATGAATCCCGGGGCACATTTCAAGGTTCCTTCCATCGAGACCGGCTGCGTGGGATCCTCTTCCGCCCCGAACTCTTGGTACTGGAAGACCGAACTGAATCGCGTCGCGGCAGGCCAATCGGTACACTGGTCAATAATGTGCTGGAAACCGAGGGACTCGTGTGGAATCGTGTTGGTCTGTTGTTGCTGGATCATCTGCAGCAGCTCGAGGACCGTGCGCACAGTCTTCATGTCCGCACGGACCGGCACAATGTTCAGGCACGGTCCCATGACGGACTCGACGTTGTCCAGGGCGAGGTTGCGACCCGACACCATGTGGCCATAGACCACGTCCGATGTGGCGGCCAGCTCTCCCAGCACCATCGCCCACGCTGCTTTGATCACCGTAGCGGCGGTGATGCCATAATCTTTGTATGCGACCAAGGGGACCATGTCCACGATCATCGTATTGAGCACGTTGGTGATGGACGGCCTGGTGTGTTCGACCACCGCGGTCATCACGGATCCCGCCAGCATCTGTCGATAGAAGGCCTCGGCGCCCTCATTGGCGAGTAACTGCATGCGCACGAAATCGGCGAATTGGGGTCGCTTAGCAAGAGACTCACCTCTGTAGGCGCTGCGGAGGTCTTGCATCAAGAGCGGCATGGAAGAGCCGTCGTATTGCCCGTGAGAGATCCGCATGATCAGACGGTGTCGGATCGCCCCGTTCTTAATCACCATGAATCGAACAATGGGTTCGCCTAGACGTGGCGGCCGCGCAAGATCTTCACGAACAAGTGTCTCGGATGGGTCTTGATCATCCTGGATATGGAACGTGTACTCGGGACTTACTGATTGCAGCACCACTTGGAGCAGTTGCGAGCTGGTCTTCACAAAAACCGTGCGAAGGATCGCGTGGTGCTTCAGCAGCTCCTCGCAGGTCGTCTGCAGGCGTCGTAGGTCAATCGGCCCGGTAAAATCGAACACCAGGTAATTGCTCCAACCGCGGGTCTTGTTGAGGCCACCGCCAATGGCAAGCGATTGGAAGTCGGTGACCTCAAGCACGTCCTCGATGTTAAAGGCAGGGAAGTCAACTTGTGGCAGCACGATCTCGCTCAACAGCTGGTCCTTGGTGAAGGACTTCAGCGTCGAGAAAGGTTCGAATGTCTGAGGTCGCTGTTGATGCGACAAGGTTTCTGCAACGGCACTCATTGCCTCCAGAGTCGGGTGCTGGAAGACGGTGGCAGTTGAGAGAGGAATGCTTTGAGCACGAGCCGCGGATGCTAGTCGCATGGCCGTGATCGAATCCCCTCCCAGCCGGAGGAAATTGTCATTGAGGCTGATCTGCGCGGCCGATGTCTTGAGAACCTCGGCCCAGAGTTGCTGCAACGCAAGCTGCATCTCCGTAGTCGGGGGTCGCGCCTCTTCGGTTGCCCCCGTGTACTCGGCCATTTGTCTTTGAGTCATATCGCTACCACACCGAATCAATGTCTTGCGGTCTGCCTTGCCAGAGGGCAGTTTGGGAATGTAGTTCACTGGAAGGTAAGCACTCGGAATCATGTGCATTGGCAGGAAGTCGGCCAGCCGGTCCTCGAGTCCAGACACTGCTGTCACATGGCGGTCGCTCGGTGGGGGAATAATGGTGGTAGCAGAGGAAACTTCTTCAACGGGCACGGGAAGGAATGCCACCAAGCGAGGCTGGCTGGAAGCATCCTTAGGAGAGAGGATGTCAACGATGGCGTCCGGCTTGTTGGGTAGGCTTTGCTTGATGCGATACTCGATTTCGCCCAATTCAATCCGCTGGCCCCGCAGCTTGACTTGGGTGTCCTTGCGGCGCTGGAAGCTCAGTGTACCGTCGGGATTGTAGCGTACCAAATCACCAGTCTTGTACACCACCGGAGGCCGTGTAGTATCTTGCTTATTGAGCCACCTCGGATTTTCGACGAAGGCAGCTTGTGTCTTGGCTGGCTCTGCGAGATATCCCCGACCCACGTTCCAGCCTTCCATAACGAGCTCTCCAACGCTTCCGACTGGCACCAGTCTGTGGTGATTGTTTGGCATGACGACCCAGGTGGCACCAGAGCATGCCCGCCCAATGTTCCTTGGGCTTGAGTGGCTGGTGATCTCAAAGTTACTCGTGCTGCAGACACAGCATTCACTGGGGCCATAGGCGTTCACCAGTCGAAGTCGATGGGCCCAGGTCTCAATGTGTGATTGAGACATCGCTTCACCAGCCAGGATCAGTGTCTTCAGAGACGGAACATCATCCGGGTTGATGAGGTTCACAAAAGATGGGGTCAGAGCGGCCCAGTTGCACTTGGTCTCTCGGATTGCCTCAGTAACATCGCGCTTGCGCTGCTCCTCCGACGCCACGCACACACAACCGCCGACAACTAACGTTGTGAGGATCTCGACCAAGCTAGCGTCAAAAGTGAAGGAGGCAAATTGCAGCGCGCGAGTCTTGTCATCCATCAACATCGTCGATGCATGGGTTGTGGATGCGGAGGCGTATGCACCGTGTTGGATCACCGTGCCCTTAGGCTCTCCCGTACTTCCAGATGTGAAAATCACATAGGCTGAGTTCTGAGGAGTGACATTCGTCACAGGAAGACCACTGATGGCAGGCTCTTCAGGTGTGTCTGCAGACAAAACCACTACATTGTATTCGGGGCCCAGAGATAGACACAACTCGTGTTGCTCGGGCGAGCATACAATTGTCTTCGACTTGAGTTTCGTGATCATCAGCTTGATGCGACTTTTAGGCTGTGACGGATCAATGTTCAAGAAAGCACCACCAGCACGCATGACACCCAGCATGGCAGCGACGGGCCACCGGCTCTTCTCGAAGCAGCAAGGCACAAAGTCTTCAGGCTGGACGTTGAGCTCAGCAAGGCGATGTGCCAAGCGGGCAGAGTGGTTGTCCAAGTCCGCATAGGAGAAGGAACCATCCCACGAGCAGACAGCTTCTTTGCTAGGTTGCTCGGCGATACGCTCTTCGATCAACTGATGAATGGTCTTATGGACCGGAGCCGGAATGTCTTGATTCCACTGACGGATGCTCTCTTCGTCCTTAGCACTGATGAAGGTGAGATCGCCCAACTTGGTGTCTGCATTTGACGTGCAGAACTGCTGAAGGAGGTGTTCCAGCTGAGCAAGGATCCGCTGGACGTAGTCAGCTGCGATGAGACTGGAGTCGAAGTGAGCGGCACACTTCACTCCCTGGGTCTGCAGGGTGCATTCCAAAGTGAGGGCGTATGTTCCGAAATTGGCGTCAGCGTCCGACACAGCTGTCAAGTCCGGCTCCTCGACGGTAGCCGGCTTGTCCTTGGCGGGCTGGACAACCAGCAGCGTTTGGAAGTCACAAGCACTGGCTGCCTCTGTGCTCAACCGACCGATGTTCTGCAGTCCCAGTTGCTCAAAGGCAATCATCTTCGCGGCCTCAGCCTGCAAGTTGCCAACGAACTCTTTGACCGTAGTGCTAGCATCGCCGGGAACCTTAACGCGCACCGGGACGGCGGCAATCCCCGGACCGACCAGACGATCGATGTCCGGCACAGGAGCATTTCGACCGGAAACAATGTTTCCGAACATCACATCCTCAGATTCGGAATGGGACCCGATCAGAATCCCCCAGGCTGCACGAATCATCGACGCCATCGTAATTCCCGGCAGGTTGTCCGTGCGAGGAAGAGTCATCTCGTAGATCGAAGTGGTGTCCGACACCGGTTGCTTTGCGGTAGAGACAGTGCACGGGAATTCGTTCCGCATCGCGCCAGCGAGATATCGTTGCCAGAAGTCGTTGGACGCCTTGGCGTCAGTCTGGACCACATGGTCCATGAATGCCTTGAAGGTCACATCTCGAGCCGGCTGCTGACCCTTGTATGCCTTGTCAATACGTTCAAAGACAAGATCTAGTGTCCAGGCGTCGTAGACAGCGTGGTGAGCGGTCCATACGAAGATCCATCCGTGCTCCCCAGGAGCAAGCCCGTAGCGGGTTAAAGCATCTCCTGCCCCCATAGGCTGCTTTTTGTCATTTGCCAAGTACTCCTCGAGGCTTTCGCCAGTACGCCAGTCAATATTCCCCTGGATCACAGCCTGTAGCGATACCGACTGCTGGCGGTAGATGATGCGCGTCCGCAGGATGGGGTGTGCGGTGACTACTTCCTGGCATGCTTGCTTGAATCGTTCCAGGTCAATGTTCGGACCGAGAGCAAGAGTGTGCTGCGCCATGTACACTCCGTTGCGACTATCCGAGAGCGCCATCAGACCTTCCTGCATCGCGGTGCAAGGGTAGAGGTCCTCGATAGCTGACTTGTCGACGCGGCACTGCTCGGCTGCAGCGTCGAGCACGCTGTTGAGATTCTCGCTGGTGTCAAGCAAGGAGAATGGCACATCTTCAAATGGCTGGATGCTGTCGAGCAGAATGGAAGCTTCTGCCATATCGTCCAGAGTCGGATGGGTGAAGACATCTGCCACACTCAACCCAATATTTTCACATCCGCAAAGGTTCACGAGTTTCATGGCATCGATGGAGTTGCCACCCAGCTGCAGAAAGTCATCCTCTGCTGAAATTGATTCCTCCTCAACCTGCAAGACTTCAGCCCAGATTGTGCGAAGCACAAAGCCAATCTCCGTGGCAGGCTCCCGGTGATTCTTCTTGGTGGCACCCGTCAGCTGAGCAACAGTCAACTGTGAGGCGAAATCACTGATCGCCTTGCGGTTGGTCTTGCCGGATGGGGACAGTGGCATATGGTTCAGCTTGACCATTGTCGAAGGAACCATATACGCAGGAACAGCAGCAGAGACTTTGCTCTTCCAACCCTGGGTCAGCGCCTCGAGATCCTCCGCTGATGCCGGGTCGGGAGTTCGGAAGTTATCGTCGAATCCCTTCCTGAGTGCCACGAAAGCCGCCAGCATGGGTCGGTCCTGCTGGTCGACCGGCTTGACAAGGCCTACTGCTGCCTCTGTCCCGCGGGGCAACTCCTGGCGCAAGTGGAATTCCACCTCCTCCAATTCAATACGCTGGCCGCGCAATTTCACCTGCATATCTTTGCGTCCGACCAAGTTGATCAGGCCATTGCTTCCCAGTCGCACCAAATCACCAGTCTTGTAAGCCCGAGCGGATGACGCTGCGCCCCGAATATCCTTCAGCCATGGAGTGTTCGAAATGAAGACAGAAGCCGTCTTCTCCGGCTGATGGATGTACTCTCGTGCTAGCACGGGACCTTCGACCACCAGTTCACCGGTTGCACCGAGCGGAGCCAGCCGATCGTGATTGTTGATGTCGGCGACCCAAGCAGCGACGCCTGTGCCCCGGCCGATCGTTGAGCGCTCGACGGATCCCGAAAGATCTCCTGTCACGCAGACGGACGCTTCGCTTGCCCCGTACATGTTCAGCATCCGCACCCGACTGCGCCATGTGTCGAGGTTATCCTGTTGGACTGGCTCGCCGGCCAGCAGTAACGTCTTGATATCCGGAACGTCTTCTGGCTTGATGGATCGCAGGAAGGAAGGGGTCGTGCAGAACCAGTTGGCTCGGAGTTCACGCATCGCGGCCGTTGTTCGACCTAACCGGTCCTCCTTGGAGGGCACACAGACACAGCCACCTTTAACCAGCGGGGTGAACAGCTCGAAGGTATTGACGATGAACGTATAGGCTGCGAATTGGAATGTGCGGGTGTCGCTGTTGATGTTTAGCGGTCCACTGTGTGCGCTGACACTAGAGCATACCGCGCGGTGCTCGTGCACGATCCCCTTGGGCTTTCCGGTACTACCGGAGGTGAAGATTGCGAAGGCTGCATCGCGCGGACTGGCGCGCTTAGGGAGGTCGGGGCAGGGGGGTAGGTTTCGGATGAAGTCTGCGTCCACGGCGATGATTCGCGACACATTCGGCGCCACCATGTCCACATAGCCCGGCGCCGTAAGCACCAGGTTGGCTTCTACTTCGCTTATGATTGTCCTCAGACGGTCTATCGGCTGGGCGGGGTCGATGCAGACGAATGCGCCGCCGGCCTTCAGAACTCCCAACATGGAGACTACGGCCCAGAGGGACTTGTCGAAGCAGACGGGCACGAACACCTCTGGTCCGACGTTCTGGGAGATGAGGAAGTTGCCCAGTCGCGCAGTGTAGTCTACCAGTTCCGAGTACGATAGGGATCCATCCCAGCATTCCAGCGCCGTGCGATCCGGGCAATGCTTCGCCGCTTCGTCGATCTGTTCATGCAGACAAGCATCGATGGTCGGAGACACCGTCGCATTCAGCTCCTGGAATCGCGTCCACGAGGACGGCCCAAGAAGATCCACCTCTCCGATTATGGTATGGGGTGCGTCGCGGATCGCCGCTGTCGCTTTCGCAACCGCTTCCGCAACTGCAGCTGCGATGCTGTCGCCGATGGCCTGCGCGGCATAATGAAGGGTCACTTGAAGCTCTTCTGTCGCATCGGCGACTGAGAGTATAAGGGGAAACTGACCAGTCAGCAGGGAAGATCGAGTGATGATTGGAGGAATGGGTTTACTTACATGAGAGGGATCGACTTCGGCAAGATGTGGTTCCTCAGTCTGCGTCGACTTCCAGACAAGGGTATTGAATGATCTGCTTATGGCCGCCCAGTCCTTGAAACTCTGGACGGTCGGTACATCCTGCGCCGGCTGTTGAACCGACGGCTGAAGCTGCGCCAGAGCAGTGTCGCCAGGGATCTCACCGTGGCACACCGCAAACCACGAGGCATCGGCCACCGTGCTGTCGGCCAACCCAAAGGAGAGGACATCGCTCCCCGTGTAATATCGTAGTACGACCGTCCAAGCCTCTAACACGGCCTCGGTGGAGGATGCGCCCGCGCGCACGGAGATGGACTTGAACCCCGGCGCATTGCCCTGGAGATTCTCGGTCGGGAAATGGCAGAGTGCTGCGTCGAAGGCACCAGGCACGATCTGCAACATGACTGCGCGCATCAAGTGGAAGGAAGAATGAGGGGTATTAGGCAAGTCGCGCTTGCTGATTACATATAGCTAGAGGTGGTGTAAATGGGCGGTAATTGAAGCGCCAGAGGTTGATGGGATTATGCAGGGAGGTAAGTTCGAGCGAGCAATTGTGACCGAGAGAAATTTAGGGAGAACAGAATGAGCTTCAGACTTCGCAGCTCCAGATTGACAAATGTTTCTTGTGATTGATGATTTGCAATCAGTAGATCACTCACAGACTGACTGATAAGACAGACACTTTCTTTCTCTTCCAGATCCGGCTATGCTTCCGGGTGTGGACACACAGTATGGAGCTGAGTGTGCTGCTGTACCTGAGCATCAACCCTGGGTCCCATTCATTACCGCGGGTAACTCTGAGCTGGGGCTGACTCTGATCTTCTGTCTCCGCTGTAGCATTGGTATATGGGTATGAGTATGTGTGTGAGAGTGTGGATGAAGTGGATGAAGTGGCAAGACGTGTTCAGGGCTGCACTGGCTGTAAGGGCTAGTATGGCAGCTGGCAGCTTGTGTTTCGATACGGTCATGACGGTGACGGTAACCGTGACAGTGACGGTAAGCGATTAGATAGAGTTCCCTCGTCTTCTTCATCTTCTTCATCTTCTTCATCGACCCACAGTGGATCTCATCGTGGCCTTGGCGTAGTCTACGTCATGGGCTAAATGCCCTGGCAGGGGAGACGCTTGGACTTCTGCTCATCTTCCAACAGGGTCGCATAGATTACTGTTTGAGTACTCCGTCTACGCTAGCGATATGCCGAGTCTTCGGCACTCATTCAGAATCTAGGTGACTGCATTGACGGATGTCTCGTCTCTGGTTGCAACGTTCATTATGTGCTGTCAGAATGCTTCTATGATGGTGCATGCTTGGGATTGGAGGCCTTTCTTCACTGCACTTTGTTCTGTCTTCATGTTTGTGTTGATAAAGAAACAGACCGACACCATGGAAGAGTCTCGGGCATAGATCGGGAAGTACCGTGGGCTCGGGACAGGCTGCTTTTCCCCGATCGGGAAATTGATATTCTTCACCCGCTGCGGCAAGGAAGCTCCACTCTTTCTTTTTTTTTGTTTCTCATGGTTAAATTCCCCTTCCGAACCCTTCCGCCAAACTCTTCATCGTCAATCGCAGTTCTGCTATTTCTGGACCTCGTGGATATCCTGTACATATACGTATCCTCAGGCGACGATCGGCATAGCACCCACAATCTCCTGGACCCTGCGCTGCACTCCCTTCCAGTCCTCATATCAAATCAACCACCGGTACTCGATACATTCTACTCGGATATTTAGTGTCTCGACACGAATTTTTCTTCTCCGGCAGTGTTCGGATCCTACTCTGCGCTGAGGGTCTCTATCCTGGGTTTTGCGAGGTATCCAAGATTATGATCTCCTGTGCAGTGTGGTTTGGGAAGCTGCCAAGCGTAGAAATGGAGTCTGTAGAGATGATCCGTATAGACAGTCAGAATAAGTAGTGCGACCCTGGCACTCATCGACGGTGACAGGTGTTATCGCGGTTGTTTTATCATTGTCACTCCTTTGGTTATTGTTCTTACTGTTGTCTTGTACTTCCGTCATCATGAAGGATACTGAAAGCGTGCTGGTGCAGACCAACATCGATCGACGGACCTGCCATCGTGTAAAGCCGATGCAGGTCCTTGTTCTGGGCCTCTGCCGCACGGGAACCCTGTGTAAGTGTGCCACAGCCTCCAGCGCAATTGCACGGTTGCTTTCGCATTCCCGTGCGATGCGACACTATCCCCTCTCGACCAACACTAACAACCCCCCAAAGCAACATGGCTCGCCCTCCAGGAACTCGGCTACGAGACCTACCACATGACCTCGATCATGCAGAACCCCAAGGACGCGGTGCTGTGGACCGAAGCCTTCCGCGGCAAGTACCACGGCGACCGCCCCTTCACGCGCGCCGACTGGGACCAGCTCCTGGGCCACGTCGAGGCCGTCACGGATTTCCCCGCCGCCGTCTTCGTGGAGGAGCTGGTGGCCGCCTACCCGGATGCGAAGGTGGTGCTGACCCTACGCGACGTCGACGCCTGGTACGCCTCGATGCAGCAGACCATCATGGCGCAGACCTACAGCCCCCTCGCGACGCTGCTGGGGTGGCTCGACCCCGAGAAGTTTGGGGCGGGCAACCGCATGTGCCGCCTGGGTTTTGACGCGATGTTCGCCGGCGACTTCGCCCGCAATGGCAAGCAGGCGTTTCGCGAGCATTACGATCGCGTCCGAAGCGTCGTGCCGCGCGATCGTCTGCTCGAGTGGAACCCCGCCGAGGGCTGGGAGCCCCTGTGTGGCTTTTTGGGGAAGGATGTCCCCGCCACGCCGTTCCCGCGCGCGAACGAGAAGGCGATCTTTCAGAAGAAGTCGGCGGCGGTGGTACGCAGTGCTTTTGCGAGGTTCTTGCAGAAGATGACGTGCTACGGGGTCGGGGTTGCGGTGGCATATTTGGTGGCCAGGCATGGGCGGGAGGTTTGGCTGCGGGTCTCGCAGTGGGTGTAGTTCTGTTGGGGGATGTCTACGTGTTCGTTGTGTATATTCTAGGCTGGTGCGTCTTCTGTTGTTTGGGGTGTATGTAAATAGATAAGTTTGTGTTTTATAGATCATGGATATATAATCGTGGTTTCTTGGGGATGAACCGATCGATACCCGATCGATTTTTGCCGACCCGCTTTTGGCCTGCGAGGATCGGCGGCAATCTGAGAGGAATCAGCATCAGAATAAGTAAAAGAAAGAAAACGGAAACGGGAAAAAGAAAACATATCTCCGGCATGGAAAACGACGAAGAATTTAGAGTTTCTTCGTCTGGAGTTGATATCTATAACGAGGGAAATATGGCACGCTGCATCTATATGCCTGATGCTGTACTGGTCCTTGTCCACTGTTTTCCGCCGTATGCTGCCTCCCTGCGGTCGAACTTAATATTGATATGCTACATCCTGAATTTGGTAGTATTTCTATGTCAAGTAAACTTTTCAAGTCATCAAACTTGAACAGCTCTTTCGCGGGTCCTCCGCTGGAACCCTGTTTCAATCAGGATTCAGGAAACATGGTTGCGTTGACCCTGATCAGATCGGTCCCACCTACTGTATCTGGGGAAGATCACCTCGAGGCCGAGATCCATCGATCGTCGAACCGGTGGATAGGCTGTATGGCCAGTGTGGAGACGACTGACTCGCGGCTAGATGATAGCATCTCTTGCGGCTGGACTGCGGATGGGAGATTGAATGTTGATTGAATGCGACCGCAATGGACTATTCAACCTGCTACACAATTTTCGCAGTTACGGATGGTAGAGATTCTCGCAGTCCATCACTCGACACAATAAGTAATTGGTTCGTGGATAGGAGATCTCGCGATGAAACAACCTTGTGGTGGAGCCCCGCCGGTGATGTCAGGGCTCTGCCCGCGTCTTGCCCTAAGTGGTAAACAGCAAAGACTGCCAATGTCAAGGACCCTGACTGGCCATGGAACGAGGGTGGAACTCGAGGAGAATGCCTGAGCATCATTATCATCCGTGTTCCCGCATCTCGATCCTGATTTATGCCGCTGGGTCCTGTCGATCAATCCGCTGATCGTCGGTACTGGAAGACTAAAAGGTGGAGCCCGGGAAAGAGCACCGGCAAACCGGTTCGTTTGACTCGCACTCTAGAGTATCCAGGAGAGGAATTGACCAAAGCTGCCCCATGTCAGTCTTTCTTGGCTTTACTTTCCCTTGTCTGGCGGTTCGCCTACCGTCACCGTCACCGTCACCACCTGCTTCTCCCTTCCTCTGACCTTTCTTTCTCTCGATCTCTCTCTTCCATTTTCTCTTTCTCTTTGCCTCATCACCTGCCCCTCTTTTTCCACACCCTGTCTTTCTAATTTGTTGACTCGAACACTTCAACTGGCTCTTGAGCTCCATTCCCACTGATACACTCTTTCCTTCTGGTTTCACTTATCCATCATCCTTGCTTCATTACCCATCATTATGCGCTTCGCACTGTGGTCCGCTGCCCTCCTCGTCGGCTGCATGGCTGCCCCTATGCTTCCGACGCATCCGCTCATTGTCCGAAGAGAATTGACAGAGGTAAGGATCGCTGGGCTGCGTCAACCTGGAACCCGGATGGGTCTGCTCAAACTAACTCTTTGCTCATCATTACTGCATAGAATGGTGAAGTGGTAAGTCAACCCTGGTGCATGGTTCGGTGTGTCTCGGGAGGTTGGAGGGGCTGACAAGACGTCCAGGATGTATGTATCTGGTTCCACTGATGTGGTAACATTATCCTATTGCGCGTGCTGACGGTTGTGTGATTTGCCCGTCTCAAGCCTGTAAGTTCACCTCCCGGTTTGGGAAATGTTGATGCTAAATGGTTGCTTAGGTTGTATGTTGTTCTTGATCTTGTATAGCTTTGTTGACTGTGCAGTGTAAGACTGATTGCTGGATTAGAATGTGAGTCTCCCTTGTTGCTACTGTACCAATGCTTCGAAACTAACTCGGGATCAGAATGTATGCTCTTTGGTTGCTCTCGATAATCTTTGAGGTTGCTAATCTGTACAGGGCGTGAGTACTCTTGTCTCGACTTGACCTAAGATCCTGCTGCTGAGAGCTTGGTACTTGCTGGCTTGTAGACTGTAAGTTCAATCCGTTCTTGCTCTTTGACATGACTGACACGAGCAGGTGGTATGTATCCTCTTTCCCGATGATGGTTGACCTCCACTGACGTGGATCTTTCCCTGTCATCAGAACGTGAGTTTGCCCCCCCCCCCCCCCCCATTCTAGAACCATGCCAAGCTAACGTACCCAGAATGTGAGTCTCCTCAATCTCTTCACTTAAGTGGCTGATAGAGTATCGAAACTGATACGCAAAATAGAACGTAAGTCGACTTCCCACAGTGTCATCTCACTCGCTAATTATGCATAGGTTGTGAGTATCCATGTCCTACCAAACAGCTGATTATCCAAATCTTACTTTATCATGACAATGTAGAGCGTAAGTCTCTTCCCACAACGCATTGGTATATACTAACATTAAGCAGCTTGTGAGTGCCCTAATCGCATACTTTGTGGCATTGGCAAATGCTAACTCTAAGCCTCTCCTGATCATCAGCTGGTAAGTTCAAACCAATGTTGAGAGCTTGAATGAGATCCGCGCTTACAAACAGCAGAGCGTAAGTCCCAAGTCATACTGACAAGGAATGGCTAATGCTGAGTGCATATCCCCTCAACATAGTTTGTACGTATCCCCCACCACATGAAGATCCAACTGACCCGGCCAGTGTGTAAGGAAACCCCACCTATGGTCCATCGAACAGCATTAACGCAAACTCCGGCGACCAGAAAGAAAAGGTGAGGCCACTTTTCTCACGTCTATGGTGCTGGCTATCTGCGTCCACGACTCACAGCTAACCGATCAGCGCGACAACGACGAACCGTTGACCTCCGATGGCGACGTGGACCCTGTCAATGACGGCGAGGTCAACAACAACATCTCGCTGATCCGGCTCTGCTAGACGATCGTCAGTCTCCGGCCGAGAGCCAGCACGGATTCCCGAGGGTTCAGCGAAGGGTGGACCCTAAGCCGGTCGGGACCGAGTCCTTCTGCCCTCTCCCTCCCACTTGCTATCGTGTGGCTGGAGATCGCTCGGAGGGGCAAGCAGGGCACCGGGGGACGAATTGGGGCTTGCCGACGAGGACTTGCCGAGCCATGAGTTGCTGCGGTGGATTGAAATTCTAGCTAATCGGTTGTCCCCCGTTGGATAGGGCATGTCATACGATTGCATTCTTCCCGTCTCTATCCACTGTGACTGTAGATCTGGCTTGGGTATATCCACGTAGACATTAGGATCCATGTACTTTACGTAGAGGTTGGGCTATGACGCATGCGATGCTTGAGATCTTGTTTCGTGGCTGTGTGAGGTGGTGATTTGATGATATAAGAGAGACGAAGTTCTGGTGCTGGGTTGTTGTCTGGGTGTGATACTGAAGCTCATTCGGAGAGAGCATGACCGGCCGACATAATCAGCTGCAAATTATTGTGTGCGTACTAGCTTCAGTTCGTTGGACTTCCTGAGCTTCCATATGAGGCCTTCCACAATACGAAGATATTGAAGTCAACGGGTTTGGCCAGATGCAACTCGAGGCCGCATGGTTCAAGACAGATATGTTAACACCGATAAAAAGTTCATGTGGCGACTGCTTCCTTGTCATGGATATATACCCGGCTCATCCATTTCCCTACAGCATGGACACATCAATGCTACCACGAGGTCAACTTGCGGACGAATAACTCCATTCGGACTATCTTGATTATATATTACTACTGAAGAACAAAAGACACCATACGCCAAACATACCAAGCCAAGACACTCGTTCACTGCTTCCCAGCCGCCACGCGAGCCCGACGCTCGCGCACAGCATCAGCCAACGAGCGCAGTGAGGTCTCGGTGGTCTCCCAGTCGATGCAAGCATCGGTGATGCTGACACCCTTCTCACAACCTTCCAGACGCGCAGCCGGCTTCTGGTTGCCCTCCTTGATGTTGGACTCAACCATCACGCCGATGATGCCGCGCTCGCCCTGCCGGAGTTGCTCCTCTATGGTACGCAAAACCTTGGGCTGGTTGCGGTGGTCTTTTTGGGAGTTGCCTATGAGAGTGTATTAGCCAGGTCATACCTTTTATGACAAGATTTGACAGGGAGGTAGGGATGTGAGTTAACAAGTCAATCAGACATACCATGGGAACAATCCACCATGACGACCTCCCGCTCGCCCTTCTTCTGCAGCATCGCCTTGGTCGCCTTGACGCTCTCGGCATCATAGTTGGTCCCGCGACTCCCACCCCGCAGGATGACAAACCCATCGGGATTCCCACTGGTGCTGGTAATGGCGATGATGCCCTGCTTGGTGGTGCCCATGAAGTGATGCTTCCCGCGCATCGACTTCAGCGAGTCAGCCGCGGTGCCGACGGACCCGTCGGTGGCGTTCTTGAAACCGACGGGGAACGACAGCCCGGAGGCCAGCTCGCGGTGCAGCTGCGACTCGGTGGTGCGGGCCCCGATGGCGCCGACACTGATGAGATCGGCCGTGTACTGCGGGGAGATGGTGTCGAGCATCTCGCAGGCAACGGGCACCCCCTGGTCGGTGATGTCGGCCAGCAGCTTCCGCGCGACCTTGACCCCCTTGTTGATGTTGTACGAGTCGTCGACGTCCGGGTCGTTGATCAGCCCCTTCCACCCCACCGTCGTGCGCGGCTTCTCCAGGTACGCCCGCATCACCACGCACAGGTCCTCCTGCAGCTCCGCGGCCAGCTCCCGGAGGCGCGCCGCGTACTCCAGCGCGTTCTCCGGGTCGTGGATGCTGCACGGCCCCACGAGCACGAGCAGCCGGTCGGACTCCTGCCGGATGATGTTGCGCGCTTCGATGCGGCTGTTCAGCACCGTCAGCAGGGACTGCGCGCTCAGGCCGATGTCGTATTGCACGAGTTCGGGCGGGGCTAGGGGGGTGTATTTCTCCACTGGAATGATAAAGGGTCAGAGATGGGTACAGTTTTGCAGGGAGGAATGATTGAGAAGGATGGAGGCTACTAACCTCGGACATCTTCAGCGAGCTTCTTACGCAGAAGGTCGATGTTGGTGGCATCCAGAATTGGGGTGGACGTGAGGCTAGGCATTTTGATATGGGTATGTATGGAAAGCAAAGACGAAAAGAATACTAAGATTCGAGCGCTAGGCAGAGAGGTAAACAACACAACACTGGGACAATGGGATAATAAAAGAACAACAAAGGTCACTGGGTCTTCTTCACAACTGTCTGGAACAACGCCATATGATATATACCCTGCTGAGGACTCCGACTCGACTTCCCTGCTAAACCGCCTCTCCCGCTCTCCTCGACCTTACAGTCTCACCGAACCTGAGCAGCCGTGTCAGCACGGCTCGTGAATGTCAGACCTCCTGAGAGTGTATTCTCTGCCGCGACTCAGAAGAGAGAGAGAAAAAAGTTTGATCGGAATACTCTATCGTGATTGTCTTGGTCCACATCCGCTACGTCGTCGAATCGTCACTGCACGAACAGCTCCGAGCGATGGATACTCGGACTCCATTACGTATTGCGGTAGTGTCTCCTTCAGCCCGCCTCGCACGGAGAATACCTGAAATGGTCCACAGCTCTGAGAGTCTGGGATGGTCGATCAAAGTCACATTCAGAATGGAGGGAGCGAAAAGTTTGAGTCTTGGTTGTTTTTCTCGCAGGGTGGGAGGAATCAGGAAGCGTCGGGACGTGCTCCGATGATCGTCGGGGATGCACTCCCGGAGTGGGTAGGTCTTGAGCTCTTCATTTTCCGTGTTGGAAATAGGCGTGATGGTGGTGGGTTGCAGTGGATTCGCAGAGTGGAGGGAAGAAGATCTCGAGGGTTGGTTGATATTGCCTTGGATGGATGGTAACGCAGTATCAGACATTACATACCGAGATCTTGTTTCATACGCGAAGCAATACGCATACTACCGCGTGAAATTACCGCTGGACCCGCCCGACCCGCCGGCGCTAAGCCCGAAGAATGCAAGATCGCCCGTGCAGCCGCGCTCCGATAAGCGAGATTCCGGAAATGCTGAATCTTCACCTTCTCCTCCTTCTCCTTCACCTTCACCTTACAAATCCCCTCCTGCTCATATCCATGGATAACTCCACGCGGCTTCCGGGAGCATGCAATCAGAACCCATGGAACCACCATGCCATCGTTTCACTTGCGATCTATGAGCTGAAACACCTCGATTTGTTTGTTGTGGTTCGTGCTGCTCCACGCGAGAAACACAAATACCAATACACACACGGAAAACACACGGGTTGAGCCGACTGACTGGGTCTCTATTTCCATTGCTGATCATCACAATTTGCCTCTGGATGGGTCAGGAACATCTGAATCTGATCAGGACGGAATGGCAGAGCACGCAGACCCCACCGTCCACGGTCCACAGTCTACGGTCCACAGCCCACGTCAGGATGATCGAACATCCACCGCATCGATACAACCCAACCCAACAGGGCTCTTGCACTCGGAGACCCGGCATCACCATGTTGTCAAACATCCGGCACTAGATTGCTATACCCACACTATCCGATCGAGGGTTCATCGCCTTTCATTCTACATGTAGACTAGTCCTGATGCTCGAGGCTGCCGGTTGGATCGAGGATGATGAACTGGAGTTCACCTCGGGGTCCTGCTTTTCCAGCTTACTGGGTCAGGTCCAGCGCGGCTGCTTCGCTTCGGGCTCCTCCTACGGGATTTCCTCAAAGGGAATATGATAGAGTCTGTAGCAGGTTGTGGACGAGAGTTGTCGTGGATGCAGGTGACGGAGCCCCAAGCCCTGCTACACATAATAGCACTGTTGGCCGAGTCGCTCTCTTTTCTCCCTGTTCCTGATCATCTTCTCAGTTCCCCACGTTATCCTCCGATTTTCATTCTCGATTTCTTGCGCGTCGCGTTTGCTGCTTGCGTTTTGTTTCTCCATCACCCTCCAGCCTGCCAAACTTATCCCCTTCCTCCTGGCTCTTGCTCTTGTCACTCTTTTTTTTATCTCATCTCTCCTCCTTGAACACAAAATGCCGTCCATCATCCTGGATGATGCTGACCGGCTCCGTCAGCGTTGGAGCGAGCTGGTCACAGACGTGACCCCTTCACACCTCCCCACGGGTCTTTTTTCGAAACGTCAGACCAAGACTCCCGTAGGGAAAATAGACGTCGACCTCAATGTATCCCTGATGCAAGCATGCTCTCAGGAGCACGATGTGTCTCCCTTGGATCTCGTCCAAGCAGCATGGGCTGCCATGCTGCGCTCGTATTCTGGCTCCGAGGACATTACATACGGGGGCATCGGCCTCCAACCCTCCAACTCGAAGCAACAAGTGACAGACGCGGCTCTGTGCCGGATACGGTTGGAGTCAGACATATCAATCCTCTCGATTCCACAGCAGACCCTGAAAGAAGGGCTGCACAGCGCAGACCTGCTGCTCTCTTTTCCAGAGACCTTGCAGGTTCTCGCCAGTCTCGACCCAAAGCCGTGTAATACCGCAATCTGGCTGCGGGACTCTACCTCCAAGGCTGAAATCTCTGAGAATGAGATTGTTGGCGGCAGAACTGTGTGTCTCTTCATTGGAATATAGTTCTGTTCGGTTGCTAACTATCTCTCGCTAGTTTGACTACGTCCTACGAATCGATCCCTCTTTGTCCACCCTAGACTTAATATACCACAAACCTACGGTCTCGCAAGCCCAGGCCGAATATATCGCTAATACCTTCGCCGATATCCTACATAATGTTTGCACCGATCCCTTCAAGCCGGTGTCCACTCTCTGCCACCCCAGTGAGCTGGACACGCTTCAGATTGGAGCGTGGAACCGCATCCTTCCGAAGGAGAGTGCCGTGTGCGTTGACCGGTTGATTGAAGAGGCCGCACAGCGCAACCCCAATAGCCCAGCCATCTTCTCATGGGATGGCCAGATGACGTACGCCCAGTTCAATCAGACCGCATGCCGTGTAGCAAGCTATCTGGAGTCAGTCGGTGTGCGTCGGGGCCAGCTGGTTCCAGTCTGTTTTGAAAAGTCCCGCTGGACCATCATCACTATGATCGCCTTGTGGAAGGTCGGTGCTGCCTGGGTGCCTCTAGACCCCCGCCATCCACGCCAGCGTATTGAGACGATCGTCGAAAGCGTAAAGGCCACGACGGTCATGACCTCCGAGGCCAACCAGGCGCTCTTGGCCGGTATCGCCCCGCAGGTCATCACAGTAGACGCCGCTCTGATCGAGAGCATTAAGACGAGCTCGGATGTCGAGTTTGAGTCACGATCGCGGCCTCACGACATCTCCTTTGTCATGTTCACGTCTGGAAGTACCGGCAAACCCAAAGGTGTTGTCCATGAGCATGCGTCTGTGGCTTCGAGCGCCCTCCACCATGGTCCTGCCATGAACATCAACGAGGACACACGTGCCTTGCAGTTTGGTGCCTATACCTTCATCATCAGCACTTTCGAGATCTTCACCACCCTCATCTTCGGTGGATGTCTGTGCATCCCATCTGACCACGACCGTCATACCGATATCCGTCCCGCCCTCCGCTCCATGGATGCAAATTGGGCAATCTTCACCCCTAGTTTCGCCCGGTCTCTCAAGACAGAGGATGCTCCTACCTTGAAGACCCTCATCCTGGCTGGTGAAGCAGTCGCCCAGGACATTATTGACCGTTGGGCTGCTGTCGCTCGCTTGATCAACATCTACGGTGCCAGCGAGTGCTCGGTGTGTATGATCGGACCCATGGTCACGGATACACCGCGCAGCTGCATCGGCCGAGCCGTCGGCGCCCTCTCGTGGATCGTCGATGCGAACGACCATGATCGACTGGTCCCGATCGGAGCAGCTGGAGAGTTGATTATGGAGGGCCCTACCCTGGCGCGCGGCTACCTGGCCGACCCCGAGCGCACCCAAGCAGTCTACATCAAGGATCCCAAGTGGGCACAGCAACCGGGCATCACCCGTCAGTTCTACAAGACAGGCGATCTCGCTCGCTATGGCGACGACGGCAGGATTCATCTGATCGGCCGGAAGGACTTGCAGGTCAAGATCCGTGGGCAGAGAGTCGAGCTGACCGAGATCGAGGCGCACATGCGCGCCATCAACAACCAGGTCAAGACGGCGGTGTCGATGGTGCAGCCACAGGGCAAGGCCATGCTGGTCGCCTTCATCTCCAGCCAGAGTGGCTTCGGGCCTGAGTTCCAGCACCCATTCCATGCTACGCCTACGGACCATGCCGATATTTCGGGCATCGCCTCGCAGATGAATACCGAGCTTGTACAGAGGCTTCCGCCGTACATGATCCCCTCTGCGTTCATCCCGCTCGCGTACATGCCCCTGACAGCCTCGGGTAAGACGGACCGACGCATGATCACGACCTTCGGCACCGGTCTGTCCTTGTCGGAGCTGGCAGCCCTCGCTGGAGGCCCGGCAAAGTCCACACGCACCATGCCTTCCACTGCAGATGAGAAGCAGCTCCAGCAACTGTGGTCCGAGATCTTGCATTGCTCACCCGAGGAGATCGGCGTGGAGGACAACTTCTTCCATCTGGGTGGTGACTCCATCGAGGCGATGAACCTGGTGCGGCGATGCCGCGCCGAGGGCTACCAGCTCCAGGTTAGCGACATCATGGACAATCTCGTGCTACGCGACATGGCCAAGGTGATGGTGCCGGGTCGTCCCTCGACTGAGCTTCCGCCTGCACGGCCCTTCGAGCTTCTCGGCGACGACGAGGAGAGCATCCGCTCAGAGATTCAGGTTGCCAGTGGGTTCAAGGATGCAGAGCTCATCCAAGATGCGTATCCTTGCACACCGCTGCAGACTGGTTTGATGGCTCTCTCGGCCAAGATCTCCGGATCCTATATCGCCCGCCACACGCTTGAGTTGCCGGCGAACCTGAGCGTCGACCGCTTCAAGGAGCTGTGGGAGATTGTCGTCGCGAACAATGACGTGCTGCGTACGAGGATGGTGGAGACGGACCGCTACGGCACAGTCCAGATGGTCTGTCGTGACCGCATCCAATGGGGCCACGGTAGCGACTTGGAGGAGTATCTCCAGGCTGACGAGGCGATCCCCATGCACATGGGCGATGCTCTCACAAGACACGCCATCGTCGAGTCTGCCACAGATAAGACCTCTTTCGTCCTGACCATCCACCACGCCATCTACGACGGGCTCTCCCTGGAGATGCTGTTCAATGACCTCCTGGACGCTCTGCAGGGCAGTGTGCCCCCCGCGCGTCCGCAGTTCCGGGATTTCGTCCAGCACGTGGTAGAGAAGAACAAGGACGAGGCGACGGAGACGTACTGGCGTAACGATCTGGCTGAAGGCGATCTGATCGCATTTCCCACCCTCCCCTCGGCTACATATCAGCCTCTCGCCAACGAGTCGCTCATTCACAACCTCAAGGTCCACCGCAATGGTCCCTCTGACTTCACCACCGCAACTCTGATCCGTGCGGCTTGGACCCTCCTCCAGGCCCGCTATTGTGACTCCCCCGACACGGTCTTCGGCTGCACCGTCAGCGGACGCAATGCATCTGTGCGTGGTGTTGAAGACGTAGTCGGACCGGTCATTGCCACGGTGCCCATCAAGGCGCACCTGGAGCCCCAGCAATCCGTCAATGACTACCTCAAGGCCGTCCATGCTCACTCGGTGGAAATGACCCCTTACCAGAACTACGGCCTGCAGAACATTGCCCGGGTCTGCGACAACGCTCCCTCAGCGTGCAGCTTCCAGACTCTGCTTGTCATCCAGCCCGCCAGCTCGGTGCCCGAGGCCAGCCTGATCCAGCCTTTTTCGGCCCCGCGCGCGAGCTTCAGCACCGTAGCCCTCACGCTGGAGTGCAGCCTCTCCGCCGACGGGGGGGTCCTGGTGCACGTCCACTTCGACAACGCGGTCCTGCCCCGCGGCCAGGTGGAGCGCATCGTGCAGCAACTCGAGCATGTCCTGCAGCAGCTGGCGCAGGAGCCCGCCGGCCGCACCCTTGCCGACCTCGAGCTGATCAGCCCGCGCGACATGAGCGATCTCCTGCAGTGGAACCGCACAATCCCCGAAGCCACCGAGGACTGCGTCCACAACCTCATCGCCAAGAACACCATGGTGAATCCGACCGCCCCGGCCGTGTGCGCGTGGGATGGCAACCTCACCTACGCCGAGCTCGACAACATCTCCTCGAAGCTCGCCGCCCACCTCATGAACGCCGGGGTCGGGCCCGAGGTGTTCGTGCCGCTGTGCTTCGAAAAGTCCATGTGGACGATCGTCGCCATGCTGGCGACCATGAAAGCGGGCGGCGCGTTCGTGCCCATGGACGCGTCGCAGCCGTCCAGCCGCATGCAGCTAGTCGTCCAGGAGGTCAACGCGCATGTGATGCTGTGCTCGGAGGAGCAGCTGGGCCGGTGCCCGGGGCTCGTCGAGAAGGCGATCGCCGTCGGACCGGGGATGGCCCAGGCATCGATGCCCCAGATGTCTCAGACGCCCGTGGCGCCGTCCAACGCCGCGTACGTGATCTTCACATCGGGCAGCACGGGCACGCCCAAGGGGTCGGTGGTGGAGCACCGCGCCTTCTGCACGGGGGCGCTCGCCCACAAGGAAGGGCTGCAGATGGGGCGGCGCGTGCTGCAGTTTGCGTCGTACACGTTCGATGCGAGCGTGCTGGAGATCCTGTCGACGCTGGTGCAGGGCGGCTGCGTGTGCGTGCCCTCGGAGGCCGAGCGCCGCGGCAACATCGCCGAGGCCATGACGCGCATGAACGTCGACTGGGCGGTGCTGACCCCCTCCTTCGTCAGCACGATCGACCCGGCCACCGTGCCCACCCTGGAGACCCTGTGTCTGGCCGGCGAGGCCATGACCGCCACCCACGTCGCCACCTGGACCCCCTATGTCCGCCTCGTCAACGGCTACGGCCCCAGCGAGTGCTGCGTCTGCAGCTCGTCCAACCGCCGCGTCGTGCCCGGCACCGCGCCCAACGACATCGGCACCGCCGTCGGCGGCGCCTGCTGGGTGACCGACCGCGACGACCACAACAAGCTGGCCCCCGTGGGCTGCATCGGCGAGCTGCTGGTCGAGGGCCACACGCTGGCGCGCCACTACCTCAAGAACGCGGAGAAGACCGCCGCAGCGTTCATCCCGCGGCCCGCCTGGCTGCCCTGGTCGCGCTGCGACCGGCTGTACAAGACGGGCGATCTCGTCAAGCACAGCGCCGACGGGTCGCTGCAGTTCATCGGCCGCAAGGACACGCAGGTCAAGATCCGCGGGCAGCGCGTCGAGCTCGGTGAGATCGAGTACCACCTCTGCCTGCCGGCCGCGGTCTCGCAGGCGATCGTCTCGTACCCCAAGAAGGGGATCTACGCCAACAAGCTCATCGCCACGCTCGAGCTGACCGCCACCAGCGGTGACAAGCTAGCCCCGGTCGCCCCAGTCACCCTCCAGGAGACCGGCTTCGATCTGCCTGCGCTCTCCCAGTCCATGAGCGAGACGCTCCCCGCGCACATGGTGCCCGTGATCTGGATCGTGGTTGAGAAGATCCCCAGCTCGTCGTCGACGAAGATCGACCGCAAGGCGGTGGACACGTGGCTTGCGCAGCTGCCGGCGGACTTCGCACCGACGATGGGGCTGAAACGCAACGAGCCCACCGTGTCCACGCTTCGGCCGGACGAGGGCAAGGCGCTGGCGATCAGCAACAAGATCGCTAGCCTAGTCAGCCGCGACGACAGCAGCAGCATCCCCCTGCAGGGCCACGACTTCAACATCGCCTCGATGGGCATCGACTCGGTGCAGGTCATCAGCCTGGCCAGCTTCATCAAGCAGACCTACGGCGTCAAGGTCGACGTCTCGCGCATCCTGGACGGGCAGATGACCGTGCGCTCGCTGGCCGCCCTCCTCGACGCCGAGCTCACCGGCACCGCCCCGGCCACCGTATCCCCGGCCTCCACTTTTGATGCCATGAAGGAAGCCACCGCGCTCATGAAGTCGATCATCACGCGCAGCCCCGTCAAGAAGACCGTCTTCGTGACCGGCGTCACGGGCTTCCTGGGCACGCAGATCCTGCGCCAGCTGTGCGATCGCCCGGACGTCGGCCGCGTCATCGCGCACGTGCGCGCCGCGACGCCCTCCGAGGCGTTCATCCGCGTCAAGGACGCCGCGGTGCGCGCGCAGTGGTGGTCGGACTACTACCTGACCAAGCTGGACGTGTGGGCGGGCAACCTGGCGCAGCCACGACTAGGCCTGAAGGCCAAGCAATGGGCCTCCCTCACGGGCGAGAGCCCCAACGAGGGCGGCCTGGTGCACGCGATCATCCACGCGGGGGCGGCGGTGAACTGGAACGCGGGGACGGAGGTGCTGCGCGCGGCCAACGTGGACTCGACGGCGGAGCTGATCAAGGCGGCGGTCAGCTCGCCGGCGCGGCCGCGGCTGGTCTACGTCTCCGGGGGTCACCGGTGGCACCCGGACGAGGACGACCGGGAGATCGCGGCGGAGGTGGCGCACGCGAACGGGTACGCGCAGACCAAGTACCTGTCGGAGCTGCTGGTGAAGCAGTTCGCGGCGCGGTACGCGGGCCAGTTCGCGATCGTCAAGCCGGGGCTGATCCTGGGCACGCCGGAGGAGGGCGTGGCCAACACGGACGACTTCGTGTGGCGGCTGGCGTCGGCGGTGGTGGACGCGCGCTGCTACAGCCGCGACGTCGGCGAGTCCTCCTGGATGTTCGTCACGAGCAGCACGCGCGTCGCCGAGGAGACCATCCACCAGGCCTTCTGCCCCGCCGACGCCATGCGCACCGTCACCTTCATGACCGACGGCATCACCGAGCGCGAGTTCTGGGACATCTTCCACCACGAGCTCCAGTACCCGCTCCGCGCCGTCGACCATGCCACCTACCTCGACACCCTGCAGCAGGCGATCCAGCGCGACGCCACGGGCCATCCGCTGTGGCCGGTGATGCAGGTTTTCGAGGCGATTGACGGCCGGCTCAGCGGCGGGGATGTGCTGCCCGATGCGAGTGTGGTGACTCCCTCGCAGCGCCAGCATGTCAAGGCTACCGTTCGCCGCAATGTGCAGTTCTTGGTGGACGCGGGGTTTATTGCTAGCCCCACGGGCAAGAAAATGCGGTATATGGCGGAGAAGGTGTTCCAGCGGTCGGGCAATGTGTGGGAGAATGTCAAGGGGATGGTTAATGGACTAGCTTAAAATGACAGTCCTATAGGATGGACTGGCTGAGGCTGTAGTGCTTCGTGTTTTGTATAATAGCGTAATGTCTGGAGTATGGGGTAATTGGGATCTGATTAGGCTAGCATCCAATGTGATTTGCTCGTTCATCTATTATCCTTCGTCAATAGTTCCACTACATAATCAGACTAGACTTGAGCAGCAGGTGGAGCATGAACCTCGATCAAGCCGTTGGTTCAACTAATCTCGCATAAGCCAGCCGATCCATCGATGGGTAGCGTTGAATCTCGCCGATCAGGGCTAAGCAGGAGGAGGGAGGGTATAAGAAGGCGCATGTCCCCAGCCTGTCTCTTGTTCTTTTTCCTCTCTCACCCATCCGCCCAGCCCTAACTCCCCCTTCCCTCTCACCACCACCACCCCCACAACCATTCATCTATATCCCAACCAATCCTCCCACACAACACACCACCACCCTTTCATCACAAACAAACACGGACACAAACAAAATGGACATGTTCGCCCCCGCGCCCCCTCCCCCCACCGCCCTAGGCCGGTACCGCACGCTCGCCTCGACCGCCGGCATCCGGGTCTCGCCCTTCCAACTCGGCGCGATGTCCATCGGCACCGCCTGGTCCGGCGGACTGGGCTCAATGACGAAAGAAGCCAGCTTCGCGCTGCTAGACGCCTACCTTGCGGCCGGGGGCAACTTCATCGACACGGCGAACAACTACCAGAACGAGGAGTCGGAGCGGTGGCTCGGGGAGTGGATGGCCCTGCGCGGGGTGCGCGACCACCTGGTGGTGGCGACCAAGTACACGGGGCTGTACAAGCCGCCCAACCCTGCGCCTACCCCCTCCTCCTCCTCCTCCTCCTCCAGCCCACAAAACACCACGGAGAGCAGCTACCACCCCTCCTACCCGAAGATCAACTTCGCCGGCAACCACCGGCGCAGCCTGCACCTGAGCGTGCACGACTCGCTGGCCAAGCTGCAGACCAGCTACGTGGACATCCTGTACGTGCACTGGTGGGACAGCACCACCTCGATCGAGGAGGTGATGGACAGCCTGCACATGCTGGTGCAGCAGGGCAAGGTGCTGTACCTGGGGATCTGCAACGCGCCGGCCTGGGTGGTCAGCGCGGCCAACACGTACGCGCGCCTGCAGGGCAAGACGCAGTTCAGCATCTACCAGGGGCGGTGGAACGTGCTGCACCGCGACCTGGAGCGCGAGGTGATCCCCATGGCGCGCCGGTTCGGGATGGCCGTCGCGCCGTGGGATGTGCTCGGCGGGGGCAAGTTCCAGTCGCCCCAGGCGATGGCCGCGCGGAGGGAGAATGGGGAGGGGCTGCGCAGGATGATGGGGAGCGGCGAGCAGAGCGAGGATGAGGTGCGCATGAGCGAGGCGCTGGGCAAGGTGGCGGCCGAGGTGGGGATCGAGTCGGTGACCGCCGTCGCGTTGGCGTACGTGCTGGCTAAACATCCGAATGTGTTTCCCGTGGTCGGCGGGCGGAAGGTCGAGCATCTCAGGGATAATATTCAGGCGTTGGAGGTGAGGTTGTCCGAGGAGCAGATCCGGTTTTTGGAGGGGGTCAAGCCGTTGGAGTTGGGGTTTCCGCAGAATATGCTGGGCGAGGAACCCGGGGTTACGGGGAGGGAGGGCATGTCCCTCGCTAATGCGGGGGTGGTTGATTTTGTCAGGTTTGAGAGACCTGTGGGGTATGCTTGAGTTTGGGGGACGGTATATTGTTTGTTGGGGGTGTCTTGGTTGCTGGAAAGGGCACAGTGTGTATCATAAAGGTGATCATGCTAGTATACATAAATGAATTCGTCATTCTCGCGGTCCGTCAAGTCCATCAGCCCCTGCTGCCCGGTCTCCTCTGTCGTCGTCGGCGCAGCATCGCTCTCATTCTGTCCGCCGCTCCGCATCGACAGATCCTGCAGCTTGGCCGGCTTGCCATTCTTCACGCGCCGTTTCTCCTGTATGCGGTTCAGCACCACCAGATTCGCCCACTGCATCAGCGTGACCCCCACCAACGCCACAAAGATGCCCAGGCACGCCTTCAGCCCCGGCCGGTAGGTCGGTGCATCCTTGGCATCAAACAGCAAGGGCCCGATGATGTTGCCCGACGAGGTCGCAGCATTAAACAGACTCATGCAGACACTCTGCTTCGTCGTGCCACCGGTGTTGGAGACAATCCACGCCACGATCAAGGGATTGCCCCCGAACAAGAACGCCAGCAGGTAGAAGCCCGCCATGAGCGCCCCGTTGGCACTGCTATCCCGGGGCAGCGCATACAGCATCGCCAGCCCGGCGACCACGGGCAGCACCAACGCCGCCAGGATGACCCCCTTCATGCTCGCCTTCTGGGCCAGGTAGCTCGCCAGCAGGATGATGATCACCTGCACCGCGCCGAAGGGCATGTTCAGCAGCGTCACATGGTCTGTCCCGAACCCCAGCCCCTTCAGGATCAGCGGGCCGAAGACGTTGGTCACCGAGGCCCCGATGTTGAGGAGCAGCGCCAGCCCGATCCACAGGTAGGTCTTGGGCTCCAGCACCGCTTCCACCAGGTGGCTCATCTTGTACTCCCGGGTGCCCGTGCCCGTCTGGTTGGCGCGCAGTCGCTCGATAGCTTGTTCCTTCTCGCTCTCGGTGAGGAAGCGGGCCGTCTCGATGTCGTTGTCGAGGCGCCAGTAGATGATTGGGCTGGTGACGATGGTGAGGAGGCCGACGAACAGGAAGATGCTGCCCGTAAAAGGTTATTATCATTGCTACTTGGATGCACTGGATGCAGGAGGGAAACTTACATCTGCCATCCCTTCAAGACATCGGACTTGATCTGACTCAATCCGTAGGACAGCGCAGCTGCGATGATGGTTGCCCAGCCGTTGGTGGAGTAGAAGGCCGCCACGCGGATCGGCTGCTCAGCCCGACGATACCATCGAGCCACAAGAATGGAGAACAGCGGTAGACAGCCAGCCTCGAATAGTCCGAGGAAGAATCGCGCCGCGAGGAGTTGGCTAAAGTTGTGGCAGGCGGCCATGCAGGTCTGAGCGATGCCCCAGCCGAGACACAGACTGGGCATGAGGATCCGGGGTCGGACCTTGACGATGACTAGGGTGGTTAGCTATTACTCCCCCAGTCCTCAGTCGTTGTACTCACGCCAGGAAGAACATGGCTGCCAGGCCAGCTGGGCGATGGGAGCGATCGACCCGATCAGCGAGTACTGGTTGCCCGTGAGGTGCGTGTCCTCGGTCATACCGTAGGTGGCCCCAAATCCCAGGACGGTCTTATCCAGAATCTGCAGGAAATACACCCAGACCAGGATGGTCAGGATAGCCCAGTCGGTTTTGCGTTTGATCCTCTGGCCATCCTCCTCCGTCAGGGGGATGCGCGGACGAGGAATGGGGTCAAAGTCGGGAGATGCAGAGTCAGAGCCCTCGATGTGAAGAGCAGCGGGCTTAATGTCATTGTCCATGATGTCGGATGGAGGTATGGATGAGAGAGAAATCTGGGGAAGGGTGGGGAGGGTGGGGAGGGGAGAGATCGACCCCATATAACACCGACAAATGCGGGGGAAATGCTAGTGCATTCAACAAGGTGCCACCCCCACGGACCTGATGAGCTGGTGGTACGACAGGAGCCCTTACCGGTTTGCAGCAGAGGTCGAGTCGGACACTAATGTGAAGCCAGGCAAAGACCGAGGCAAAATGGGCCGACTTCCCCGCTGTCGATCCCCCGTCATTCGATTTCAATCTTGCCTCTGGTTCTCGCCCCCACGTTGCACGGGGGGGGCTCTGGGTTTAGCCTTCGTATGCCAGATGGCCAGGATATTCAAGGTTTCTAGCTTGTTTGTCTGTTTGTCTGGCCAGGTCAGATGATGATGACGGTGCATCTCATGCAAGGATCTGCTTGTCCCTCACTGGATGCGCGCGCGGTTGCAACAAGCTTGTGGCTTGTGGCGAAACACCAACCCCCACGTCCACGACTGACGGAGGGTCCAAGCGGCCTTGCAGATACTGAGAGACATAGGCTTTGTCTCTCGATACGGTGGGCTAACGCACCAGTAGATATTATCATTAACCGATGATCACCGATATTGTCCCATGACAGGCCCTAGATGCAGTGAGTCTCTTATGATGGCAACTCATACGGGACCTCCTCGCGGCCCTCCATCTCCGCAGGTACCGATGCACGCGAGTATTTGGGATCCTTCGAGAAAGCCGGCAACTCATACGATGGCACAGTCTCGCTTCTCATATCCATCGGAGCCATCGCCCCTCGTCTGGCTACCTTCCTACGTCGCCAGAGCCAGTACCAGGCCAGTCCGATCGTCAGCAACAGCGCACAGCCCAAACGCACCCCCACTCCGATTCCGATCTTTGCTCCTCTACCCGACCCCGAAGTCGTCGCTGCCGGGGTGGTGGTCTCCGCCGATGCCGATGTGGCGGTGACAGCAGCTGATGCAGTCAACGCCACAGAGGGGATGGATGTGGCAGACGTCGATACCGCCGTTGTTGTAGTTGAGGTTCCGATTGCTGCCGTGGTGGTCGTACCCGCAGAGATATTGAAGTAGTGGCTGGCGAACACCCCGTCCCAGTCTTCCAGATCGGTCGCATCGCGGATCTGGAAGAAGAACACTACGCCGTCGCTCAGGTTCCTTTGGGTGCTGACCACCCAGTCGTAGCTGGTGACACCGCTGAGGTTGGCTGCGGTTGTTAGTGGCTTGCATAATGAATATGAGACTCATGGCTGTCAGGATGCGTACTTTGAAGCCACTCGTAGTCGGAATTGTCATTCTGCCAGAGCATCAGAGAGAGGTATTCGAGGCTGGTCGCCCATCGGAGCTGGACGGTCTGTTCGAGGGTGTAGACGGGGTCCTCCGAGTAGTCGTGGATGGGGCCGCCGGTCGGAGGATTGTAGAAGATCCCTGCCTCCGCTCTCGCATGAACGATGACGGAGGTGTATATGCATAGATAGAAGACGCATTTGGCCATTTTGCCGTAGGGTGGTTGTACACTCGGAACGACGTTGCGGTTGTCTGATGGCTGGCTTCTCCCGGCCCAGGTAACAGAGTGGGTGAGAGAGGGATCCAAAAGTAGTCAGACAGTGAGGGCGGGGAACTCGCTTGACCCCAAAATTGGGCTTATCATTGCTAGGGAGACCCCAAGGGGATGGTTCACCAATGGCTACTATCGCTAGTAAGGTAAGAAGTGTCGCCATCCCAACACATCGTTTCTCTGTTGCTATTTTGAGCTCTTCTCCAGGGATAGTTGCATTGGAACGAATCACAGGCATAGTGTGCTGGGCTAAGGGCTATTAGCACAAGCGGTAGAGAAGTCTGACTCGCACATCTCGGGGACCCCATCATATTTTCTCTGTGGATACACCGCAGACAGGCCAAGCCGACACGATGTGACCCTTGGAATGCGTGATGACGGGATGGATCGACCGGGGTAGACGAGGTTAGCGCTAAAGCTCCGTCTATCACTGGCTGCATCGAGCCCTAACCATGCAGATAAGCTGCGCCGCCAGCTTGGCCTTGGACGACAATTCGATGGACGTAAGGCCTGTCAGTGTCGTTATCGCGCCTATAAGCTTCGTTCGCATGAGCTGTTGCCGCCCATAACTCGACCAGTTGCCCTGATAAAGACTCAACCCTCGAATCTCTTTCCTAGATAAGCTAATTAAATATTCTCCATCTTCTCAATATGCTTCTGGCACCACGACAATGCCTCTTCCTCACCGCAGCAGGCTGCATTCTCTTGATCGTAGTCACCTCGTATCGATATTCCCCGATCGCGCCCTCTAGAAAGCTAGAATACTCAGCTTCACCCTCGTCTGATGCTTCACCAGTCAGCGACGCAGCCAACTCGACATTGGGCGTAAGCCTTCCTTCTCCGATACACAAGACCAGTGGATGTTAACCGCAGACCAGTTCCAAGCGATCTTCGCCCTCTCCGCCGGCCCCTCCTGGCGAACACGAGGCCTCCTCGCCGCCGCCAACCTGACCGGACTAGAAATCACCCTCCCACCCCAGCCCCCCATCCCCGCCGCCCTAGTCACCGCATTCCAAGCCCTAGGCGACAGCACGCAGCACCCAACCCAAGGCGCCAGCAAAGCCTGGCTCGCGCACCTCGACCTCATCAAACACATCCACCAATCCCGTCTGGACACCGCCCTGATCCTCGAAGACGACGTCGACTGGGACCGGGCCCTGCGCGCCCAAACCCCGCGGATCGCCGCCGCGGTCCGCAACCTCACCCACGTCTCACCCCCCGCGGACAACGACAACGCGCCCTACGGCCGGGCCTGGGACCTCCTCTGGCTCGGCCACTGCGGCGAGTACTGGGAGGACAGCATCGAGACCGTGGTCTTCGACGACCCCACCGCCATTCCGCACGCGCAGTACTCCGGCTGGGCGAGGGAGTATATCGCGCGGTTGCCCGACCGACGGCGGGCGGTGTATCGGTCGTACAACCCGGTGTGCTCGTTCGCGTACGCGCTGTCCCGCGACGGGGCGCGGAAGGTGCTCGAGTTGGTCGGGGGCGGTGGGGATGAGGCTTTCGATATCGCGGTCATGCATCACTGTCGTGCGGGGAGGCTGGGGTGTCTGTCTGTCGTGCCGGAGGTGGTGCATCAGTATTTCCCGGCGGAGCGGTACGGGGTTAAGAGCTTGGTGGATCTGGGGAATGGGGAGGTGGATGGGCCGGGGGAGGGGGGAAAGGATGGGGAGGACTTTGAGGCGGTGATGGGTTCGACAGAGAATATTCTGGAGAGTGCCAGGTGTTGGGCTTTGTGGCGGCAGACGTGTTTGAGGCAGTAGATGTGAGGACTGGATATGGAATGTGGATGGATGGACAGCTGTTTGGTGTGGGGAAAAGAGAGGTCGGACCCGCGGGGTTCACACTGCCCCTGGCGCATCTCGGAGTTGACCTCCGATAATTTATGCGAGTAGCGCTGTGCCATGTATATTATGGAATTCGAATAGTGGTTGTATATTACGTGTTTTTGATTACTCTCGGGGTGGAACGCGTGTGAGTGCTGAACAATTGCGAAGAAACGCCCTTGCGGGCGGTGAAACAGATATATATGTAGACCCCCCGAGGTTTGACCACAGTTGGCCAAAACAGACGAGAGGATTTTCCTGCGGAAGTGGACACTTCCTGTGCACCGGCCCAAGTCTTTAAGAAGCAGTGACTGAATTTAGAGACAGTGAAGAAGGGTAGAGGGTAATCATGTGCAGGTAAATTATGTTTCTGTCCTGGGGTTGATGACTGCTGTTGGGAGGTGACTACATCTACAATGCAAGGATATGAACCTCAAAGTTGATGCCGATGTCACAACAACAGGTGCTGTGGTCTAGTGGTATGACGTCACGTTGTGGCCGTGCCAGCCCCGGTTCGATTCCGGGCAGCGCCACTTTCTTTTTAGGGTTGTTTTTGTCTGGCTGGTTAAATTCACTGAATGTAGATGTGCCTGTGAGTAAACAAACCCAAGATCTATAACCCCACCAAATCAATCCCCAAACGGGTTCTCAAACCCCAACGCCTCGCCCACATTGCAATAGAGCTCGGCCGGCATCGGCCAGAAGCGCAACTCCATCCCCTGCACAATCGCCCGCTCCCTCTCATCCAACGCCGTGAAATACCACTCCTCCACGCAGTAAAGCAAGTCCCGCATCTCCTCGTCGAACAAAGCATTGATCGGTCGCCCGGCGCGCTGGACCTCCACCTGGAAGCAATACGCCGGTTCACCCCACGGCTGCTCCTGGCCCGTTTCTATAAACAACCCAGCCCTCCCAGGACGCCACGGTTCATCATCAAAACCCTCCTCCTCCTCCTCCCTCTCAGCGCCCAAATCCCTGACCAACCCCTCCATCTCAGGAATCGTGCCCTCCCGCACAGCCCACAGCCAATGCATCGACCGCTCCACGGCCCAGTCCGCGAACGCCGGGTAATCAAGCGCCGCATTCTCGGGACACAGCTCGTACTGCTCCGCGAACTCATCGACAACAAAGTACCGCCCGGCCTCCGCAAGGAGGCGCAAGCGGTCGGTCAACGCACTGATCGTGCGCGCGACATGATCGAGCCGGGCGCGCACCGCCGACGCCACGACCGGCCCATCGCACAAAGCATGGGGGCTCGTGAACTCGTACCCGCCGTCCGCGGGGGCCGCCATCCCCACGAACCACGGACGGTACCGATCCTTGGCCGCCTCGCTGCGGATCAGCGCGGCTGTCTCCTCGGGCGTGCGCCGCCCCAGCGCGACCAGCAGCGCCGCCTCCCACTGTCGGCGCTGGGCGCGCCAAGCCCGCAGCCGGGCGTGGTAGGCGTCCGCCGCGGCGGTGAGTTTGGTCCGGTAGTCGCGCAGGGAGTTGCGGGCGACGGAGAGGCAGGTCCGGGGGTCGGTGAAGGGCGGGTAAAGGACGACGTCGTCTGCGGGCAGGGCCTCGCCGCCGGACTGGAGGAGGGTGTAGGTGCTGGACCGGGTGTTGGGCGCCAGGTAGACGGGCTCGTAGGCTTGGTTGGTCAGGTAGTGGGCGTCGAGTCGGTGCGGGCGCAGGTCGCGGCTTAGGCCGACGCGGATGCGTTGGGGTGACAGGTCGTCGAAGGCGGGGATTGCTGGTGGTAGGGGGGAGGTGCGCCAGGTGAGGAATTCGTTTAGGGTTATGTGGGCTTGGTGGGGGAGGAGGCGGATTGGGCTGATGGGGAGGGAGTTGGTGGGGAGTTTGTCGTTGGGGTCGTTGGCGGGTTTGTCCGGGGTGACTCGTTTCGGGGCTCTGGATGAGCTGGTTGTTGAAGAGGGCCGCTTGCCTGCCATTTTGATATGCGAGATTACCAACGATTGTAATTGTTGAAGCAGGCGGATGGTGGACACGGAGGTGTTGTTGCGCTGAGAAGGACTTTAGGCTTGTGAGAGGAGATGGTGGATTGCGATTTCAATATTGCTGGAGAGAAGAGTCAGAGGGGAGCGCAGGTGTCTGGAACCAAACTGTATGTAAGATATAAGTGAGAGGATTATGACGAGAATCAGAGCAACGAAAAGAAAGACGCGAACCAGCAGATGAAGCCTGGGTGAAGAACGGCTGTTTCGACTCGAGAAGAAGTGAGATCTCGACGTGCTCTTTTCTTGACCCTAATAGTTCAGCCCGGAGAAAGCCCCTGATGCCCATCAGGCTCTGGGGGATACATTGTGGGAAGCGAAAGAGTATAAAGGCAGAGATTACAGATCAAGCCTGACGACCACGCTGATCTCGATCATGAGATGCCTTGTCTATTCGCAACAGTCAACAAGTCATCTGAGCCCTGACTATGCGAGTGATGCAATGGGCAACGATGCGAGAAAAGACACTAATTCATCTAGTAAGCTACCACTATAAACAAACGACAAGTATAGACGTGGCTGATGCATCCACCAGGCCGAACACGGAACGAGCAGAAGCAGGATCAATCTCAAACAATGGTATAGTACAGCACCGCGACTAGCATCCACAACATAAGCATTCCACGATCTCGAAGCAGCACTCGCAGGCCTCCTCGCAGAGAAAACAACAGCACATGGTCAGAAGACTGAGAGCAGTTAGCCAAAGTCAGGTCCGCTCGGGTCCAGGTCAGCACATACCAGGTGGTGAGACACCCACGGTCCTTGGACTGCGACTGCTCTTGCGGGGGAGCATACTGCATTTGCTGGGGAGGTGGGTATTGACCCCCGGGAGGTGGGTAACTAGAAAGATCTCATTAGTAACAGATTCGCCTAGTAGACTCGGCTGCTCCTCTGCTAACGTACTATCCCTGTGGTGGAGGTGGCTGTTGTTGTTGACCGTAGTATGACATGGTGGGTTTTATGGGGGGGATGTGAGCACCGACAACAGGAAAAAAGCTGGGACTGAGCCGGGGGGATGGGCAAAGGGCAGTTAGCCCGCCTATTATTATAATTCAAACAAGCCCGGACAGCCTAGGCAGAAGGGATTGGCATTTGCCCAAGTCAGCCCTGCCGAGAGGAGAAATCAAACTGGTTTCTCTTGGCCCTGCGGTTGTCGCTGGGGGGTGGTTCCACCCTCCCGGTTGCCATTGGGCCCAGGGACAGGGTAATCGTCGACAGGAATCAATAGTCGGCAGCCGATGTGACGGAAAGAGGAGGTTCAGTCATCCTCAATGGCAGCGTTGGCGCGTGGGGAGGTTACACGTTGGGAGTCCCAGAATAGATAGGTAACACCACACGCCTAGTCTCGAACTGCTTTGGGGGCGCTTGCATTGTGATCGTGGCGGCTGGGAAAAAGTCGGCTTATGCGACACCGACTGAACAGATCAGCCATCGGGGTGCATGAAGTGGATTTGTGCCAATGCTCTATGGTCTTTGCCAAGCAGCCCTCAGCAGTCCTGAGGGTCTCCAGGGTCATGGGAGCGAGATTGGATGAAGACCGTCAGAAACGCCAAGACTGGCGCTTCGCCCCTTAAGGCTGGACTGGAGGAAGACATGTTCCGCCCCTCTTCAAGCGCCAATTGGCAATGCAGCCAAGAAGGACTTGCTGTCTCGAGTGTTGCATCTTGCATGCAGAAATAGTGCTGCCTAGTAGATAAGATGATTTGTACGAGAGGCATGACTATTTGCCACCATACATCAACTTGGGCTTGTAGCTCAGTGGTAGAGCGCTCGCTTCGCATGCGAGAGGTCAGGGGTTCGATTCCCCCCAAGTCCAATCTTTTTGGCCCCGCGTTTCCTTTTGGGCTTCATTCTCGGCTGCAGTGCTGTTTAGCGACTGGGCCAATAGTGTTGTGGTCTGGGGCCGTTTGCCGCCTTCCAGAAACGACTTGGTGGGCGTCTCTCTACGGCCAGCCTTATTCTAATGTACATCTTTGTTGCCAAGTGACTTCTAGAGCTATGTACAATCCAGGGACTTTCAAGACCCCGTAGCCACGCTGACTGCATATCACAACCAAGGTCGCCACGGAAGGACGGACCCAGTGTGAAGACATCACCCGCGACAGCAACGCGATATGCATCGATGAACCTCAGTACAACCATCCACAACGGGCACGTGGCTTGAGAGGCCGCACATACCATCAGCTTCGGACCGTCAATCCGTGCTACTCACCCTAGCCAATCCGCTGCTTTCGCCTCACCCAAACCTCCTGCTCGGCAGGCCCTGCGGCCCCCTCCTTCGACGCCGGGGGATCCCGCAATTGCACCTCCCAGACCTTCAGCTTGTAGTTGCCACGGTCCGCCTGCCCCGAGAACAGATCGAACGACCACCCGTGCTTGGGACAGTTGATGCCCGCGCTGAGAGTGATGCCGAAGTCCTCGATATCAAAGACGCTGCCCCAGGATAGTGGATACAGGGCGTGAGGGCATTGCTGGGGGTATATATGCATCAATGCTTGCTGGTCTACACAAAACTCATAGCATCTAGAATAAAGAAGGCTTACATGGTCAATAGCATGGAGTTTGCCCTTGTACCGAAAGACGAGGACCTGTTCGTTGATGTTGCCCGGCATGTCCAGGTCCGCCTCGACGGGGGTGTCGGACGGGCACTCGTCCGTGGTGGCCGTGGTGGGGACATGGAATGCCTTGCAGCTGGCCTTGATCCGCGACTTGGCATCTTCGGAGTCGACGTCTGGGAAGTCGGATGCGAGGCCGACCTTGCGCCAGGTGGCTGCTGTCTGTGATGGTCGATGGAAGGGGTTCATTGCCGGTATGGGATGGGAGTATAGTTGGGAAAGTGACAATTGAAGTCGATGTGACTCGCTCGCTTTTTCGCGCCTGCGGGGGGGGGGGGGGGAATTTGCGAAGGGCGATTAGTCATCCAGCTCAAGTGTTTCTCCGCACCCCACATTAATTTCCCCAGCGCAAGAGGGCTGTCGCATTCCTACGGTGGTGTGCGGGTTGGATCCAATTGAGACTCAATTCGAAGCCGGGCATGGCTAGTTCCACTGTAGCAATTGCAAATACTTTTTCGTTCGATACACACATATAGCACAGGTCCGGTCTGGAGACGGAAATCACAAAATAAAGCCGGGGCAACCAGACCATTCGCTATCAAAATCAACCCTAAAACAAAAGAACATCCAAAGAGCCACTCAACCTGACATAATTTGTCATCTTTCAAGAGTCAACGGACAAGACAAGCACACCGCTCAGCCGATGCTCAGACACATGCCGTCCTTGAGCGCCTTGATCATATCCTTGGTCAAGGGATCCTTCTTGTTGAAGCTCTGCGCCTTGCGCTCGGCGGGCGAGTAGGTGGTGATATCGAGGGAGTCCCCACCGATCGCCGCCTTGCCCCGGCTGCCCGCCCCATAGGCGGTGGCCTTGTTCTTGCGCTCGTACGCCTTGAAGCCCGTCGCCCAGCCCCAGGGATCCTGGGCGGCTGCGGGGAGTTCCACGTTCTGCTCCTCGGCCTCCTCCTCGGCCTCAGCGATGATGTCGGCGATGTTCGACGGCCCGTACATGGTGATGTTGTGCTTGGCGCCGTAGGCGAGCAGATACGGCACGAAGTGCTCCCCGGCGTAGGCCTTCTTCTTCTTATTCTTCTTCATCCCCTCTGGCGCCTCGATGAACCCGTCGGAGCGCATGGCGTCGGCTTCCCGCGCGACCATCCCCATGACCCAGCCGAGGTTGCGCACGTGGGCCAACTGACCCTGTTTCTCGAGCTCGGCCAGCATGCTCAGGAACATCAGCTCGAGGATGATCATGGTCTCCCGGAAGAGGTCGCCGTCGTCAATTATGGCAATGGATTAGCACCGCCCATGGCACTTGTATCAGCAGAGAGTGAGTCATACCCAATCATGGGGTCGAGCGAGTCGGTGTTGAACAGCAGGGCGAGCGCCTCGCAGATGGCCCACTGCTCCTTCCAGTTGCCGGCGGCCTCGTGGAAGTCGAGCAGCACGTTCTGGGCCACCTCGATGGCGCCGTAGCCGGCGTGGTCGTTGAAGGTGTACATGTCGAAGGCATCCGGGTTGCGCAGATTCAGCATGTCCTGGTAGGTGTTCAAGCGCTGCATGCCGGCGCGCGAGATGGTCCAGCGGTGGTCGGGGTGCTCGGCCGCCGGCTTGCGACACATGCAGCTCTCGCCCGCGTCGCAGTCGGTCGCGGGCTCGTCGTTCTCGTTCTCGCTGTCCTCCTCCTCGTCGTCTTCGTCCTCTTCCGCCCCGGGGACCCGGCAGATGCAGACAAACTCGTAGGGGTTGGGCTTCTCTTTGAGGAAGAGGTGGTAGGCGACATCGGCGTTGCCGGAAGCGGAGACCGCGGCCCAGCGCTTGTTGCGCGGGATGTTGGTTGTTTCGGATGCCATTGTGTGAGGGAAGTGAGGTGGGATGAGATGAGCTGTGGAAGGAATGGAATATAGGATGAGAAATGGGAATTGGGGGGGGTGGGTGGTAAAAATAAGGGAAAAGAAGAGTTTGGATGTGTTGAATGTGATGGATCAAATTCCACCCATGATAAGATAAGTTATGCGTGTTTGTTTGTCCCAACGCGCGGGGCGCGTTGTTTGCTTCGGGTAAGAAACCTCAGCACCGTTAAGGTAATGTTACTGTCCATTACTCATGATTATTGCCACTGCTGCCGTGTCTCTACATCATGCACTCTTTCTGAAGCAGAATCATTTGTGCCGGAACTGACTTTGTGGCAAAAGTACAGTACAGGTAAGGAAGTCTTTGACAGGCATGTCATGGGTGGAGCGCTATGTGGGCCCCTGTCAGATCACCTTCCTCAACTGTACAGTACGTACAGTACACGATATGCATCCCTCCTACCTGTCGATCAATGGCCTCGGAAAGACCGAGAGGAGACTACAATCAATTTCAACCGTGATATTGAAGGAGAGATGTGAATGGAAGGACAAGGACACTGCAGAAGGAGGTCCGATTAGGTAAGCTGGCTCTTTGCGCACGGCCAATCATGTCACGAGAACTCATTTCCTCAGCTTTGACTGCCTGCACACTTCCAGCTGAAGAACAACCACTGAAGAGCCAGGGATGTATGTTTTGGAAAATATCGAGATTGCTTGTCTCATGACACAAATCACTGTTGAGGCTTATTGGTGTGTGGCCAAGTAAGCGGATGTACTGTACTGTGCAGCAATGCTACCCAGTACCTCACTTATCTCCGACCCAGCTGCACAGCACACCATCAGATACCCAATGATCAAGAGCGATGGATGCTTCGAAACTACGGACCTAAAGGCATATTGCTCTGAGATGATACTACGTCAAGCAATACAGCGCAGCGGTTCGAACTAAAGACCTTAGCAAATGAAAACATATGGACCGAACAGCAAACGGCCGTGTATATCAACTAATTCTCCAGAAGAAAAGATTCGGCAAGCATAAGATACCAGAGCTATGAATTCAAAACTGATAACTTGATCACTGCATCGAAACTGGTTTCCAACCGCCCGTGAGTGCCTGGCAGCGACCCGTCTGACAGACACAATTTCTACTGTGCAATCAGCTGAGCAATGTCTACATCCTGTTTGTACGTGCAGTCAGCATCCAGTCAGTGCAGTCATAGGCGGAAAATGCCACCATACCTTCTCGTTGAAATCGTCTCGTCCCGTGTAATACTGACCTAGGGACTCATAGGTCATCCTCGGCATACCAGGAACCAAAGCAAGGTCCCACCCCGCAGATATCGCAGCTGCATCACCGCCCCCGCGCACCATCTCTGCAAGCTGCACATCCGACGGCACGTTGAATGCAAAGCGCTGCAGAATTTCTTCTTTCTGCTCTACGGAGCCCCGCACCCAGTCCAAATAATGTGGCTTGTTCGGCTCGTCCGTCTCCTGTCGACCCCCACGACGCGAGACATTATCCGCGACCAGCACGGACTTACCCGGCTTCAGCAGCCCCAGATTCTCGGCCAGCCAGAGATCAGGAAGATAGCGATCCTTGAAGTGATCGAGGAAGAGGACGTCAATGCCATCGTCGAACACCCCTTGCCTCGTCAGCCGGGCCAGAGACAAATGCGCCGGGGCCACCAGCAGGGTGATAAAATCCTTCAACCCGGCCAAGTCGATCAGGAGACTTGCAATGGCCGCGTTGACGGGGTTGATCTCTAGACTGAAATAGTGCTGGCCTCCGGCTTGGCGCACCGCGTGGCCGAAAAGAATGGTCGAATATCCGACGTACCCGCCAAGCTCGACCATGATTTGCGGCTTTCGCTCGGCAATAAGCGAGGAGACCACGGCGCCTTTCTCCGGGCCAATGTGAATCAGATGGGATTGTTCTCGGGCGAACCGGTCAATCTCTGCCAAGACTGCTGCCGGGTTGCCACGGAGGGAGGTCTCCAGATGAGGCAGGGAGAAGATGCGTTGCAGGAGAACGAGCTCGCGGCCGTCCTGTTTCCACGCAACTATTTAGCTCCTGCTGCTTTACTGTGATTGGGAGGTAGGTGGCATACTTCACGGTTATACCTGGGATTCCCCATCTCGGATGTTAGGATATTATGCTTTATGCTTTATGCTTAAGATCGAAGAGATTGTCATGCGAAAAAAAAAGTTGGTTACGTGCCTGATGCATTCTGGACCACCGCCGACCATTTTATCCCCGGAACGCCCGCCCTGATATCCATGGACCAAGGATTGTATGATTTCTATCAGATTACCGCCGAAGTCCGAGGTCTTGGCTCTCGCAAGCCGGTACTGAATCGGGGCTAGTGTGGCGGTAGAAGCCCGATGGAACCGGGTAGGGCTCAAGCCAAGCCCTAATCAGATACATTCTTTCGCAGTCGCCTTCCTACGACAATCAGATTAAATAAGCGCCGAGCCATGGCGATTTTGATAATCTGATCATCTGATAAACTCTGTTTCTTCGCCATCGTTTGCATGCATTCAACTCAGCCTCGTCGAGATGGTTTTTCCAGGCAAGCTAAGCTCCGGCTGCGTTCTCTGTCGCAAGCGCAAGGTCAAGGTACGAGGGAACTTGCTCTCTGTTGCTCCAAATGTCTCTGCAATAGTTGTACGTATACTGACAACCAAGTACAGTGCGATGAAGGCAAGCCAGGCTGTCAGCGCTGCAGCACGCACGGGGTCTCTTGTCCGGGCTATCCCGACTCCTTCGCTTTCCGGGGATATGAGCTTGCGCAGGGAAGCACTGCCGGGAAGTTGAAAGTCGTCCGAAACGCGAGGTCATCTCCCTCTAGCCCACATGAGCCGAAGCAGAAGAAGGTCGACCCCGCAAAGATGCAGCCAAGAAGCACGATTGCTTCAATCATTCCAGAGGACAGCGAGCTGATGTCACTATGCTACTTTCACCACCATCATGTACTGAGAGTCCAGCGATCGCCCTGCGAGGGCCATCTGGCCTTCTTCCCGGACCTCTTCAAAGAGCGGGGCAACGATCCGTGCTTCAAGCATGCCGTTCTCTCGGTGTCCTACCTGACGCTCTTCCACAGGGCGCGGGTGCCCAAGTTCCAGATCAATGCACGAAGGCACTATGGTCTGGCCTTGCGGCTGTTGAATCAGGCACTGAGCTTCAGCCAGGCGCAAGTACGCGATGAGATATTTGCCGCCTCGTTGTTCTTGAGCATGTTCTCGGTAGGAAGGCCTGACAAGGATATACAACGAACACTCATATCGAGCGTGACTAACCGAGGACCTGGCTAGGATCTGAGCGGGGAGGGTGCGACGACAGGATCCCTGAACCCCCACATCCCCGGCATCTACTCTCTCATGCAACTGCGCGGCATCCCATCAAGAAGCAACAAGTATAGCCGGCGCCTATGCGGCTGGGCATACACCCAAATGGTGAGTACCAGCACGCCCTCCCGCTGCAACCAACAGAGCGCGCCCTAAGCCCACCCCGCAGCAAGTGCAGGCGATGATCCGCCGGGAATTCCGATATGCCTGCATGCCGCCCTCCTTCGACGGGATCACGCACCCGTGCACCGTGATCCGCTCCTCGATCCTGACAGGCAAACTCTCCGACTTCTGCATGCAGGCCACCGACGCTCGTCGGCGCACGAGCCCCTCGTCCCCAATCCACGCCGACACCCTGCACGCGCTGCTGGTCCAGGCGTGCACCCTGCTGATCGAGCTCCACAACTGGCAAGCCACCATCCCCAACCACTGGCGCAATCAATACGAGAATCCTACCCCCACACCCACCCCAACACCCTCGCCGCTCTCCGAGCACCACCACACCGCCGCCGATTCCCGCAGTACGTCCGAGTCTCGTGCGCGGGATCCGTGGACCACCTGCTTCCTGGCCGGGGTGCAGGCGGCGCAGATCTCGTTCTACCAGCAGTTCCTCGACTGTTGGGAGGAGTGGTGCTTCCTGCAGGGCCGACACGCCTCCCTACCCGAGTTGGCGGTGCTGGGGCTCCCGGATGATCCGGCCATGTTCCTGCTGGATGGGATCGCGTATCTGGTGGAGGTGATCTGCGCGACGGTCACGAGTACGCTTGGCGGTCTCGATGTAGAGGCATGCCACCGGTTTCGGCTGCATGAGCATGCCAAGCTGGCCAACGGGTATACGCTGCTCTGGCCGATGTGGGTGGTTGTCAACTGCCCCTTCGCCGACCCGGATCAGATCATGCTCTGTCGGGCGGCGATTGAGTGTGTGGGGTCCACCATGGGGTACAAGCTGGCCTTGCATTTGATTCAGCCGGGCCGTGGGGGGTGGGCTGACTGCTGACTGAAGCATGAGTCTCACCGGTCGAGAAGATGAACAGCATCCTACCGGATACCTGACTGGTTGCTTGTGCGCCCGACTCGGCGGCCTGGAGAAATGTTAACTGGATTCTAACCATACTGCTAGACTGGTCCAGTGAGCAGACTCCGAGGCTAGCTGACGACATTGCTTAGGCCCATCGTCTCCGAGGAGGGGCCACTTTCCCTCAAAAACAGACCACATCAAGATCCGAGGCAATAATTGTTCGGCCGGATTGGGGAATGAACCGGCCAATGCCTGCCCGCTTCGTCTACGCATCTCCCCACTCAATCGTGTGGCAAGATAAGATCCATCTGCAGCCCCACAACCAGCCAAGCAACGGCAGGGGTATTTCCTCATTCGCTGCACGAACATAGGGAGGAGCCTCGACCGGCCAAGCGCCCAGGCTTTGTTCACCAAGCCAAGATCGGGACTCCAGTCAGAAAGGCCCAAAGGTGTAGCCTACGCCAAGCTAACTGACCTCGACCCCAACACGCAGTAGTCCCCCTTTGAGCATGTCTTTTACCAAAATACGACCGCAGCTCAGTACGATAGAGGGAAGTATTATCCGCCCAGACCGACAAGGCAACCAGCCGTGGAAAATGGAGTTTTCTACAATCTGCTTTGATATACAGGAAACACGATCGCCGTCCTCGAAGGGATCAATCACAATGAATCCGCCACAATTTCCGATTCGCATTGTTTTGATACGCGGTGCGGGTATGCAGCATGGCCGTGTTGTCGTTGACAAGCACATCGCCCACCTCCCAGGCGAGCCGCAGACACACCCGGAAGTCATACAGGAGCCGGTCGATGACGGGGATCAGCCGGGCGCCGCCGTCCGCGGCGTTCTCGATCCTCACCACGCAGGTGGAGAGCTTGGTCTTGCTGGCGTCCCACGGCTGGTGCCAGCACAGACAGGGGCGGCCGGTCACCGGGTGCGTGACCAGCAAGGGCAGCTGGTGGATCTGGGCGTCCCAGAAGCCGTCGTTGTCAATGCCCCAAGTCAGGGTTTGCAGCTGGTCGACGGTCCAGGGGTGGGGTAGGTGGCGGAGGAGCAGCCGGGAGCTGGCGAAGAGGACGAACCCGTCGTTGGGGGAGGTAACCTGGCAGGTGAAGAACTGGTACCGGGGAAAGGCCCGGCGCCGCTCGGTCGCCCCGGTGACCGGGTCGATGACGTGCTCGAACTTGAACATCCCGTCGAAGTGCATCGGCATCGCCTCGCTCGACTCGACGTTGTTGTTCAGCTTGTCCACCCGCTTCGAGTCCTTGACCTTCTTGATGATCCCGTGCGTCCACGGCAGGACCTGCCCCAGCGTCTTGGCGGATTCGATGAAGACGGCCTCATCCTCGGTGCGGCCGAATCCCCGGCAGAGGACTGGGGAGAAGTGGTGGGAGAGCTGGCGGACCTTGCGCATGGGAATGGACTGGATGGTAGGGGCAGGCGCACCATTCTCCATGGTGGGACGGATCACGAGCCCACAGGGGTAGAGATGCTCGAACTGCACTCTTAGCCCGTCTTGCGTCTAGTCGAAAAGCTCCGAGCGCTCCCGGCAGCAATACGGCCGGCCGTCCTTGTAGACGAGCTCGTGGGTGTCGCGCACCTGGTCGGCGTGCGCGGTTCGGTAGGCGCCATCCAGCCCGACCACGACGCAGACATGCCACGGCGTGTGGCCGATCGAGCGCATCTCATCCTGTGGAAGCAGGGAGATGGACAGCTTGTGGCTGGCCGTCGACTCGTGGATGGAGAGGCGCACATAGTCCCCGCGCTGAGCCTTGATGGCGGAGGCGTAGATCTGCCCGCGCGCAAGCATGCGCCGCGCCGTCTGCGAGATCTCCTCGGCCCGCGCCGGTCTATACTTGGCCAGCCTCGGGCGATGGGCTAAATCCTTGGTCAGGAATTTGATGTACACTCGATACGTGAGGAGGAGGTCCATGTCCGCTTTGATGGCCTCCCGGGGGTCGAAAGCGAGGTCCTGTAAGCGCAGGGTGAGCTCGCGGCGCAGGCAGGATGCATGCGCCACGTAGAACTCTTTCGTGGATCCGGGATGCTCCAGCAGGTCGGCCAGTCGAATGAATCGAATGTGAGCCAGGTTCTGGTCCACGGCAATCTGGCGCAATGCTTCGCCATAGTCCCAAACCACTTCATCGGGGACCCCGAGGATGTCTAGTACTTGTTAGTTGGGCGAAGATTAACCTAAATCATAGAAAGGAAATAAACCTACCGTTATATACAAGACCGTCCGAAGAAATATGTACCTCTACCCCCGGCGAATATATTTGGGTGATGTTCAGGCAAAGCCCGTTCAGATGTTGCAAGGCCAACTCCTTCCCAAGATCGGGGAGCACACCGAGGGTTTTATCCTGGTAGTTTGGACTTGAAAGAAAACGCAGGCAGAAACATTCGAACAGGCTCTTGCTTCTGCACAAAGTTCGTGATTGTCGGGAGGAAGCCTTCCACATCCTCCTACGACATGGGTCCACCCCTCTGGCAATTGACGGTGTAGTCGGCTAGGATTTGCAAGATTGCCTCCGCTACATCTCTTGCTAGGCTGTCGTCGCTCTCCTCTTTCACTGTACACATCATGCGCCATCCTTGTTGCAAAAGAACGGGGAACAGACTGACCATCTGTGACATTAGCCTCGATGAATCCATCTTTTGAGAGCTTCCACAGCCCCAGCTGTGTCTTGTTTGGCTTCAATGTGCAGGGTCTCGTTAGCCAGGGCATTCGGCGAAGTGCCTGAATTAGCGTTCTGGTGGCTGCTGCGAGGCGGCGGATACCGGGGGGTGGCGGATGGAACAAGCATTTCAGGAGGAAATTCTGGATGGGCTGGGACTGGTATCTTCCGATGGAGCTAACAGAATCTCTCTTAAATGCAGAGATGAGAACATTGCTATTGATTTTGCCGGCCTTGAATCAGATGTCAAAAGGGGGTCTGGGCAAGTCATCCCACAAGCTGTGGCTAGCCTCTTATAACGAATGAGGACGTTCTCTGGCGAAGAACAGGCTACCGGAGCATGAGCCAGGACATCAGACAGTGCGACAGTCAATGTTCCCTGCCATGTCACCACTGGCCAAGAGCCCTAACTTCCCGCCTCCCGACGTTAACCGTCATGAGTTGAGCTTAGATTAGGCCAAGTTATTCGATAGAGAAAAGCGCAAACAGTACAACGCCGCCACGCTTCCGGATGCGGTCGAGAAGTTCAATGCTTTCATCATCGATCATGTCTCTACAGGTACTGCGCTGGCCATTGCGAAGAGTAACTGGGCTCTGTCCATCGGCCAGCGCCCGTTTGTGGCCTATGGCGTCACATGTGGCATCACGTTCGCCTACGGCGGGGGGCGGTCTTTGGAAAGATTGCCGGCGAGGTGGCGGCTCAGAGGGCGAAGACAGTCCGTGGCTGAGTAGTTGCCTATTGTCTATACTTTAATCAATGCGGAATCTATTCTCGATGCTCCCAGGACATGATTAGATAATACTGGAGTAAGCGTAGCTTCTTGCAGGTGGGATTCTGTATGATCAGTGCAGGTGGCGTGTTGCCCCTGAAGACAATTGTGGCGGCATAGGGTTATCTCCAGCGAGGCCCTAAGGCCGTCTGTCCCAATCGCGCCCTGGTGTCTTCCAGTACGCAAAGCCAAGCTATATGAGTATAAACACTGCCAAGGAGAATTTAAATAAAGTAGCAGAGATCGAGGGAGCGGCAGCTGGACTTCACGATTGCGTATGAGAGGGATCTGCATGAGATGAGTCGATTCTCAGAGATCTGTGGGGCAGATCCACCCAGCATGACTCGCTGTTTGCGCGGTAACCACCATTTGTTATCAGCTGAACTACGGAGACCCTACCATTGATTGATTCATCAGATGACGTTTAGATTGCAGATCTAATCCATTTTTAGCTCGAGCTGAAAACTACAGACCATACTGAGTAGTAAGACGAGCCGGTCAGCTCCCGACAATGGGGAAAGACCCACGAGCTGAGAACTTTACTCAGTCGTATCGCCCACCCAGCCCCTCCACCAAAGCCGATGTGATAAGACGACAACAAGATTGATCCACATAGCGTGGCTGGGCTAAGCCGCAGCTGAAAGCTTACGCTGTATTCCCCAAATGCTTCTATAAACTGAGCTTCAGGCCACGTTTCTGCTTCGGCTTGTTGCCAGCTTCCCAGCATATCCATCAACCCCAAGACCAAGACCATATCTAAGATCTCTATCAATCAAGACCAAATTCGAAGCCTAATACTGCCACAAAATGCCTATCAAAGTCCTTGAAGAGTACGCCTGGGCTCATCCTCCCCTCCATTTCCTCGCCGATGACTGACCTCCGTCTCGTCTTCTAGTCCCGGCGAAGTAATCGAGGCGATCAACGAAACCCCGAAGTCCGTCGTGGTACATTACTGGGCTCCGTGGATGGGACCCGAAACGCCTTTCCTTCCAGTTTTCTTGGAGGCGGATGAGAACCGGGGAGATGAGATTGACTTGGTCATTGTGAACAGTGGGTTCATTCTCCCGCCGCATTCACCCGACGAGATGCCCTTGACGGTTCTCTACAAGGGCGGGGAGGAGGTGGAGACTGCACCCTTCGATCCCATCCAAATCCAGCAGCTTATTGATAATGCGTGAGGGAATAGGGACCGGAAGGTCGTGTTGTGCGTGAATTGAATCTTAGTTTTTCTCTCAAGGATATTGCATTTCATTCCAAAAACACATTCAAGGAATACACCTATGGTTCGGCTTCAGTAATACAGGGAACCAGCTCCGTATTCACATCACAGCGCTGAATTAGCCCTCGGCTCACAAAGGGGGAAAGCCCTATGCCGAGGCCAGTAAAGAGGAGCACGGACATAAAAAGGCAGGAAAGGAAAAAGCAGCCAGCCGGGCAGAAGAAGAAAGCCTGATCAATTGCGATCGGAGTCAGTATTGATCAGCGCGAAGCCGAGCTTGTCAATCTCGTCTGCCGCCCTGCCCTGAGCGCCAGTGATGTAGCCAGCCGCAAATCGGGGCATTCAGGCGGCTGGCTGAATGCCGCCAAGTGCTGAATGTTCTTGATTGATCAGCTTTACCAGGATGGCTACTCCGTAGAACGAGGATGACGTCGCAAATATTAACTAGCAAGGATGGAGAGTGGAGAGTTCAATCAATCTAAAGCCAAAAACATACAACAGAAGGGATTCGCTGGTGGTCACCCACCCAACTACTAACCTCCCGGCGTGTGGCTTAAGTACGGCTGAGCGGACGGGAAGCCCTGTTTTCCACACCCTGTGGTCGTATGTGCTAAGTTTGTTAGTGATACTAACTATGTAGCTCAAAACAGTTGTGGTATAGCTCCTTTGACTTATCTTTCTCCCACTATGTCAGGGACGACCGGTCACTGCCTTTGGTCGAAAAGACCGCTGCAGAAAAGAGTGCCTTACGCACACGCCGGGGTGCTCATTGATGGAATCGGAACCCCTCCCAAGACCCCACCCTAATGCAACCCCAAAAGTCTTATCTTTCAAGGGATCCGTCGTTCCCGTGAAGAGGACGATCCTTCATATGTGGACATCGATAAGGATAAGGATCGAGACTGGTCCGGATTCGATCGAACCGTGTTAGCATACTAAGTATTCTCCCAGGGCTATGCAGTTATCATCTCTACGTGCTTCAACTTCCCTGCAACAATCTGTGCACCAAGGAGCAGCTCGGGTATATCGTCCACTCGTCTGCAGTCGTCTATGGTGCGGCTGGGACATGGCGCATCCTCCTGCAGGGCGAGAGGGACTGCATGTATGTACAGTACCCTCGAGGAGCGCTGCAAAGAGTGGAAGGCAAGTCCGCCCCTTTCGGCGGCTGCAACACCAGTAAAGGCCCTCATCGAATTCGAGGAGTTTGTATCGAAGTCTTGATCCTTGACTTTGTTGGGCAGAAGGTTGCTTAAATCCAAGGTTCAAGAGACAACTGATTTACAAAATTGACACTTTCTTGATTACGAGCAGACATAATTGACGCAGTTGCATATTCGGATCTCGAATTAACATCAATCGCCCGGTATCCGGGGCCCATGATATTTTTCTTTGTTTCTATTCTTTGATTCCATTTAGATCTCCACCTCTACTACCTACCTTCTTGAAGGGGGTCAGTCCAACCTACATTCTTTCTTGAGTCAGCCCCATCCCCGGCTTCATCAGATGCTCCTGGAGCGCGAGGAGCACCGGCAGAGGCGGGGCCATGCCATCGACTGCGGCCCACTCGGCCTCGTTCAGGTAGAAGAATGGGAGTGCCACCGGCCGGTCGAAGGTGGGCTCGTCGATGTACAGGCGCACGCGGCCGCCGCAGATGACGGTCGCCCCGCGGCGCCGCTCGCCCCGCCTCAACGGGTACCGGCGCCAGTGCTGCTGGAGCAGACGCCCGGCCAGGGAGACCCATTCGTGGCCCTCGCGCTCCAGGTGCACGTAGTCGATCACCACACCCTCCGGGCCGGGGTGTCGTTGCCGCGTGAGCGTGAACGTCACGCCGTCGAAGGTGCCGTGGAAAGGAGGGGTGCGGTTGGGTGCCATTGTGGATGGTTCCTCTTCGTGAGTAAACAGAAGCTGTTGGTGCAGGTCCTGGGTTTTGAAGATCCTGGTGGAAGTGGTGAGGATGAGTGGGTGTAAGAGGGTGTTGAGGGTATTTATACGCGAGGTATCGATTGGATGCGTGTGCTGTGTGAGATGCAGCTCCAGTATAGTGGGGTGAGATACAAACAAGCTACTAAGTCATGGACAAAGATTGATGGAGATAATGGCCTCTCGACACCACGACCTCGTTGGACAAGAACACTAAGCAGACTCGTCTTCGCGGACAATCTTTGGTTGTCCGGATTCTTTGTGTGGTTACTATAGCCTTAAAGAGCCATTGTCTGAGTAAAGAAATCTCCCTGTGCAAGTTCTTTGTACTGGAAGATTAAGATTGTTCTATAACGAGCTGTTGACAATGAATTGTTGTTTAGTAACCCAAGTCTGTTTGCTAGAGCGCTCTAACCACTATATCGTGAGCAGTGAGCTTAGGGTAAGATCTTGCCTAATCAGGCTCAACCACAGCGACAGCATAGGGCTAGCTGGCAACTCACCTGTCCCGCCAGCCAGATCGGTCCAAAAGCCACTCCCCAACTCAAGATGACACAAAAGTCACGTCAGGAAAAGCTGCCGAGGGTCCGCTCAGTAGGTCTGACGTTCGCCCATAGACGAAGTACCGTAGTGCGACGGTGATGTACGAAACGATCACGTTCCTGGCCCGCAGCCCGCCTATAGTCCCAATATACCCGGCCTGGACAATCTGCTTGGCGTCGTCCGAGATATTCAAAGCATCGACAAACACTGGAAAGTCCGAGAACGTATAGTGCTTCGACTGTGCGAGTTTGAGTTCGAGTTTCCATCCTCGCAGATGCGGCCAAACCGCTGCCCAGCTGGCGTCGGTTGCCTGGGTGTGGTTCGCATTCCCGAACATCAGGAACGGGCGCGATAGTCCTTCGTCCACAACAGACCCCCACAGTGACCCATCCAGGTTAATGCCCCCAACAAATCGAGAGTCGACCAGCAGGGTCTGCGCGGCGGTGGCTCCACCTAGAGAATGGCCAAAGATCGTAACTCGATCCAGAGAGAGCAGCTGGGGATTTTCCCGGCTCAATGGGAAGATCTCCCCGAGCGCCGTGCTGTTCTGAGTCTGATTCAGGACGAATCTCATGTCTTGAACGCGAACGTTGATTGCTGAGACGTATTGTGCATCTGTACTGATGTTCCCGAGGATTTCGACCACCGTGCGGCCATCGGGGTATTCCACGATGTTGGCATCGTACGGATGATCGACGGAGATGACGGCAAATCCGTAGCTGGCAAGGTCTTGGAGCAGCGATGTGTATATCAGTCTTGAGGTTTCCAGAGCTGGTGAGAATAGCACGACTGGGTAATTTCCCTGGGGACTGGAAGGCGGTGGCTGCTGCTGGGTTTGGGTTTGGATCCGAAACGACTCGAACGTCCCTGAGGGTATTCCAAGCGACTGGAAACTCTCATCCTCATACCTGGCTGTGGCATTCGGGATGTATGATGTGGAAAGTACACTTCCGCAGTTTGCCGGGGTAAAAGTGGTGATCATGAGAGCACGTTTTCCTCCTTTAGGGTCAAAAGGATCGGTTCGAGACAGATCGACTAGTTCACTTGCCTGAAGCGTGACATCGCACGGTCCGGTGCTCGAAGGCAGAGGAACAATTGCTGTCTGTCCGAGACTGAGAAAGAAGGAAATGGAGGCTAGGGTAACTCGGATCATGTTGGCGGCCTTCTGAAGATGAGCGTGTGAAAAGAATTCGACGTTAAGAATGGAATCTGATCCGAATCCAGCAGCAAGCCATCATGGATTTATACTTGAATAGTTCGAGGCGCTTGCGGTGTAGTTCGATGCCATATAGTAGATATTTGACAGACTAAGTGAATTAATGTTGTCTGTGCACGACAAGCTGACCTTGGAATTTCATCGTAGGGCTTGCCTATAGCAGACTGGTCTCAATCATGACGTCTCATAGTATTGCTCAGGTAATTGTCTCATCATCCCCCGGTAGGTACCTGGAAAGAACTCTAGGATAGACTTTCTCTTGGATCCAGTGAAAAATAGATGATATGTGAGGCATTTTAATTATCTTATCACAGTTCGCCTACTAATGACCACCACCCCGACCCCACTAGCTCGGGGCAACATGTAGGCCTGAGCCACAGAAGGCTTAAGGGAGGAGCAAACCAACAAAGACGTAGACCTCCAGTATGCGTTATTTATCCATAGTAACAGACAATACCTGTCTCAAGAAGATGATATGTCTTGCAAGGCTGAGGAGATGGGATGTATGCGCGAATTATTGCACTAACTGGTGGGACCCATGCTGACCCGATTTATCCGAGCACCACTGTCATGCGTGGAGAATAAGCATGCTAACCACCATTGAGCTTAGCATCCCCATGCTAGCCAATGACCGTTAAATGAAGAAAGCATGGCTTATGTCGGAGGTGTCCGTGCATTTTCAATTACTACGGGGCCGCGTCACCACGACGCTTGCTATAGGACTTAAAGACGGCTGTGTAGCATTCGAAGAGTTCCCCTTCGACATTGGTGTCAGACATGAATTCTATTACATGAAGAAAGAAAACTGGCTAAACTAATCTATCAACCCAGAATGAATGGAAATCAGATCGCCCAGAGACGAACTTCTATGGTGGTAAGCCATACTTTCTATTGGGACAAGTCTCGTCCGGGTCATAATGGCAGCACACCTGGTGGAATCTGCAGTGCCCACGATACTCGATTGAAAACCTACCCAAAGACATTTGTTGCGACGGGCGACTCGCCAGCTCCTCTGGCACCCACGCAGGCCGCTCGGCGATCCGGTCAAGCACGAGTTCACACGCCTCGAAGTCGATGATCATGGCCCGGCCTAGCTCCGCATTCCACAGCACGTTCCGAAGCGCCAGGTCCTTGTGCATAACCCCGAGGTCCTCGATCTCGTGAGCGGACGTGGCTTGATGATTGTACTTGTCCCATTTATCCACGGTCGTCACCATCCCGATCTCCTCACCCCCATAGCCCATCAGGAGCATGTGGCGAACCCGTCCGAAGCCTTCTAGCTCATATGGCTGCTGCAGGTTGATCTTGCCCAGGAACACGGGCACCGCGGACCCCTGTGCTGCCACCAGAATTTGCGTGTACACATCCGCCTCCCGTTCGAGGCGCGGCCAGATACAACACAGGGTTCCTTTTCCGACCACCGCGTATCCGAACCGAGGAGAGACGACCTTGAAGGGGGCGCCGGAGCCACCGGGGCGGGCAGGGCGTCCGTATCCGGGCCCGACGATGGGCATCGCTCGCTCCAGGTTGTGGTCCAGTCCCAATTGGATCTGCTCCACCAGCTCCTCCACGGTAGTGGGATGGTGGGTGCTGCCGTTGACTCGGTGCCGTTCGACGTTGGGACACTGCTCGTCCAGCTCACCACGGCGCTGCAGGCCCAGCAGGCATCGTTGAGTGCAGTACTCGTGGGCCCGGAGAGCATCACGGTCAACAGGAGAGTCTTCCCACCGATCTGTAGGGGCATGGGACGCAGAAGCTGCGGGCTGGGTCGCGGCTGGGCCGCCTGTCATAATTGTGGTTTTCTGTCTCGGTTCCTTGCTTTCTTTCGAGGATGAAGTAAGATAGAAGGGGGTAACAATAAGATCACGTAGGTAGGATTTGGACTGGTATCTGTACTGTACATATCAAGTTTTCCGATGCTCAAGTTGACCAGATTTGTTGTGAGTTGGAGTCTCTCTATGTATACAGAAGGTACGACTGACTGCTGCTCCTGTGGAAGGGGCCTCTTCGGATATGGAACTCCCCATCGGGTCAGATCTACTTGAATCTGGGCGAGCATATTTCTTTACTGTACCAGAGATTCGAATGATTTGCATGGGCGCCGCGTTCGAGCCGATTGTAGAGCATTCCCTGGGTAAATGACCATGCAGCAAGAGTCTCCGTAAGACTGATGTGAGATGCCTCAGGTCACATTGCCTCGGGTTTCATAATATCCGCCAGGCTTCCACGTATTTTACATTACACACATCTTAATACACACCCACTTCTCACAGCTGGGAGCCTCTTTTTAAACAGCTCATGACTACCAGACTCTACGCGGGTGGTCATGGTTGCAATTTTGCGACTCAATGTTCACACTATCTACAGTTCTGGTGGCTCGCGATCGTCGCATTCACATTTTTGCAGGGTCGGTACAGGCTTTGTCCGCTGGGTGTGCTCGGGGGTGTGTCGACCGGTTTCAGGTTTGGCTGTGCAAGTGATGCCAATTGGAATATATTTGGTTCTCAGTGAGAACGCTCTAATGTCTGTTTTGAGAAGGAAGTCAAATGGGAAGGGAAAAGTGATAGACAGCCAAGCACAGTCCAGTGCTTATTCAACTTCACAAAGGTCTCACAGTGTAGTGAAAGCTTTCCTGAAAGAGGACTAAATTCCGACGGCAACAGGGGAGCCAGCCGCGCAGTTTAGACCAATCAACATGGACATGGGGATCAGGAAAAAGGGGGCGGCGAGAAAAAAAAACTAATGGGAAAAAAGAAATGAGCCCAGCCCGGCTCGATCAGGCAACCTTACGATCTGGAGTCGTACGCGCTACCAATTGCGCCATAGGCCCATGTGGGTGAAATTCGTAACCATCTGTATACTTATATCCTACATGTGATACTCTGCGCTCTCATCGAGCTTACCTTGCAAGATCCACTTTATGGTCGGGCTACAAAACAAATGAATCTGGACATTATACATGCACCAACCTATGTTATTGTATCTTTCTTAGACTCATACACTTATGTGATGGTTTCTAATCTTTCGGTAAGGCTAGCAGGTTGAATGTAGATTGTTACACGGTTTGCTAATGTGAACGACGGTCGTTATATATTTCCTGCTTGGGTTATGTCAACCGAAGGTCAATCTCTCGTCAACACCAAACTGAACCAAAGAATTAAAAACCGCCATGAGCCCTGTGTAAGCCCACCCAGAACATGACATCGACATTGGCACAGATTTACAGCATGGCCCACCACCATGCGCGCGTAGACCCGAGATTCTGGAGTCAACTTTCGTCGAACTCGGCATACACACCCTTATTGCTATAGCAGCCCGTATGCCATTACTTGATCGCTGAATCGACCAGCATCCGGCAGAAGCCCTTTCTCAGACTATATTCGGCTGCGGACGAATTGGATGTGGGTGTCTCCTTTTGGATCCGCCCGTCGTGTCGTGAATTACGCGCATCGCAGCGTCTGTGCTGTACAGGTACCGTGTTTCCCCGGAACATGCCAGAGGTGGAAGTCGTAGCTGATAGGAATACTCACTGGTCGGATTACCCATTGCTTGAGCAAAGGGGGTGGTATGGGGATGTAGATTTCTCTCCTCCTGCGATGTGACGGTGGCAAAAGCGCAAGGCAACCGAGGTCTGCGGGCGAATTTGGGCTATTGCAGGATGAGCGCCGTGTACAGTTCAATCCTGGTCGTCGAGTAGACTATGGCTACTCTAGGGCATTCTCTCAGATGCTCGTGGTCTTTTAGTTGGCCGGCCGTGATTCATACTGGGCGGACGAGTATCGACCATAAGATAATCCCACTGGACCAAGTCGCCCCACAGGGTAGATGAGTCTGGCAAGTACGATCGTCGAAGTCGAGTACTGCAACGGCTTTGGAGGGGTGGTATGACTCAAAGAACGTGAAACTGCTGGCAGAACTGTACAGTACTTGTTCTATTCTTTGAAGACTCCGTGGGGAGGACTACTGTCTACAGGATGGTCGGCTATGTCGCGGTGAACAAACCACATGACTTCTCAAAAATATCAAAAACTGAAAGCACGGAGTGTAGAGCGATTGACCGATTTGTAGAGCTACGACAAGCGAAGAGAAGTTCAGAATTGTGGCAAATTGATTGGTATATTCCAGCAGCATCTCGCAACTTCAGCAGGTTGTAACTCAGTCTTTCAGGAACACATGGCCGGTGCATTGACTCCTGGTGTTTCAGCAAGGCTTACGTATGTGTTTCATGTTTGTCGGGGCTAACCTAGTTTTTGATGCCTGAAAATAGTCCAATCGTTATCGCACCGAAGATATTTCCGTCCATTTGCTTGGAGTCTTGGACCGATCTAGAGTTCCGGACTAGTGACAGACCCACCACAGCCATGAAAACAACGTCGCCATGGATCCACCGGCTGCTGCGGTCGACTGCTAAAATTGATTCAACGAGCCGGCGTCAACATTCGAGCCAATGGGTACTCTGCCTGTCAGTACGGCATGAGCCTGTATATGGTAGTGACTAGTGGCTAGTGCGTCCTCTGACCACACCTAGTACCACCCCACACTCGCGGTTAGGGCTTGGATAGGTGGCCATCATTGACTTACGCAGCAGCGGGGCTGTCAGCAGTTGGTATACCGATTCTAGATTCGCAGCCATGCGCCCACTCAGGCACCATCGTCCATGGCCGCGATGCCGGGCGGACCCGCGGTTGCCTGCCAACTTAGGGCTCGCTTGCCTATATAACACACGTTCCCCTACTTCATCACCAATATTTCCATCGCCTGGTCAATTGAATTCATCATTCATTCATTCCTTGTTCGAATTGTGTGCTGTGCACCCAGTCTTTCCTTCTACTGCGTCAGGTCATTCATTTGTCCCAAGACAGTCTTTTCCCAATCTCGTCCGAGAACCCATTCATTCAATCCTTTGACCTTGTCCAATCATTGTCCGCAAGATGCCCTCTTTCGCCCATTCTCTGACCGCTGGCCTGCTTGCTGCTTCAGCTGTTGCCTTCCCGGTTCAAACTCGGAGGACCAGCCTACAGAAGCGCTCTACCAGCAAGCGCGGTGCTGCGTACAATGACGCTACCCTGGTGAGCACCCTGACCAACGACGAGGCTGGTACCGTGTCGTGGTCGTACAACTGGGGCAGCTCTATGGGAGGCGATATGCCCTCGGGCGTGGATTACGTCCCTATGCTCTGGGGCTCCGGCTCTGACTATGTCGATGGCTGGACCGACGCGGTGGAGACCGCACTCTCGTCGGGCAGCTCGTACATCCTGGGCTTCAACGAGCCCGACATGTCGTCGCAGGCTGACATGACCGCTGCCACCGCGGCGGAACTCTACGCGGAGTACATCACCCCCTACGCCAACAGCGCCAAGCTAGTCAGTCCCGCCGTGACCTCTTCCACTAGCAGCGGCGAGGGACTGGACTGGTTCAAGAGCTTCATGAGCGACTGCTCCAGCTGCAACATCTCCGCTCTCGCTGTGCACTGGTACGGTGATTCGGTCGACGAACTCAAGACCTTTGTCAACGAAGCCATCGAGGCCGCCGCCGATTACGACATCTCCGAGGTCTGGCTTACCGAATTCGGCCTGAGCGCCGACACCAGCGGTGTCTCCGACGCCGACACCACTGTGAGCTTCCTCAATGAGGCGGTCTCCTGGCTCGATTCCCAGTCCTCTGTGACACGCTACGCCTTCTTCTACTGCGCCAATAACTACATGTTCACCGATGATGCCGTCAACTCCGTGGGCGATGTCTATGTGTCGAGCTCGTCGTCCTCCACCTCCACCTCCACCTCTTCCTCTTCTGCCTCGTCTACGTCGTCGTCAGCGTCGTCAGCCTCCTCTTCGGCCACTTCTTCGTCGTCCTCTTACGAGTCTTCCTCTTCGTCCGAGTCTTCCTTCTCGGCATCCAGCTCCTCCTCGTCGGAGTCCTCTTCCTCCGACTCCTTCACATTCAGTTTGGACTCTAAGATCGCGCTGTTGCCCCCCGTGCAGCACTCCAACTAGGCTACATCCGCGTCGCACCGGTAGATGCGATACCCATACCATAGATCTCATAGTTGGAATACATACTTTTCATCTGATTTTTTCGTGCGTTTCTTCATTCCTCTTTTTCTTTCTTTCTTTCTTTCTTTCTTTTTTTTTTTTTCAGGTCATCCAGGGTATCCAGACCAATAGAAATCGCTTCGAAGTCCCAGAGATCGCGTACCACTATCTTGTTGGTGTGCCTGAGTGTGAAATTGTGGATGGGTGTGTTTGTGTGTGTATGCGCGGGCGCGTTCCGCGTACCATGAAAAAAAGAACGCTTTGTTCTTGGATAGAGCCAACCAGATTGTCCGGGTAGATTTCCCCGACGGAACTAACTCTCAGCTGTGTCCACAGTTTGGAAGTCTAGACTCATTGAGGTCGAATGGGTGGGATGGCGGAGGCCGCGTGGCCTTTCCGGCTTCAGCCGAATCAGCCCTAATTAAATCCATAGTTAAGTCCGGCACTGCCCGCCCCGGCATTCGGCCTTCCCGCTGACGTATTCATACTCTACAGGGCCAAGCCACGCCATCTTCAGCCACAGTCACGGTGGTTGGTGTCCCACTTTGAACGATTTATTGTCTTACTGATCATGATACCAGGTGTTATTCGGGTTCCTGGCTAGAAATTGTATCATAGGGCCTCCTCGCGTCATGAAAATTGCTTCATCACGTATCCTGGCCTTCCATTCCCGGAAAATTCGCCAACAGCTGGGGAGGTTCGGATCTCATAATGGATCCAGATCAGATTTATGATTTGCCTATGTCATAACCCATAACCTGGAGGAACGTGTCAAGCACTATGATGACAAGCGAATGAGCGAAGCCGCTTCCTAACTTATTAGTCAAATGACTCAGTTCCCCAAATCACCCCACAAGCAGACAGTGACAGACTCCGGCGGGGGGGGGGGGTCTGAAATCCCGGGGCCCCGGCATAGGACCAAGCAGTTATTGAACAAAGCCACCCGCAAGGCTTAACTTAACTCTGATAAGCCAGCGGCGTTGGTTCATGAAGGCTGGCGTGTGAGTGAGTGACACCACGCCACCTCCGGCGGCTCAGGCGCCATCCCGGAGATGCATCAGAGAGCAAAAGGGAAAAATTCCTGCGGGGGATTCCTCTTCCCCCTCTTTTCTCACCACCAAGACCTTTGCATAAAGCTTGACACTCGGGGAGGAATTAATGTGGCACAGTCAAGCTTTTTTTTTCTGTTGTCTTTTTTTCTGTGTCCGCACGGACCGGGTTCACCATGGCTCTCCCTCCCAAATGGTATCAGTTTCTGGTGTGTGTCTTTGCGTCGCTGGGATCGGTGCTGTACGGATATGATCTTGGTGTCATCGCCGAGGCACTCACCAGTCCCTCGCTTATCAATGCCTTTAACGCCGACGCGACCAAGCGCGGAGCAGTCACCTCCGTCTTCACCGGTGGCGCCTTCTTTGGTGCCTATTTTGCCGGTCCACTGGGCGACTACGCCGGCCGGAAATGGACCATCTTCGTCGGAGCCCTGATCTTCTTGCTGGGCGGGTACGCGATCTTTGAGCAGCACTGGACTATAGCAAGGAGGCTAACGGAAACAGAGGTCTGCAGACAGGTGCGCAGAGCTTGAGTTATCTGTACGCTGGTCGGGCCGTCGCAGGGTTGGGGTGAGCATATCTCCGAGACCCAGGGAAGCGCGTGAGCTGACTGAATGGGTTTCTTTCATGGGTTGAAGAGTCGGAATCTTGGTCATGATTGTCCCGATCTACCAGGCGGAATTGGCCCATCCGAACATCCGCGGCCGGATCACATCCCTCCAACAGCTGATGCTCGGGGTGGGCTCCCTGGTTGCGTCGTGGATCTCCTGGGGCACCTTCATCAACTTTGCGGACGATGATTCCCGCCAATGGCGCGTCTCCCTGGGGATCCAGATGGTGCCGGCCGTGTTTCTGGCCGCGCTCATCCTGCTGTTCCCCGAGTCGCCCCGCTGGCTGATCGACCATGGCCGACTGGACGAGGGCCTCACGACGCTGGCTCGCCTCCACGCCCGAGGCGACACCTCCGACACCTGGGTGCAGGCTGAGTACGAACAGATTACCGTCTCGATCGCTCACGAGCACGAGGCCGAGGCCAAATCCTACAAGGAGCTTTTCACGGACCCGTCATGCTTCCGCCGCCTGTTTCTGGCGTGCTCGATCCAGGCCGCAGCCCAGATGACGGGGGTGAGCGCCATCCAGTACTTCAGCACGACCATCTTCGAGCAAATTGGCATCGCCGCCAACGACACCCTCAAATATCAAGGCATCAGCTCCATCATCGCCATCATTGCTCAATTCTGCTGCATGATGATGATCGACAAGACGGGCCGTCGGTGGCCCCAGATCATTGGCAATCTGTTCAATTGCCTCTTCTTTGTAAGCGCCCCCTTCCACCAACTGTCTCGACCTCAACAGAACCAAGAAGACACAAATTGAAGTATAAACCGCGCTAACAATCTCATCATCAAGGTCATCCCCACCATCCTCATCGCCAAATTTCCCCCCGGCGTCTCCAACAACACCTCCGCCAGCTGGGCCTTCATCGTGATGACGTGGTGCTACAACTTCTCCTACAGCGCGACCGTCGGCCCCCTGACGTGGATCATCTGCGCCGAGATCTTCGACACCAAGACCCGGTCCAAGGGGGTCTCCATCGCCACCATGACCTCGTTCGCCTTCAACACGATGATCGGCCAGGTCACGGACATCGCCATCGACAATATCGGCGGGTGGCGCTTCTACGTGGTGTTTTGTGTGTGCAACTTCACGAACGCCATCTTCTTCTGGCTGGTGCTGCCTGAGACTGCCCTGCGGCCCCTCGAGGAGATGACGGCCCTGTTCGAGCATGAACCCTGGCTGGTGCCGGGGTCGCAGACCAAGGGGTTCATCGCGCGCAGGCGGGCAGGGGTGATCATGGAGGAAATGGAGGGGGATGAGAAACCGGGGCGGTTGACTTTCGTGCATGCGGAGGGGAAGTGAGGCTATTGGCGCGGTTGAAGGGGGTCAGGGATATGCATACTGAACGTGATATGTGGTGGTTTATTGTGAGTAGGTAGTAACTAAAGTGACTATGACTAGATGAGGTGGAAATTAAATCTACCCGCCCTACCGCTGAAAGAGGCAAAGCCCAGGCCCTAACCCTGTCCATCATCCTCATCCACCCTGCTGGTATGGAGATATCAGAGGATCAGAAGTGCGACCTTCCAATCTCTCTCCCCCTCCCATAGCTGCCTCAATCTATAACACTCGCTTCTACCACACGTGCAAGGATTATAAACCGGATGCTTTGTTATGCCACTCTTCTCCGACACCCACCACACACCTCTGATGGTCTCCGGTTACGCCGAGTCTTGCTGAAATGGTACATATCTTCATTCGGGGTCGGCCGCGGCATATGCCTCTCCACTGCTTTCATGTGTCAGCATCTCATGGAACATCTCCTGAAATCTCCCTATATAACCGCTAATAGAAATCTACTGTAACCTATGTAGCGAAGTGACCGGGGACTTTCAATTGCTCTTTCAGCATAACAGAAGTGTTCCGTGTGCCGAAGAGCCAGAAAGCAGTGGACTCCGAGATTCTCTGATGCCCACGAGGCCATATAAGTACCTCTCACATCTCGTATTTTTATACGGAAGTCTCATCAACCCCATCCGCCTTTGTGACAAGACCACCTGATCGACATCACAAAGCACGAGACTAACAAGTGTTTCTGAGTTCATCTATCACTTATATCAAAACCGTAGCCATGGCACAGCCGCAGCCACAGCAGGCGCAGCCGCAGCCGCAGCAGCCCACCTTGTTTGACCAAGTGGTGACCATCCTGGACTCGGTCTTCCCGCGCGCGGAGGGATATATCTACCTCCGCGGCTGGTCGACCAACACGTACGACGAGAACCAGGTCCTGAACGAGTTCGTTGAGATCTCGACCCCCAGCTCCGGAGTATTCTTCACCATGTTGGGGGGAACCCGTCCGGGGGTGCCGGAGGAGCTCTGGGCGGGGCGCAAGCGCTTCTTGCACCTCCAGAGTCTGGCCCCGGCCACGGCGGGGCGGACCCTGGATTTCAAGGGCATAGTGCTCATTAACCGTCAGTGTCGGCTCTACGCCATGAACCGCGACTGTGAGCCGAAGCGCCTGTCCGCCGACCCCTTGGCCTTGCACACCCCCGTCGATAGCCGCTGGCAAGATCACGCGTACAGTGTTGCGCTGGAATCCGCTGAGATCACGCACCTCTTGACGCAGTTCAAGTACCGGTGCCGCCGGAACCCGCTTTGGATCCCGCCTCCTGGAGCCCAGTTCCAGTGATGGGTGATGGCTGGGGCGTGTCCTGGCCTTGATGACCTGACTTTTCTTTGGTAGATTCAATAGTACTTTTATGATTTAAATAAACACCCTCCCTTCCTTGATACTTTATTGTCCGCTTCGGAGGCGACTGGCTCTGGCAAGCTCGTTGCACAAGAGCTATATATTTTCTCACATTGTTTAAACTAGCACATACGACCACAGGGTGTGGAAAACAGGGCTTCCCGTCCGCTCAGCCGTACTTAAGCCACACGCCGGGAGGTTAGTAGTTGGGTGGGTGACCACCAGCGAATCCCTTCTGTTGTATGTTTTTGGCCTCTTTTTGACTCGAGTCTTCTTCACTCTCTTGGTCGCACGCAGATCCCTAGAAATGTGTTTTTCTTTTTACAGTCCGTTCAAGTGGCTATCGATTGTACTGTACTCTGCCTCCCATATGATGAATTTCCATGCAGGAACAACAATTGATCGCGCAATGTATTTACTGTCATTTTTTCCTCCGTGCAGTGCATCTACGATCCTGTTAATGTCCAAAATGTGATGGACCTGTCAGAGAGTCAGAGACAGACAGGGTGGGTGGCGCATGGCAGGTCCCATCCGAGGTTTCGGCCCGCGTCAACGGCAATACTCCCCACTATCGGGCCCAATCGACAGCACTGTCAGCGACTTCAATCTTGTATCTCAGCCATCAAAGGTACAAAGAACCATCGGCCATTGAAGCCCCACTACTTTTTTCCGTTGTGAGTGGCTCCTAGTATTCCCAAGGATCAAGATTGTAATTGGTTTGAATCCTTGTTTACTCCACACTTGGTAATAGTGTGTGTAACTGCCACCTAGCCCCCACCTGCAGGTGCATGTTAGAATCTAGAACCCGAGGTGTGTCCAGTTGTTGATATCCTGATAGGGTACAAAACCTTCATAGACGGGCGTGGTCCTTTTAGGCCTACGTGCAAGTAACACAGCCAATGTAACCTGACAGGCAGCTAATTGTGGCTGGCGTGATGTCTTCGTATGACATGCACCTGAACGATTACAAATCTGCAGGGGTCCATTGAAAAGTGGTGAGATTAGATAAGTCACTAAAACCATGACAAATGGCCACTAACTTAACTAAGACTAAGTTGCTTCTTTAGCCATCCGGACTTCTCAGCCTCTTTCTTGTCAGCCTCTTTCTTCTCAGCAACAACACCCATCATAACAGAGCCGCAACCTGTTTTCCAAGTCGGAATTCCCTTCACTATGTCTTCAACGAACCTCCCAGTGATCGTTATCGTCCCAGGTGCCTACGGCACACCCGAAGGATTCGAGAAATTGCAACCGTATCTGAGCCAAGCCGGATACGCAACACACCCCGGATCATACCCCAGCTGCAATCCCTCGGATCCGGCCAACGTGTCCTCTGCCCAAGATTCTGCTTTCTTGCGCGACAACGTCTTACTCCCTCTTTTGGACGAGCAGGGTAAAGATATCGTCATCATCGCACACTCGTACGGGGGTGTAGTTGCTGGCGGCGCAGCAAGAGGACTTGCAAAGGAAACGAGAAGAGCCCAGGGTCAAGCGACTGGCGTCATCGGCCTTATCTACGTGGTGGGCAATATCGCACTTGAGGGAGAGTCGCTCTTGACTGCTGTAGGCGGCGCTTACCCTCCTTTTATCACTGCCGACAAGGTACGTACGATCTACCCAGAACAACCGCGATCATAACCATAGGCCATTGTATTGATACTTTTTTTCCATTTCCACTCGCTCTCAGCCTTCGCAGGGACTTTCTCTCATCGAACCAGCAATGGATATTTTGTACAATGACTGCGACCGTGCCCTGGAGCCGGAATTGGCGAAGTTCATGCAGCCACACGCACTCCGAGCCTTTGTGACCCCCGCCACTGCCCCGGCCTGGGCGGAGAGTGCGTTTGATGGGAGGAGGGCGTATGTGCGTGCACTGGACGACTGCTGTAACCCTGTGTCGTTGCAGGATCTGTGGCTGGAGAAGTCCAAGGTCAAGTGGGAAGTGGTGGACTTTAAGACCGGACACATGCCGTTTGTGAGCCAGCCTCAGGCTTTGGCGGAGCAGATTGTCAAGTTCATTGATGGGTTTATTGCAAAGTAATTGGTGATGAATCCCGTGCCCACAGCGTGGTGCAGAAATCCAAATACACATCGGCCAAGTTGTTGTGCTCGACAGACTGTTGCTACCAATTGACACATTTTTATCTAAAATAACGAACGTGGTCAACTTGAAAAGCCTTTTGATGGGGATTAACCCAAGAGAAGTGACTTATGCGATCCGCCGAAATGGATGTGCTAATCTCTACCGAATGTCTCCTACGGTCTGTAGCTGTCGTTTGTACCTATTCAATCATAGGATTCGACATGTTAATACCTCCTCACTTGGCTAGTAGAGAGCCGTGCTTCAACGTTGGTACTTTGTTTAGACCGCACGCACAATCGGTCATTCATATTCTGGGTGGCTCAGGTATCTATAAGCGGATGCCTAACAGGCCACCAAGGCGCCTTTCATCCGCACGGTACCTGGTGAGCGCTGCCACCGTTATGCGGTTGTATGTTTATTCCCCCCTCTTCTGCCTTTTCGCTTTCTCAATCTCGGTGGAGGCTCGTCAGTGCAAAGGACATGGGATAGCCTTTTTGTCCATCCTTCGCGCAACAGACGCCGGAAGAGACGTAAACGACCGCAGTGAGAATGCTTGGCGAGGCTCTCAGAGCTAGTGCAACACTATGCCGTCGCGGTAGCGTCTTTGATATACGTCTGACGAGCCAGGTTTTCCGGAACCCTGTACACTATAAGAGCAACGGTACCTTTTTCCGAGAAGAACCCCCACCCTTTGGGGTATTCTTGATATAGAAGTGTATCATCCGCCATGGACTGGGCTTTCGGGGCCTCGGGTATTCGGGATCCTGGCAATGGGAGTGAGGAAAGTGAGGCGGGAAGGTCAATACTTGGGACATGACGTCATAGAACACTGGGCCGGTGTCAAGGATACCATAACCAAGACTTAGTAGGGATATGGCTTCGGTAGGGGAATAGGCACAAGAAGTTGTGGGAGGATAAGGGAGCGTTTGATTATTTGGATGTCTGGCAGGCAGATGTCTTTGAAGTCATATCATTCGACCACGAAAAGAGACAGAATGGCTCAGGAATGGGGACTCTCGGTACGACGGATCATATAAAATCGTCAATACTGCTTCCCTAGCTCCAGTAGATATAGTTGCATACGAGGACAAGGCGAAGGGTGCGGGACTTAGTCGCCGATCTCTCGGGATCGGCATCTCGGAGCCTCGGAACACCTCCCGATCGATCGATCCATGACCGGGCTGTCGGGAGGAGACAACTAACCCTCTGGCATTCCTAGACGTGGATCATGACAGCACGATACCCAGCGGATTGCCGGTTGATATGCCGCTGTGGGGGTTGCAGGTGCCAATCTCTTGAGTATATAAAGTACTTCGATCTCTGACCGTCAAGGGATACCAGCAAACCTTTCACACACAGTCAAAGAGCCCTGCCAACGAAGCACACCACCAAAGATGTTCTATCAACCCGGAGTCACTGAGCATGGACTACCCCATGATCCCTTCAAGGTCTGAATGCACTCCCAAACGCAGTCACCGCACCTCACAGCCACTGACCCCAAGAAAAATCCAGGCCTGCGTCGTACCCCGCCCGATCGGCTGGATCTCCACCAAGAACAAGAAAGGCCAGTGCAACCTGGCGCCGTACTCGCAGTTCAACAACCTGACCTTCGACCCGCCCTACGTGATGTTCTCCTCCAACCAGACGGCCCAGGGGATCCGGAAGGACACGGTCATCAACGCCGAGGAGACGGGCACCTTCGTGTGGAACCTCGCCACCTGGGACCTGCGCGAAGCCGTCAACATCACCGCGGAGCAGACCCCCTACGGCACCGACGAATTCGAGCTCTGCAAGATCACCAAGGAGCAGGCCACGCTGGTGGATGTCCCCATGATCAAGGAGTCCCCCGTCAAGTTTGAGTGCGAGTACCACACTACCGTCCGCCTGCCGGGCAACCCGCCCATGGGCACCGTCGACATCGTCATTGGGAAGGTGATCGGCGTGCACATCGCGGACCGCGTGCTCACCGACGGCCTGCTCGACATCAAGAAGACGCAGCCCATCGCGCGCTGCGGCTACTACCAGTACACTGTGGTGAAGGATACCTTCGAGATGATCATCCCCAACATGTCGGCCGATGTGCTGTATGGGTTGGAGGGGAATGCGGCGAGGAATCGCAGCAAGAATGAGGCTAATAAGGCGGCAGCGGGTCAGGTGTCTGAGTTTCTTGAGAAGAATTCCTGAGTGGGTGAAGGATTTGGATGAGTGGTAGATCTGGTTGCATCTGAACCATTGGTAATGTGAGACAGCACTCATTGTTGCACCCACTACCTTGCTGGGTGTTTGTACATAACCGTATTAAGAACTTACCAATATAGTGAAATAAGAAAAAAGGGGAAGGTTTTCTTTTTCTCTTTTGTTATTTTACCCTGATTACTCGGGGTTACAACGATCCACCTCTTTGTCAACCAAGAAGAGAATGATAAAGAGAAAAGAGGTATTTGGGGATGTGGAAGGCGTACGCATATAGTGCCCAGTAGGTATCAAACTCAGAGCCATAGTCTTTGGCTTTCCTTCTGACTCCCAGGTTCTCCAACCAAGGAGTTTTGCCCGATTCGTGTGGAGAACAAAAAGCGGCAGTGCCGCGGATGCCATGTCAACCTCTTGCCAAAGGGAAGCCTTCACGAAAGTGACCACAACAGGCCCGGAAATGGGCCGATTGCAGACAAGGTACATACCCAAGTTTCAAGTTCCGAATTGGTATTTTTGGGGGTCGTGAGGGCAGTAAGAAGATTCTGGACATATTGCTGTACACATTCTGAAGCGTAGGCATTTTGTGACATTTGTCTGCTTGATACTTGACTGACAGGCTTAGTCTGTGTACAGTACAGTTTATTAAGAAGATAATCTATGCTTCAATGTGGATTGCTACCCGTGCCTACAAAAGAGTCATGGGGGAAAGCAAGCAGAGCTTGTGACTTCGCTTCGAAGTGCAGGCAAGAAAATCAAGGTAGTGTACTTGTGCAAAATGCGTTGAAGCAGATTATGTGATAAATTAAGAAAACCACTTTAAAGACACAGACAATCACGTATTCAGGTGCAATCCATACTCAAACTGGAGTCGTCTTCCGTTAGCCAGGCCTTCCCCTGCTGGTTTCAGATCCATTCTTGCCGGAAGGGAGGATATACCTCGACCAAAGGGAGAGCGTTGAAGCTAGTTCTCATTGTCAGCGGCTTCCCCATCGCGCTTCTCGGGGGCCGTGTAGGCAGTGTAGAAGAAGCGCTTGTCGAGGGCCTCATCCTCTGCATCACGCTTCTCAGGGGCCGTGTAGGCAGTGTAGAAGAAGCGCTTGTCGAGGGCCTCATCCTCTGCATCACGCTTCTCAGGGGCCGTGTAGGCAGTGTAGAAGAAGCGCTTGTCGAGGGCCTCCTCCTCTGCCTCGCGCTTCTCAGGGGCCGTGTAGGCAGTGTAGAAGAAGCGCTTGTCGAGGGCCTCCTCCTCTGCATCACGCTTCTCTGGGGCCGTGTAGTGGGTGTAATAGAACCGCTTGTCCAAGGCCTCTTCGTCACGCTTCTCCGGGGCAGTGTCGTAAAGGTAAAAAAAGCGCTTGTCGAGTGCCTCCTCATCACGCTTCCCCGGGGCAACATAGTGGGTGTAATAAAACCGCTTGTCGAGGGCCTCGTCACGCTTCTCCGGGCTTACATAGTTATTGTAGTAGAATCGCTTGTCCAAGGTCTCTTCGTCACGCTTCTCCGGGGCAACATAGTGGGTGTAATAAAATCGCTTATCGAGGGCCTCCTCGTCACGCTTCTCCGGGGCAGTGTCGTAAAGGTAAAAAAAGCGCTTGTCGAGTGCCTCCTCATCACGCCTCTCCGGGGCAACATAGTGGGTATAGTAGAATCTCTTGTCCAGATCCTGAGAGGACGACTCAAGCTGGTCAAGGTTGCTGGAGACAGGAAGGGCGAAGGTGAACCCTGTGGCTCCCAGGAGCGCAAGAAGGCAAGAGAGGTGCATCTTGACAAGCAAGGTAGTCCAAAATATTCAGAGGAAGTGTGGCGGGGGTGAGGTGTGGAAAGATGAGAAGAAACCGCCGATGTAGACAGGAAGTCCTTTATAGAAACTTGGATGGGGTGTTCAGGTGGTCTGCTTGGTTCCGCGGCACTGAAAGCACCCCGACTATCACAGTTCCCGCCGGCCCAGGTCTCGGGGGGTTTCTACTACCCTGTAGGCGGCTGTATGTCAGAGTCACCGAATGAAGAACCTCTGGCATCACATTGTAGACAGGTTTGTCCCTCAGAAGCTGTATCCATGAACCTTGCTGATCTCGACGCCACGCATGAGGCTACATCTTGGCATTGCAATGAAGAGTGGTATGTTGCTGAGCTATTACTTCATTGAGCTTTCATGCGGTCGATTTAGAACCAGGCGTACCAGTACTGATTGTGAATCAAGTTGAGGAGTATGATTCATGGGTTGAGCTATTCACATTCCCATGTGCAACAGTAGAAGCCACTAGTGCTGTGCAACCAGAGTAGGTAATAAGGCTCAGCTCCGAACCCACGTCTCTGCTAGTGGTACGGCATGACCGGAACCCTTACTCGGGCCTATCATTGCCGAAAGAAGTAGTTCGAATGGATATCCATGCAGCAGTGTGAAGGTGTTGTGAACCGCAAGACTTTGCCCCATTATAATTGCCAATTCGACTGCAGGGGAGCTGAACATCAGCATGTGACCTTGTGATGCTCCGGTTCTAGGCCGTCCCGGCTCAAGTAAGATAAGTCACATATGACCTCAGTGTGTTTATTGCATGCACTAAGTCTGTGATCTTCGCTTCAGCCCCGCCATTGCGGCTGGCGATGCACGAGACCCGCTGTCGATCACTTCTGGGACTGCATGATGCCATCCTGCTCTCATGTCTGACGCCCTCACTACCGTAGGTACTCAGGATTTACTGTCATAGGCACTGCAGGTATCTTCTTCTATGCTGAAAGCGATTTCTGCCCACCTAGTTCTCACCTTCAGCATCTTATGGTAGAACCGAGTTTCCAGAGCATCACTCGCACCCACAATGGTGTTCTCTAAGCTTCTCAGAACCTTTCGTCAAGATTTCAAGTTTCAAGCCCTACAGACTGAGAGTCGCGATAGCGATGAAGAGAATATCGAGTCAGAGGAGCTGCTTACCAAGAGAAGCCCGCCGCAAAACCCCTCAAGAGCCTGGATATACTTGACAATCGCAAACGCACTTCTCCTGAGCATTACCACTGGTCTAGTCCTCAGCGCTAAAGGCAGCTTTTCGAGTGAAGAGAAGAATGCGATTCTTAGGCCAGTGTCATGGTGGTGTGAGTCTCCATACTCCATTCCAAATGCTTCCTCGGGCCTAAACCAGTGGACTAACACAACGAAAGCACCTATCCTGGACGACATTGAGATTCCAAGGTACCAAGCCACGCTGAACGGAACGCTCTTCGCTCTTCCAGAAATATCCATCGCCCGCGAAGAGCCCAGCGCTGCCAACGATGCCGCTTGGGCGCGATTCGAAGACGTCCTGACACATGTTGTGACTCGCGAGCAAATCCTCAAGCTCGGTAAAAACCCCGACACCGTCGCGCGCTTCGATAATGATTATTGGGGAATGGGCGATGATGCCTACATGGTTCAGCTGGACGTGATGCATGTAAGAATACCCGTTGTCCTCGTTTCTCTGGTCCTTCAGCTGTACAAGGCAAAAGTCCTAACCCCATGGAACCACAGCAAATCCATTGCCTGAACATGCTGCGCAAAGCCGCTTTCGCCGACTACCCCGGCTACGAACCCGAGCTGGATGTTAAAGATAAGATGTGGTGGATTCATCTGGGCCACTGCACCGACATCCTGCTACAGAATCTTCAGTGCAATGCCAACACGGAGGTCTTGACATTGGACTGGGTCGAAGATCGTCACGCTCCATGGCCCGACTTTAGTGTGAACCGCAAATGTCGCGACTTCAATGCTCTCTTGGACTGGCAGCACGACAATGCGGTCGACACCGCCAAGTTTGATGCCATGCCCTTACCGAAGGATGCATTCGTGTGGCCAGCACCGTGGAAAAAGCAAGACTATGAACTCGGCATAAAGTTAGGCGACCATCATCTGCAAGAAGGGGAACCTCTTAGGGCCCCACATGAGCATCATGCTCATCAATCCAATGTGACTTCCGGGGGCGGTCGATTTTGAATAGGGCCGCAAGAGGCTTGGTTTAGATGGAGTATTCTAATCGGTCTACGAAAAGATGTATGGGAGCATCGAAAGGGGATGCTGGTAGTTTGTCTAATGACACACACATACACGCACACTGCCTCCCTTTCTCCACCGCCTGTGACAAGTTGGATAATCCCAAGCGTAGGACTACATAGGATTCAGAGTAACCTCAAGAAAGGGCTATGACGTGATGTTTGGCGCACCGGGAACTTTGTGCATATGCCTAAGTGTTTTCTCGACTCGCCTTGGGTATTCCAGCTCAAACTCATGATACCCACCAATCATAACCTGGATAGAAGTGGCCAGGCGGTCGAAGCCACCTTGGAAGCAGCTATACGAGGGCGGAGACCAGCGGCCATCCTGCACATGCGCAATCTTTACCATCTCTAGTCAGCGGAAAGAACAAGGGATCTCCACCCCCAAAGTGGAGATGGAGACGGATACATCCGAAAATCAATTGACTCTGATGGGTATGTTTGATGCTAGCCAATCGGCATTTGTATTCTGTCTCAGATCATACCTTAGATCCGAAGGTAATATGTAACTACTTGGTAGGTATGTAGTTAAGAGCACTAGGTAGTTAGTTATCAACGGAGTACATACACTGCATCTCTGTACTCGGAGTGGATAGTAGCCAGTTACAACAAGTCAAATAATGCCCCGCTGCTTTGCAGGTGGCTGGCTGGAAAGGTGCTCATATTCCAAATCGGGAAATGATCAGTCTTACTAGTGAGACAAACTGCATTTACAGGATCGCCGCTAACTTTCTTATTCACTCATCATTCGCCTACGACATAAGTCCACTATTATACTCGACCCCGCTGTCTATTTGCAATAGATGCAGGGACTGTCATACGGTCGGAAACAGCGTTCCAATTGAATAATGTGCGCTGCACTATACGTAGGTGGTGTGTGATTCAAGCATACCGTGGTAGAGCTGTCACATTCCTCACGCACTGGGTGAGTGTCTGTGCACAAATATTCACCGCCGTTAGTCCCTTCCGGAATGCTGGTAGAGAGAGAGAGAAACTATTATCCTGCTTGTGCAGAGAACCCTCCCGTACCAGCCTTCCATTCCAGCAACCGAGCCATCCTAAGGGCCTTTTTTGCGTTCCACATCTACCTCGGCTCTCTGCCCGCTCCTCGCAATGACCTTTCCTGACGTGTCTTTGGAGTCAGGTAATAGTTCCCACGGCGAGGATGAACCGTTCCTCCCTAGGGGGGAACCTGACAGCCAGGCTGGCTGTAGCGGGGCCCCAGAGCCAAACCTGCCACCACGTACCCGTCTGCGCCTGGTCATCACCGTGGTCGCGATTCTGTTGAGCTTCCAAGTCGGCGGCCAGCTGATTGGGGGTACAATGGTGCGGGTGATCGAGATGATCGCCTGCGATAACTATTGGCGTCGACACGACCCAGCTCGCCTGCCCGCCTCCGGCCATCTGCCCGAGCACCTGTGCAAGATAGCAGAAGTGCAGACCGAAGTCGCTACGGTGAAAGGATACTCCGACTTGCTCGAGGGACTACTGTGTTTGTCAAGCGCCAAACCTTAACAGAAACATGCGTTAGTGCTGACCTTTCATGCAGGCGCCATTTGCGCCATTCCCTACGGACTGCTGGCGGATCGGTATGGTCGCCGACAAGCTATCCGCCTCACTATTCCAGGGTTTCTGCTCAATGCGATCATCACCAACACCGTTCTATGGTTTTCGGGCACTTTCCCCCTCCGTGCGATCTGGCTCGCCGCACTCAGCTGGATCATCGGGGGAGGACCAGCCGTGGCACTGGTCGTGATTTGGGCCATGCTGGCTGATCTGGCCACCGATGCGCAACGCGCAGCGCTGTTCTTCCGGGTCGGCCTTGCCAGTCAAGTGGCAAGTTTCCTGGCCAGCTTGATCAGCTCGGGACTCATGGCTCTCAACCCATGGATCCCACTGCTAATTGGTTGTGGTACGGTGATGATAGGCCTTGGCTGTGCGCTGTCACTTCCCGAGACCATGAATATGCCCGTGAGAAGCAAAGAGCCAGCAGCACCAAGCCCAGACGAGCCAGTATCGACATGTGATACATCTTCGAAGCCAGTGCTGACACCCATTCCACTGCCGAAAAGGCTGGCACGTCTCATCCATCCTTACCTGTTCATCTTCCACCAGCAATCACTCTTGCTCCTATTCTCCTTTGCGACAGTCGAGCTCGTGCAGCGCTCCTTTCCGTTCCTGACCCAGCACATTTCCAGACGCTTCGCCTGGACTTTGGCGCAAGCGAACTTGATCGTTTCCTTCCATGCGGGGATCACCATCCTCGTCTTCTTGTTCCTCCTCCCGTACCTCTCCCAAAAGGTTTTGCACTATTTATCCCTCCCCCAAAGAGACCTGCAGGTCGCGCGTTTCAGTCTTGCCGCTCTGCTCCTGGGGTCGCTCGGAATTGCTCTCTCGCCATCAGTCATCTTTTTGATTCCCAGTGTAAGTGTTTATGCGGCGGGAGCGGGCTTTGCCCTAACCATGCGGTCGCTGGCTACCGCGTTGGTCAAACGCGAGGAGACCGCGCGACTGTATTCCGCGATCGAGATCCTGCAGTACGTGGGCAATATCCTGGGTAGCCTGTGCTTTACGAATGTGTTCAAGCTGGGATTGCAGATTGGCGGACTGGGGTCCGGGTGGGTGTGGGTGTTGGGTAGTCTGCTCTATGGGTTGGTGGGAATCGCATTGACACTTGTACGGGTATAGACCTGCATACCCCTTGCGGCCCCAAAGGACTGACTCTATAGAAGGAAAGCGATAAATGCATGTTCATGCAGTATAACATATATATTCTGGTTGACTTCCGTTCTTTGCACATGAGTAGGTAGTCATGAATGATACGTCTATCTTCGTGAAAGGCGCAGGGCCAAGAGCAGTGGGACCTAACTTCATCCATCGAGGCTCGAATCCTCATCTCTTTCAGCGAGGACCAGTGACCTTAGCATCTTCGCAAACTCCCCCATCCGATACATGAGAATGCGATCTGAAAGCAACAGATCTCTGATTGCATAAGCATGAGACTTTTCCAACACCAGTCTCTGCATTCTTTCTGTCGTCGAAACGGGCAGATCGTAGGCTATACAGACAAATATCAAGTCGATGAGAAGACTGCATTTGCCCTCATAGCTGGCGATTGAGATCTATTCGAATTGCTCCTTAGAGCTATCAACAGCATTGGTATACTGGAGAATATCGCTGGTGGCTATCCTCCGAAACCGGGAAGTGTCCACGGAAGGATTTTCTCCCTCGTAGAAGTCACAGAAGTGATCGCCAAACTTCCATATAGCTTTGGGAACCCGATCCGAACCGGCATAGAGAGGTCGTTTTTGGCAGAGGATTGTACACCAAATAGAGCACTCGCCGCAGCGGCCACCAGCACTCGTTTTGTTAACGGCACCGCTGAACTGTGCTCCTTGAGGAGCCACTGCAATGCTTCGAAATTTCTGTAAGTGACGAAAACAACCACCTCTTCGGAGAGAGCTACATTACCACACTCTGCTCGAAGAACAATCTTGAATGCCCCGGGCTTGTGCGCAGCACCCTTCAAAGCTCTGTCCGTGATCGGCGCTTCGGTCCCGAAATGTTTGAGGATGCGTTGCAAATTGTCCAGCGCGTCCTGTGACTTGATTATGGAGAGGATGACATCCTGCGAGATCGAAATGTCGGGAGCTCGTCCGTCGAGAAGAATGGAAAAGGCCTTTGAATTGCCTGCTGCGTGCACAGCGGCTCGATGCGTAATGGGAACGTTGGGGTACCGTTCGAGCAAGATTTGTAAAGCATAAGGGTTTGGTGCAAGGAGCTCCATCACTTGTTCGTCGACTGCTATGAGATTCGCATTCAACAGGACGTTAAGTACCTGGCTAACATCCTCCTGCAAGCTGCCTGTATCCGCCCCCGCCATTTCATGCATTATCTGCTTGGTAGGAAGACGGCTATGGGGTTGCTCCATCAAAAATATGCGCGCGTTCTGTAAATTTGAGAATGAAGCCTTTATCCGAGGCGAACACTTCATGTCGTGCTCGAACCAACACTGCCATACTCCGGGCCCTTATCGTGATGGACAATGCAAAGAGCTCCTTGATGGGTGGGGAGATCCCATCATCTGCATTGCGCCTTTCAAGTAGCAGCTCGAAGATACCACTGCCGGATTTCGTGTTCTGAAGACGACTGATCACCACAACCTCCGTGTTAGGCACAGTCGCGGACTCCCTTTTTACACATTGATCCAAAAAGATGGTCATGAGCTCCAGGCCACTCTCCTCGTTACCGACGATGGCTATTACTATTTCTCCTTGATATGAGCTTCTTTGCCCTTGCTTTGCTCGTAGATTTCTCCTGAGTCTGAAAGTGCTTCAATTACATCTGTTCTTGCGCTTCGCGGAATGCACAGTATACTCTGCTTTAAATCATCATCATCATTGTATAACTTATTAATTACTACAAACAAGAGGTGCGGAGGGAGCTTAGAACGTTTTGGAACTTTGATTCTAACAGATACTTAGATTCTTTATTTATCTGACTATTTGATTGTACTATTAGCAGATCCTTCTGATCGGGAACCTTCCATCATTTCAGTAATGATAGAATCTGTATAGTAGATTAGTTTTGAGTTAAGAATCATTCGCATAGCCTCTGTGGCTATACTTCCACAACCTCAACAGACGCGGAGAAAAGCGCCTCCCAAGCCGCCAGAAGAAGATGCCACTTGTGAGCGCGGTCGGATAGAAAGAGGTTCACCGGCCGCGGATGCGCCCAAATGCGTACATCACCGTCTGGGGTGGTCAGCGCCGTCGAGCCTCTGTCGGGCCAGACTTCGTGAAGCCCTAATTCGAAGAGCCGCCAGTAGTCCCACAGCCCCATGCCCAGCTGCCGGAAGGACAGGGGCGCTATGTTGTAACATGCCGCGGGGTCTCCGTCTTCTTGCAGTAGACGCCAGGCGTATACGAAGTCCAGGACCTCGTGGTGCGCGGTATGCTCGCCACTCTGGCCCCAGAGCTCATGCAAGAGGTCCCCCTCCCGCGGCTGGGCCGGCGGCGACCACACCTCGAAGGGGCCCCCCGGGCAGCGGAATGCATTGGGGAGTCTCTCTAGCAGGAAGACGTTGTGGTTGCCGTGAATCCGGTACTTCCTTCCGAGGTCAAAGCATTCGGGGACAAACTTGTCTTCGTCCTCGCTGGGAGCCTGTGGTGAATAGGTCGTGCAGAGCTCAGGAGACCCGGCGTAGAGGGCTTCAAGACACTCCGACACTTCGCATATCTCCTCCCAAGCGGCCGTGTTTTTACACAGTGTTTCCCACTCGGTATCGTCCTCTGCGGTATATGGCTCCTCCCTGCAAAGTCCGCTCCAGTGGAGATGATCTCTCTGAAGAGATAGCGCCCGCTCGTCCGTCCATCGCAGCTGAACAGCCACCTGCAAGAAATCGCTAAAGGTCTGCAAGTGCCACAGGGCACGGTAGACGCGGTACTCCTCGATCCAAGAGAATGCACCCACGTCTCGGAGCTTACACGGTACCAGAGACGGCATTTCTCGGATGTCTTTGAAGTACTGGGGCAGCATTGCCTGCAGTCGCGCTCGCAGTGTTGTCAAGCACATGCAGGCCAGACGTTGTATATTGGCGGCGATGTTTACCACCGCGCGGAGGGAGGCGCGAGTCGCCGTAGACATTGAGAGGCGGTGGCCATGTCTGCTACTCTGGAGGTCGAAACTGGTCTTGTCAACAAAGTCGTACAGACTCGTGTGCGGAATCGGCCCTCGTAGCTCGACACACACCATGAAATAGCGTTCGAGATAATCATACGACATAATTGAATTATGCTCGAGGATATGCCTCACGAGAGCCATCGCTTCAGGGTCTGCAGGACTATCGGGTTTATTTCCCGGTTCGAACAGCGGAGTCAGCTGCGTGAAGTCCACAATAAGATCTTCCAGGGTTACCCAGTCTGCTGCGGTTTTGACAATCTCGACGAGTGACTCGCGGGGAACACGATCGAAACTATCCATCCTAGCGAATTCGCGTGGTCTGGGGTATACGTTGTGTTTATGAAGTGTGGTCATGGCTACGTCTGTACATGCGATTGATGAGACATGCTATTCAAGGTGTAAGGCTTCTTGATCCTTTTATAGTTTCGGCCTCGTCTTCTGCTCCGGGTGAATTCGGTGCTATTAGATAGGTTTGAACAGACGATACTGGTATCCTCCCGTAGTGGAATGGCGAGTTTGTCCACTTGATTGTTGGTTCGACAGATTACAGTTGAAATAATTCAGAAGAGAACAATTGGGGATTCTTTTTCAATGAGGCCTATGGCCTTTGTTTCCCGCTTGGTAGCAAAGAAAGCAAGCACTGAGCAGTCATGTATTCCGCGTCAATCCTTTCAAGGACGCATCCTTGGAAAACAATCCTCCGCTTCTCTGAAAACGTAGACCAAGCCTCAGTCACAATCATGCCTAGGTATCCGGCGTTGTTGCCCGCTTTTCTCGTTTAAGGCACCGCTGTGCACAGTGACCGTAAGATGCTGCATACTTGCGACTTCCAGTGCACAAGACGGGCTCAAAGCCCTGAATACGTCGCGATGGAATCTACTTGCTTCAACAGGATACTCGACAGCCTGCTTGATATGCTCTTGCAGAACACCACGAGTTCGATTGATCGACTTCATCTCGATATATCTGGATGCTAAGAATGGAGCCTCTAGTCTTCCCTGGCCCACAAGGCGCCTATAAAGATTTAAGGTACAAGCCCATTTGTCAACTCGGACAACTGAGCCCAAAAGTCCATGTCGCACTGCTCCCCGCCGTATGCATTGACTGGGTCCACTAATGCCGGGCCCGGAGGCACCACGCCACCATTTAGCTTGGTCGAATACCCACGCTCGATGCCTCGATATGCTTCGGCGTAGGCGGAGAAAATGGGCCGGCCTTGAAGTAGGATTCTGCTTCTGGGGCTGCCACCTCTGCTCGCAACCTCAAACCTCTTGCTCAGCTCCCGAAGCATTCCCGGAAGATCATACGTAGCGCGTGCGGTGGTCAGATCCCAGGCCTGGTCCTCAACACACAGAAGACGCAAGGCTTTGATGATGGCAAGCGCGAGGTGCAGGACGGTTACGAAAGTAAGGGCGGGATACGATTCGACCGGCACCAGGCGGAATTCGTCATGGAGTGCCTGTGTGCTCTGCAAGCAATCCCATATCCTGCGGCATCTGAGATGTGTGGGCTCAATGATCTCTGTCTGGTCGCCGTATCTGAAGGGCTCGAACAAGCGAATGCGGACGGTGGCGCAATGGGTTTGCAACAGATCTTAACTGAGGAGTTAGCTATGCCCATTCATCTGTTCAATTCTTGGAAGCTGACATACGGTTCCACTTCAAGTTGGCGGGCAGCTGGTCGACAAATGCATCCAGCTCAGTTTGGATAGAGGCAACAGCGATAGAGTAGATACCGCCGAGCGGCCTGTCATTGGTGGCAGCGGTCGTCTCCCAGAACGCGTCGTTTACCTTCATCGCAATTTTCTGTATGCGCACAAGCTGCACGAGCAATGCATCCGTCGGGTACTCCTGATCGTGTAACAGTTGACTGCAGCAGTCATCGAAGTGCGCTGTGTACTCTGGCTTGCATCGTTTGCCGAGAAGGCTGCATAGACTATTGGGGTACGGGTCAACATCATGACACTACAAGGACGACAGTATTAACACATACGAGGAGGTTATATAGTAGACCCCGAGCAAGGTTCTTCGATCCGCGCGAGTTTGTTTCGGCTGGACTGGGAGATCATCACGTAAATGAGCTGCATCCTCGACAATTGATTTGAATGATAAATCCGTTGACTTTTGGGGTCTAGTCAGCTTCAGATCTTCGACCAAACCGATTGCTAATTGCAGAAGTGCTGTATCTTTTTCCGTGGCATAAAAATAGATGTCATGCCCAACCACACAATCCTGTCAGCCCGAACCACATCTGCTACCGATTGGGGAGAAGGTATAGGTTCCTACCAGGCAAGAAAGACCAGTATTGCTTGTACAAGCTCTAGGTTCTTACCCGTCAGAACAACAGCCTCATGTGCAATCTGCCGTCGAAACCAGCTCTCGAACGCAGCGGAAGAGTTGAATGGTGGAGGTCTACAGACACATAAGATCGTCTTGGTGAGTAGTGGCTTCTCTTCCAGTGCCTGGGAAAGATTAGAGGAGGGCAGAGGGACGAAAGGGAATTCGGGAAGCATGGTGGTCATGTATTCTTCAAGGCTCTGATCGGCTTCATGACGAGTAATCTCGAACCCGGGGAATACAGAAATCAATCCGTGCGGCGGGGCTATTGATTCCGGATTTTCCGATGAAAGAGCTGCGGGATGGATTTGAGGCGTTGTGGTTGGCGTAGCGCCCTCGGTCTGGTGGAATGGAGGACGTTGCTCGGAGTCAGGTAGGCGTTTTCCATCACCAGTCAACAGGCCCATGATATCGTCCAGCTTTTGCTCTAATATTTTGGCATGACTGGGGCACTCCCAATGAGTTTCATGTGATTCATGGCGGTCGGACCCGCCACTGGCCTACCATCAGGGTTACTTACGTAGCCTTTCCTCGCCGTTTTCTCGACACGGAATATAACTTAGAACACGATAATCCGTTCTTGGAGCACCTAGAGCTCATCATTTCAAGATCAATCATTCAGATAATTCGCTGTACAAACTCAAACACCAACCTTTGGCAAACGTCATCGTCATTGTCGCGCCAGACGCACCTTGCCTTCGCCCGAGAACAGTTGGTGCAGGCGCGAGGCTTCTCCCCATGCAACGTGTCGGACATTTATGTTCCTTGTGCGGGAGCGGAAGAGCTAGATTGGTACCGGTAGACATACAGCCTAACAGAGGTAGTATTGTTCTGCGCGTTGACTTGAGACTGGGAAAAGGACAGGAAAAAAGACATCATGGATGGGAGGGCGCACCGGAGCGGAAGGCAAAAAAGTCGGCGGGCCCGAGTCCGATCCACCCGCACCAATCAGGTCATGCCTTGGAACCCCTACTGGGAAACTACGGGGACTTTTTTGCTCCCCGCTCCGCCGCCTTTCCCATAGACCATGTATAAATCTCTAGCAAAAGAAAAAAAAAAAGTCCGTTGTGCGCCACAAAGAGAATGGTGTATTATAAAAAGATAAGAGGTAACAGAGGGGAATAAGAATAGATCTCACCTCATCAGCACTCTTCAAGCTAGTTGGTCATCTTCCTAATCCTGGTGCTTATATTTTGTCGCCTTTTTACAGATAAACCGAAACTCGAATAACTTCCTTCCTTTCCTGTTCAAACTGCTCTCAATCCTTCAGTCTCCCTCAATCATCCATGGGTGCTCAAGTGGTGACTAGCACACACAGCGTGTCATCAACCTCGGCAGACAATACCGAGGAGGTCCCTGGGCATGGCCCCAAATCCACCGCCAGCTTCAGGAACTACCTGGTAAGACCACATCTCGTCAAGCCTGCTCATCATACGACACGAACTGATCCTTGCAGCGTGTCTTTACCTATGCAACACGATGGGATAATCTGGTTCTTGTCACTGGAATGCTTGCTGCAATAGGCTCCGGGATCACCCAACCCCTCATGCTCATCATTTTTGGTGAGCAAAAATTTCAAACCTGTCTTTGTCGCCGTACCAAGATTAACCGTAGCATAGGCAAAGTTGTCGGGCAGTTCACAGGGGTGGTAACTGGAAGTGGAAGTGCGGACGACGCAGGAACCGAACATACACTTAATCGGCTATGGTAATGTCATTCCTCTACCCTCGACTTGCTCGGACATTGACACCCACAGCCTTTTCGTATTCGCCCTCTTCATCGCCCGCTTTGGCCTCGCTTCGATTCACAAGTTCGCCTTCCGCATGATCAGTATTTCACTATCGGCTGCGATACGAGCGCATTACCTTGAGCATCTCTTCCATCAGAGCATGCATGTGCTGGACTCGCTGCCACCGGGCCATGCTGTGGGCACGATCACGAGCAGCAGCAATACCCTGCAGGGTGGTCTCTCCGAGAAACTCGCGATCTTCATTGAAAGCACCACCCTCATTATTGCCTCCTTTGTTGTTGCCTTGATGTGGAGCTGGGAGCTCTCCCTGGTAACCATAGCAGGCTTTGTGGCGACCATCCTCGGAGTCGGTCCCTTGGTCCGACTCACAGCCAAGAGCCGGGCTTACCTGACCCATCTGGAAGGACAGGCTGCCAGTATCGCTAGTGAAAGCTTTGCCGGCATCCGCATGATCATGGCCTGCGGCGCACAGCGGCAGACGGTTGACAAGTACGGTACTCTCGTCGAACAGGCCAAGGAGCAAGCGGTGGCGCTGAATCCGCTCACCTCGCTCCAATTCTCTTTGACAGTAAGTCACATCACATCACTATCTCACCCCTCGCCCAGCAAGCTTCAAACCGAATCTGACTGTCTATAGTTTTTCGGTGTCTTCGGGACCATTGCTTTGACATTTTGGTATGGAACTCTGATCTTTACGAGAGGCAAGCTGGACAGCGTTGGCGTGATCACCGTGTAAGCAAGGCGATGCCCCTGAAAGCATTCCATGTAACCGCTCACTAATCCTGGAATCTAGGGTTCTCATGAACTTGACCACTATCTTCTTCTCCCTCGATCGGGTTTCCTCTCCAATACAGGCGATAACTAAAGCGTCCCTCGCAGCATCAGAGTTCTTTTTCATCATTGACACGCTCGTCCCCCCGAAGGGTTTTTTGAAGTCACCAGACGTTGCAGCAACAGATGATATTGTCTTTGAGAAGGTCTCCTTCGCCTATCCAAGCAGACCCAGTCTCAAGATCCTCGACCAGCTTGACCTCCGGATCGAGGCTGGCAAGATCACCGCCATTGTGGGCCCCTCGGGCTCGGGCAAAAGCACCATCGTCGGTCTGATTGAGCATTGGTATTCCTTGAAACAGCCTCATGCTATGACTACCAGATCAACCCCGCAGGAAGGAAGTGATTCCGCAAATCCGGCTGCCTTGGACCACCATGTGTCAAGTTGTCCAGTCAAGCTCCAAGGCACCATCACAACAAGTGGTTACTCACTGGAC